ATATAAGTGTAGACAGATTATAAGAACCTTATATACTTTACTATAACTAAGGTTTTAAACTATAGATAAGTCTACTAGGTAGAGACCCTTATAGCCTACAACTTAATAATAACCTATTATAAGGGCTCTAAGAACATAAGAGTAGACGCTCTTAGTAGACAGACTAACTACGTTAGCCTAAAGGAAGAAAGACCTAGAGTAATATTAAAGAAAACAGATGTAAGAATATAGTACAACAAGTTGCTAGCAACAATCTCCATCGTTAAGGACATAGAACTTAAGGTAAAACTTAAGAAATCTTATATAACAGACAAATGTGTAAAGAGAGTCTTAGCTAAAGTTAAAGGCAACTTTACTATTAACGAATAAGGATTGATCCGTTATAAAGGATTAGTGTATGTCCTAAGTTAAATAAGACGCCTACTAGTGCAAGAACAACACTCGTTGCTAGTACATAGTTATTAGGGAGTAACATAAACCTTTAAACAAATTACTAGACACTACTACTTCCTAGGTATAAGGAAACAGGTAGAAACAGTAGTAAGAGAGTGTAACATTTACAGTAAATTGAAATCTAATAGGCACTTGCCTTATAGACAGCTTAAGTCAACACTAGTACTAAAAGGAGCATAGAAATTAATAGCCTTAGACTTCATTGTTAAGCTACTACCCTCTAAAGACCTATTAATAGGAGTAGAATATAACTCTATCCTCGTTATTATAGAAAGACTTATAAAGTATAGGAAATTCGTACCATATCTAGAAGCTAGCAACACTAAGGTGCTTACATATACCTTCATTTAAGTCATATTAGCTAATTATAGGATGCTAGAAGAAATCATCTTAGACTAAGACAATCTCTTCACTTTAAAATTCTAGAAATCGTTAATGGCTCTACTAGGAACAAATCACAAGCTGTTAACAGCTTTCTACCCCTAGATAGATGGCTAAACAGAAAGATTAAATCAAACCTTTAAACAGTACCTATAAAGTTATGTTAATCATTAATAGGATAATTAGGTTTAGATTTTACCTATTGTATAGTTTGTATATAACAGTGCAATAGCAGAAGTAATGAAAGTTTCACTGTTCTTTACTAATTACAGCTACTAGCTAAAAGCATATAGGCAACTAAGACTAGACAAAGCATAAGCTAAACAAGCCCTAATTGTAGTAGAACAACTAAAATCGTTCTATAAACAACTTATAACAGACATCTAATTCTTAAATGAACGATCTACTACATATGTAAATAAGAAGCGTAGTATAGAACCTACCTTTAAGAAGGGGGATAAAGTATACCTACTCTAAAAACACATTAAAACGAAACGACTAAGTATAAAGTTAGACTTTAAAAAATTAGGACCATTTAGGGTATTAAACAAAGTCAGCTTAGTTAATTATAGACTATAGCTACTTAAGAACTCTAAACTCTACCTAGTGTTTTATATCTTATTATTAGAACTAGTAAGAGGGGATACCCTAATTGTAATAGACACTAAACTCTAACCTAAGAATGAAGTTATTAAATATAAGGTTGAGGCAATCCTAGACAGAAGGTTAATAGGGCGCTAAGAAGAGTTTTTAATTAAATAGAAAGGTTATAAACCTATAGATAACTTATAGGAGTTAAGGGGGAACCTTAGCTGCCTAGAGTTGCTAGTAGAGTTCTACTGTTAACACCCTAACGTTTGAAAAACCTAGGAGATAGGGTAGTAAAAAGGTCTAGGTTAGGGATAGTAGTCCTAGAGATGGTTGTAGAAGGACTGTAAGGAAAGGCCTCTTTAGACTTAGCTTCCTTACGCTCTTTCTCCTCTACCTCGTTAAGTTTGTCTATAGTTTTTAGACCCTAACAAAGCATGTCTTTAGCTTAGGAACAGAATAGGCGTTACTGCTTATAAAGGCAAAGGATTTTAGCCATTGCCTCTTCCTCCTCCTCTTATAAATGACGTTCTTTACGTTTAAGCTTATCCTAGTTGCTAGTAGAAGGACCACTAGCATTATAGTAAGCATTAATGTAGATACATTCACTACATCGTTTTAAGTCGTCTAATACAATGCATTTTACACATTTCTTTTTACATTAACTATAGGGCAGCATCTTAATGCTAGTAGTTGGGATTCATTAAGCTAGAGCAAGACGTTCTTTAATTTTAGTATGTTTAGAAGAAGACATAGTTGCAGCCTAACCTGCCTATAGAACAAGTAGGCATTGCTCTACTTAAGTAGTTAGCGTTTTTCTTAGTTAGTAATAGGCCTTAGGACTAGGCCTTAAGGAAGGGACCTAGTGTTACAGCCCTTAGGGAAACTATAGACTATATAGGTTTCTAATATTAGAACATAGTATCTAGTGTTAGAAACTAGACAGCGTACAACCTAGTTAGGTTAAATAACTAAGCTAAGTGCTAGAACATTAGTAGCGCTAGACTTAATTAGGCCTAGGGACTAAGCTAGGCGTATAACCTAGGAGCGTAGGAACTAAGTAGCTCCTATGCCCTATAGTCTTAAGGGTAGGGGACGTTGTAGGATTAGTTAGATCTAGAGACCTCTAGTCCTTAGACCTAATTATATCGTAAGACCTATGTAATAGATAACAATGATATGTTAGATATTTGTTATCTATAATATCTTTAATATCCTTTAGTATAACGCTACTATATAAGTAGATAGTTAGTTCTTAGATAGGAGCTTTATGCTTAACTTAATATAGTATTTGTTATATACTAGTAACATGTTTTATAAAAGCCTTTGTGTCTAATCCCCTACCTCCTCTAATAAGTAAACTAATGTAACGAAACCTCTATAAGTCTTATAGTTTAAGACCTAGCGTTATTGTTACAGCTAAAACATGCAACCTATATGCTATAAGATAGAATAATAAGGTAAAATAGCTTATAGCTAATTAGCAGTAGGAAATGGACGTAGAGATTGTAGGTAGCTTAGTTAATAAGGGCACCTTTAGGAAAAGGTACCTTTCTTAGAAGGTACCTAGTAAAAGAGAGGTGCCTATTAGAAAAGGCACCTATATAGAGTAAGGTGCCTCCTTAGAAAGGCACCTATAGGAATTAGTACCTATAATAAGTATAGCACCTCTTATAGGACACACATGTAATTAGAATAGTAGGAATAGTAAGAATAGTTAGAGAGTCTACTATTCTAACTATTCCCTTTAGCACAACGCTACTATATAAGTAGATAGTTATTTCTTAGATAGGAGCTTTATACTTAACTTAATATAGTATTTTGTTATATACTATAACGTGTTTTATAAAAGCCTTTAGTGTCTAATCCCCTGCCTCCTCTATTAAGTAAACTAACGCAACAAAACCTCTATAAGTCTTATAGTTTAGGACCTAGCGTTATAGTTATACATTAAGCATAATGCTACTATATAAGTAGATGGATAGTTCTTAGGTAGGAGCTTTATACTTAACTTAATATAGTATTTGTTATATACTATAATGTGTTTTATAAAAGCCTTTAGTGTCTAATCCCCTACCTCCTTTATTAAGTAAACTAACGTAACAAAACCTCTATAAGTCTTATAGTTTAAGGCCTAGCGTTACACATAGGGTATATAGGCATATAAGCATTAACTAGTAATAGATGCCTAAGGCACTAGTCCCCTAGCCCTAATTCCCTAGCCTACATTACCCCTAAGATAGGGCCTTTAGCTATACCTATAATAAATAGATACTATTTAGAGACATTATAGATATAACTTACTTTAAGGATAAAGTACTCTTATAGGAGGGAGGTAGTATAAAGATACCTTATCCTCTAGACATTCTTAGGATTAGACTTAGAGCTAAGGTAGTTATATATAAGGAGCTAAGGGCTAGCTAACTAAGTTAGACCTATTTTAGATACTTAGAGGAATAGACTTAATAAGTTCCCTTTTTATCTTTTTTATATCCTTTATAGTAGACTTATAGGATAGCACCTATAACCCTTTAGACTTATACTCTTATATGCTATTACTATAAGCTAGTGCCTTATATCCTTATATTCCTCTTAGTATCTTTTATCTTTACATTAAAGACTACTAATAATTATAATTAGGCTTAACTATAACTTTACCTCTAGTAGTAATATTAAGTTGTCTATTATAATGTATTAGTAATACATTATAACATAATTACTAACAGAATGAATACTTTATAACTTTACTAGAATTACGCTCTATTATATAGTAGTTCTAACCTAACCTAACTATGTCATGTAAGTAATACAGTCTTAGTAGAGGCTGGCTAACCCCCCTACTTAATAAGTGGAGCATTTCTAGGTCAGCTGAGGTTAGGGGGGGGGGTTAGGTCACCTAATGGTCTGCTTACCTGTGTACTCTGAGTAAGGCGATGCAACATTTTCGTGTTAGTTTGGCGTCACTTTCGTGTTTTTCTCGTATCAGCACCGAAGTTTGATCGCCAATACGTAAGCCCCGCCCCCAAGCGCTACCCCGAGCTAACCCCGCAGTGCAACGCGCCTATTCTTTGTCATCTCCCCATCGTCTCCTACCGCATGGCGGTCCGCACAGTACACGGTTTCGATGATGCGTTTGCGGAGCGCTTCGGGCCGCGACCTTATTTACTAGCCCTCCCCCTTTTTGAGGCAGCGCTGCAAAGTGTACTATCCATCTTGTTGCACAACCCGTAATACCGCACCCGCATCCCCACCCCAGGCTAAGCCCGTGTGGGGAAACCTAGAGATGCAGCGCTTCGGGGCCACAACTGCGGTCTTTGGCTGTTGTGGCTACGATAGCTAGTATATTCATCAAGCACCGAAAGCTGAACACGGAACACAAGAAGACAAAGACGGGAATACAGCCATTGGCAAAAGCGGTGGACACCAAAGGATAATTAAAAAAGGAAAAATAACACGTTATAAATAAAATCTCGAATAATTATTAGCTAGCTGAATATTAAGCATTACAATTGCTGCGCCGCACGCAGCCTAATTAAACCAATAATCTAAAACTAACGTCCTTCTACCAAACAAAAATATATACAAGTAAATCATTCGCATTTAAACTAGACATAAGACTTCAACCTACCCAGAATCTTATTTATCGATTTGCTGCTTCTTCATGATGTCATCATCTTTCGATATTTCAGAGCGATTGCGGATCCAGGGAGATGACGGACCCGATGCGCAAATGCGGGCTCGTGCCACCCAAGAGCAGCAGCACTTCACCGACTCCGCCTCCAGTGAACGCATCTTCTGCACCCCCAACGGCCCTCTCTCCACCTCCATCTGGGTGCTGGACAAACGCGACAACCCCACCTCCATCGAGCTGTACCTTCAGCTCACCGCCGAAGGCACCAGCACCTGGCACGCCATCTCGCAGACGCCCATGACCAAGCCGCCGGTCCCCTCAATTTTAGTGCGCGTCTTTGCGCTCGAGTATTGGGAGGACGAGTGGTTACTATGCCACCGTGGCCACTCCGAGCCTAACTGGCAGCTCACCGCGGCCCCGCAGTACGGCATGCTGCCTGGATACGGCGAGAGGCCGTGTCTGCTGCGGTGCTGCGGGACGGACCGGCCGCGTGGGAAGACGGCGAGACTTGTAGTAACGCCCTTGGACGGGAGGGACTTTGTCAGCGTGCACGATTACCTGACGACGGTTCATCCGTGGCTGATGAGCTTTAGGGGGGATATACTGGAGTATATGGGTTTATGGAAGGGTAAGCCGGCAGAGGAGGAGTCAGTGCTCATGCTGAGCAATTTTGTGGGCCCGCTGGCGGTGATGGGGCAGACGAGGGGGGTTAGGAGTTGGAGTGAGAGGTTGCGAGTCATTTCGAATTTGATAGATACGGTGTCAGGCCAGCAGGATACGCTGAGGCAGGGGAATTTGCACAGCTGTGTTGGGAAAGGTCAGTGCAATGTTTTGACCGGAGGGGTGGAGATGAGTTCTGGGTGGAAATGAGGTTTTAGGCAGTTTACAAAATCAGCTAGCCATTTCTCGGTTTCAAGCAGCCATTACCACACGTTTAGTCCACTGGTAGCCGCGATACAAGGCCGCCAGTGGCAGACATTAGATTGTGTGCGCAACTAGCATGCGAAATACGTTATACATTTACTAATAGTTTCTTACTGCAGTTGTTTTCTAGCTGTACTACTCTTCTGCTTTTTGAACAGTGTTACTTATAGTTTGTCACTTGTGTTACCTTTGTTATTCGATGTAGCAACTTGATGTCAAAACAGTAAGAGTAACACACAGAGCACTAATGTATGCTTAGATGAAGCTTTAATATTTCTCTAATTGCATAGCGTTATAAAACTGCAAACGTGTGTCTCAGCTCATAACTAAAATTGTCAAGATGAGACTACTATAATTTTCAACCTCTAGAAAACCCTTCCACTTAGGGTTACCCTTATCAATTAAGCTCCTTATAAATGTAACATTGTCTACAAGGTATAGAGAAAACCTGGCAAGCCCTCGATGATGGCCTCTCCATTGGCGACTTTCTTGTTCATTCTACTAAACTGTAGAGACAGAACGCCAACAATAAACACTTGTAGTATACAGCACCTGCAACATATCAGTCCACCGCGTTTGTAGAGTCAGCAGCAAGGGAAATTGACTTACGCGATGGATGCATACATACCAGGAAGGTATTGAGGTGCATCTTGAGCTCGGAATACTAACGCGCCAACGATACCACCTGCTGCTCCCATTGTAACCAAGATCGCGCTGCTAGAGGCGCGCTTCCATGTTCCACGGATGTTGTTTGCCTGGTATGCCATGACGGTTGGTATTGAGGAATTGGAAGTTGCTGTAACCAGAAACACGCCGAAATACTGCCAACCTGCAGCTTTGACCCAAGCCATCAGGCACAACCCGCAAGTTCCCAGTAACGCATTGAATACAACGATCGGGCCACGGACATGGTACTTATCTCCGAACCAGCCTTGAACGTACATGAAGATGCCCGCGAAGATGTATGGTGGGGTTATCATCACTTGTGAGATCCCAACGCCAAAACCCATCTTCTGATGCAGAATGATGGGGAGGAAAAGCGCGATTGCGTACGCGATCACAGTGTTAGCGCTAGAACCTGTCAGAGATATTTTCATCCTGTCATATACCGTCTGATACTTACAAGAATATAAGCCCAAACAGCCAGATCTTGAGGTCCAAGCCTGCCTTGAAAAATGCGGCCCAGTTGAAGGGCTCTTCATGAGTATCGTTACGATCTCTTTGTAGAAGTTTGATAACGTATTCCAGCTCACGAGGTTCGAGAAACTTCCGGCTATTCTGCGCTTTTTGAGGAAAGTCGACGATCAAAATGGCCCCGATAATAGCGATGACACACGTTAGCACTCCTTCCCAGATGAAAATGTACCTCCAGCCTCCATAGCCGCCAACGCCTGCCATTTGCATAAAGCCATAAGAAAGTACCCCGGAAAGTGATGCTCCGACAACGCTGATAAGATAGAACGATGCGTATCGCTTATGCACATCGTCTGAGGCGCAAAGTTAGCATGTCCTAGATTTACGCCCAGAGGAAAGAAGAATACACACAGCGACAATACCACATTTGCAATAGAAACAGTGCTCCTGGTAATAAGGCGGCTTCGAAAAGACCAACAACCGCTCGAAGAGCGACTAACTCGCCCCAGTGATGTACAAATCCCATGCCCAACATGACGATGCCCCAGGCAAACGACACAGCAGGTAGGAAAATCCGAGGGCCGATCTGGCGTGCAAGAATAGCACTAGGCCACTGGAAAATAAGGTACGGAACGAAGAACATAATAATGGCAATGGACTTGCGATAGTTAGCCCTAGATCCTGCGGTTTAGGGGTTGCCATGCTAGACTTACGTAGCGATTTCCAATTGCTAGGTGCAGCTCCTTTGCCATACCAGCAATGTTAGCAGAGCCCAGGTTGGTTCGATCCATGAGAGAAACCCCAAACATGAGACCCAAAGCTGAAATAAGACGTCGATCTATCTTATGGATAATTTTTCTTCCCTCAGCATAGGAGATACCGAGATCTTCATCCTCACAGGTGGTATCCTGTTTTAGGTCCGTTGCCTCAACCTGTAGGACATTTTTTTCCGCGTCCTTCTCGGCGTATGATTCACTTTGAGACATGTTTCCAAGGCTCTATTTTTTTTATCGCATTATATTGTTTCGAGAGAGATTCTTCGGTCTTTCCAAGAGTCTGAAGCTAGTACAAGCTTGTCTAGAAGTCGAACTATATCCTTTGGGGAGGCGTAATTGAAGCCTTAAATGGGAGAGGTCGTGCTGTAAATCTTACGAGTATAGTCGTGTGAGTGAGGGAAGTCCTACGATGTGACCAGCCAGTTTGTTTGGTCGAACTTAGATATATAGATCATATATTTCAGGTCTTTGGTGCCAAAAACCTTCAGGGCTACCGAGTTTACCGAAGCTCATTCTTCTTCCCCACTTCCCCGCAAAACCCCGCAAAACCCCACAAAGCATTCGTCTGTGGCTGGAGGTCGCCTCCAAGTTTCCACAACAATTTGGTGGATTTACGTGTCAGAGTGTATGCGGGGTATATTACAGGTTCTTTATTTTTTGTTCTCCAACCACACTAGTTCTATGGAAACTATTGTTTTCGTACGATATCTCCCTCGGCTCATAAATTAGAGCTACTAGTCCTAATATGGAAGTGTACCGACTCCGCAGCCTAATCCTTATTAGGAAACATAGTTCCGAGGTTGCCGATTCCTCTTGTTATCGACTACGTTATCAATTTTCGGTATTCGGCAGTATGGTGACGATGACGAGAGACATCAAACCTCGGCCTTAAATTGTTTAGAGTGAATATGTATTTGAACACGCGAAACCGATAACCTCTCTCTCCTTGATAGATTTACCTTCAGAGTTAGCAACCTCATAGTCAGCAACCTGCAACCCAAAACGTTCATCATGGATCCATCCACTTCTCAATTGTCCGAAAATATCTCTCCTTCGTTCGAAGACACGGCAGACTTCATAGACGCAGACCGCGGGTTTGTAGGATCGCTCAATCCGTGTGTCATCAAAAACGCCCGTGGAGACACCGTCTGGGACAATGACGAGTTCAATTTCCTTCATCAGCAGCCGTGTCCAGAAACAGTGAACCCTAAGTTATGGCGCCAGGCTCAATTGCTGTCCAAGCAGGGATTGTATCGCATCAGTTCATCCATCTACCAAGTCCGTGGTTTTGACATATCACACATTACTTTCGTCGAGGGCAAGACGGGTATCATTATAATCGACCCTTTGATTTCTTGCGAATGTGCTGCTGCCGCAAGAGAACTATACTACAAGCACCAAGGAGTCCGCCCTGTCAAGGCTATCATTTACACGCATTCGCATATTGATCATTTTGGTGGCGCCTCAGGCGTCTTGCCTCCTGTCACAAACGATAACGACACAGCCCCGGTCCCAATAATTGCCCCAGAATATTTCATGGAAGAGGCTACGTCCGAGAACATTTTCGCTGGGCCTATCATGCGGCAGCGAGCTAGACATATGTACGGCTCTCAACTTCCGAAGTCTCCCAAGGGCCAAATCGGCGTCGGCCTCGGCATGGCCACCTCGCATGGTACAACAAGCCTCGTGCCACCCACTATCAACATTACACAGACGGGACAGACCTTGACTATCGACGGAGTCCGGATGACGTTCCAAATGGTACCGAATACAGAAGCACCTGCGGAATTAAACATCTATTTTCCTGACGAAAGAGCCCTATTGGTTGCAGAGTGCGCGACCCACGCGCTGCACAATATAGCGACACTCAGAGGTGCCTTAGTAAGGGATGCCAAAGCGTGGAGTAGATATCTGGATGAAACATTACTGTTGTACTGCGAAGATGCTAAGTCGAATGTTCAGTTTGGAAGCCATGCCTGGCCAACCTGGGGGGCCGACAAGATCAAGAAGTTTTTAGCGCAACAAAGAGACCTCTATGCGTTTATCCACGATCAAACAGTGAGGCAAATGAACCAGGGATGGAACGGGACAGAAATCGCAGAAAGAATGGTGCTTCCACCAAGCCTGAGTCGCGAGTGGCATACGCAAGGATTCTATGGAAGCGTGAGCCACAATGTCAAGGCAATCTACCAGCGTTACATGACTTGGTTCGACGGATCAGCAGAGAATTTGTGGAAGTGGCCACCGAAAGAAGAGGGTGCTAGGTATGTAGCATGCATGGGCGGCGCGGAGGAAGTCTTGAAAAAGTCTCAGGTATTTATATCTCAGGGAGATCTGAGATTCGCGGCGACATTACTGGGCCACGTCGTCGCAGCGGGTGACGAACCTGGGAACGATGCAATCGCACATTTGCAATGCAAAAACCTGCTGGCAAATGTGTTCGAGAAACTAGGGTTTGGAGCTGAGAACGCGACTTGGAGGAACTTCTACTTGAGTCAGTCGGTGGACCTGATGAATGGCAAGAGAGCCCAAGGAAAGAACTCATCTGGGATGGCGGCTTTTGCACCGAACCTGTCCGTAGAACAATGGTTTGGCGCACTCTCTATCACAATTGATGGACAGGAAGCTGGGAAAGAAGAGAAGCCTTTCTGCATTGATATTCATGTCAGGGACATTAGTGAGGACTGGAGGTTAATTTTGAGTAATGGTGCTTTGACATACCGCAGTCAACCGAACGGAGAACGGTCCTCTAACAGAACTGAGCCCGACCTTGCCCTGACGCTGAATAAAATCGGATTGTGCCGACTCTTGAACAGCAAGAGCAGCAGCAGCGATATCCTCGACCTTAAGGGTGACGTACAGGCTCTTAATAAGCTTCTGTCGTTCGCATCAATTACTAGCAAAGTCAAGAACCAGCTGCAGAGTTACATATAGATACTATCAAAATAATCAATTCTTAGAGTAGCTTTATTTGATTCTAGAGGAAGTGAATTATCACATTTAATTACCTTCGTCTATATAAGTTAATGTCTACGCCTCACAGAAACTCGTGTGGAAGCCAGATGGGGTTGAAGTAGCTCCTGGAATTCAACAGCCGAGGTGCCTGCAGCGGAACCACGTGGAATATGCGGGGTACTTGGCTAGGCTTATGTGACTAAGCTTTTGGTTGGTGTCTTCATCCAAGTTATCCCATATCCCAGGGTGTAGCCTCAAGGACAAACGTTCTTATTACTTGTTTCTACTTCCCAGAAATCTACCTGTCCATTAACCATGGTTACAGAGTCTAGTCCGCCTAGCCACTCTAGAACACCACGAGACAGATCGAGAGTCGTTTGCAAACGATGTCACGCGAGAAAAGTCAAATGCGACTTGCTCGCGAGAAGGTACACTTCTGATAGCTGTACCAACTGTGAAAAGCGAGATGAACATTGTCAGAGAAGAGAACATACCCGAAGACAACCTTATCGCCGTTCGCCAGACCCAGCCACATCGGTTTTCCCACTGGATAGGCGCCCTGATGTTGCTGCGACGCCGCCTTTAACAAATGACGCGCTAGAATCACCCTCAACCGTCGAGCATATTGATGAGAGCGAACACCGCCTTAGTCAAACTCCTCGTCTTACTGCACCTACTGATGGCGGCTATATCGGAGACTGTTCAGTCATGTCGAACCATGGCCCCTTGACTTCCGACAGCACTGCTACTCTAGGCTCCTTTTCGACGTCGCTCGAGATACAGACTGTCATTGCCACCGGAGCCGATCAGTTACCCTCGCAATCAGTACTTGATGCGTCAAGCGCTGCCTACTTCAAGTACCTGTACCATCGCATCCCAATCATGGATCGTCAAGATATTACTACTCCCTGCCCGTCAACTCTGCTGTTACAATCGTTATGCTTTGTGGGATCATTCCTTCGTCATCCGAAATCGATGAAAGACCTTCAAAAACTCGAAGAACACTATGCTAAAGCTAAGATACTGTTCTTCCTGAATCATGAGAAAGAGCCGCTTACTACGCTCAAAACCTTGTGTTTCTTCACTCTCTGGAATGTCAAACCCCCATCGGTGGTTACGATTGACTGCAGCTGGAATTGGCTAGGACTCGCAATGCGCCTCGCAACCCAGATGGGTCTTCATCGTGAGTCGACGCACTTCCAGAGATCCACACCGAGCTGTGCTCGTAGGATAGCGTGGTATCTCTATGCCCAAGACAAGATGCAGGCCGCCTGCTTTGGCCGGCCCCAGATGCTTCGGACGCAAGAATTCAACCTGCGTCCGCTCTCACTAGCGGACTTCAGTGGTTGCGAAAACGATCAGGCTCACTCATTCATTCTCTGGACAGAACTAGCGAAGATCTATGCAAGAATGCTCAGCGCTAAAGATGCCGAATTCTCATCCGCTTCCGAGGAACTGTTGTGTGTTCTTGAAGATTTAAGGACTTGGGCGTTTAGCACCTCGGCTGTCTTTCGGATATGTGATGATCAAGGCAATAAAGTTTATCACCGCGAATTTTACGAGTATCTCGCCTGTTATCTCACGTGTATCATAACATATTTTCACAACTTCGGGAAATACTTCCAGCTTTCAGTTGCGTCCTCCATCTCGCTTGTGGCTTCCTCGTGCATCATTGCACTCTACCAAGAAATGGATTACCATGATGACATCAACTATCTAACTGCTATTAACAACTGGTCTATGATGGCGGCCTCACTTCCGCAGCTCGACAACATTCCCAGAGAGAATCGGGGCATTGATGCACCAGGGAATTCTTCAGATCATCGACCTTCGTCCTTGGAAGAGCTCGATACTCTTGTGGATATTTTAAGACAGAGGGGCTTTAAATTCCCGGGCTCAAAAGCCATCGTCAGCAAAATTGAGCATCTAAAACTAGAGGTTCTCTCACAAAACAATGATCCCTCATCAGCTTCATCTAGCTCTGCACACAGGAATATGTCAGAGCCAAACCCCGAACCGCACTTGACAGTGTTGAGGGTCCACGAACTATTCCCCTTTCCAAAAACGCTATCTCCAAGGCTAGAGCTACTTGATGCTATAGAAGCAGAAGACCTAGTTGACGGATTTTTTAACAATTATGTCGACTGGCCAATAGCAAATATATTTGGTTTTGACGACATCGACCTACTAGACTATGCATGATCTGAGCCAGAGGAATCAGTTATTATGCTTCTTCTTCTTAGACATTCTCAAAATACTCCTGCTATACAGTAGAGCGAGATAACCAAGAGGTGCCTGTCCACAGATTCTCGGGATAGGAGGGCAGAGACAGATAGGCGACGATAAAATATAGTATTTCTATCGAAAAGAAATCATCAATAGCGACTACTAGCGAGCTCCACAGCTTCGCTTTTACATCCTCGATACAGGCGACCCTGTGATAGCACTGATGTGTTCAATCTTAGGACACTCGTACGATCCGCTCATCATCTCCTCCATGGCGCCGTACCATCTCATCGTGATGGACAACTTTCCTCCTCCTGCCGGTGCCGGTAGCCAGTTATTCAACCATCCCCACGGTGGGGGAAGGTCCGCCGGCTGTAACAGGATATGAAATTCGCCATCCTTGGTATGATCGGCCAGTGAACTGCCATCGGCAAATCTCATATCATCGCGGTCTCCAAGACAGTACCTGTTTATCCTGTTAGGGACAAGGTACTGTTCGGAATTGTACGCTGTGAGGCTCCAGAATCCGCTAGGGACTAGAGCCGGTCGACGTGAAAAGCGGAGAAGGACTGCTTCATTAGCTCCAATTATCAGAGGGGCGGCGAGAGACGGGTAAAGTGCTTGGTCTTTAGTGAGTGCCAAATAGCCCTTTTTCCCAACTGCATACCTCGCCTGGTAAAAGGAATTAAAGTTGCCTTTGCAACCCGGGAAGAGTTCACTCCAGCCGTTACCATATTCCCGCCTACCATTAGGAGACCGGGCAAGTTTAACTGCTTGAGCTTCGGCATATTCATGAATTTGTGAAAGGTCTGTCTTTCCAGAGATGCCTTGTTCAATGCCACTCTTAGCAAGGAGGTCAGCGATCCAAGGCCGGTCTTGAATGACCGCGGATTGATTGTGAGCTGCGAACGCTGCGGTTAAAGCCAAAACCACATGTGCCGCAGAGTTTTCGCCCGATACGCGATACGCTGGTGTTATGAGCAGAGAGAGATCCAAAGCCGGAGCGACGGGCTGTAGATCCAGGCGCTTGACTGGAGTCACGTGGATCTGGTCTTGATATACGTTGACTATTTTCTGGTCTTCAGTGGCCGGCGTTGAGGCGATACGAATAAGACCCATGCCATAGGCGGTAGGGAAGTTGATATAGCCTAGATAATTGCAATGATGGCCGGCTTCCTCCGGGGGAGGTCCGCTAAAGAAGCCGAAATCTTTGCTGGCGAGGCGAAAGAGATATTTTCCCGGTTTATGGCCTTGAAGGCTGCCGATGTTGGCAATGTTGTTGCCATATCTAGAAGAATCACCTAAATTAGCAATTGGTAAAAATCTGGCTTGGATGGCGTGAGGCTTTGCGTACGGATCATAGAACGGGAACACCCAATATCGATCAGGGATAGAAGGAACGGTGACTTCTAGATCGTGCGAGGAAACATCTATGAATATTGTCGAGTACAAGGTGTCGACATTAGGTCGAATGACTTTGAGATCGTCCGATGTCGAGAGCCTCCGGTCGTGATAGAGCGTGTTGGTTGACGCTTTTGGATAACATGCAACATATTTCGCATACTCAAGCAACGGATAGCCGTACTACATACAAAGTTTTGGTCAGCTTTCCCAACGATGGCAGACAGTGACTTATTTTCATTTACCATGTACGAAAATTCAAGTGCATGCTGCTGCTCCTCCTTCTCGTGACTGTTGTTTGGTAGGGGTGACATCTTCATTGCTACAGCCATTATGAGTTCTTAGTAAAGAAGTACATTAAGTCGTAATATGATATATAGTCGGTATCCATATATAGTATAAAGTCCGGCTTCTGTAAAGTCGGTCGTCATACCGAGTTTACCGAGGGAGTTTCCCCTATAGCCTCTTCGGTGGTTCATTGCCGGTTCGGTACAAAGTGGTTCCGAACAGAATGTGGGCAGGATCAGATCACAGCGAATGATACTTTTCACTGGCAGATACAACTGCATTAGACCGCCGCCATTTCTAGCACCACTCACATACCAGTGGTCTAGCCATTACGTCTCCATACAGATCCACTTTGTGCGTGCCGACATGGTCGTTATCAGGTAGCTAAAGGAGACAGTTAGATCATCGTAAGGGGATCAAAAAGCATGAGGGCGGCGACGCTCACCCGCTTGTCCAAATTGCACTGTCCTGAGTATTAATCTCCTGGAAGCTTGAGATCCGTGAATTGGTAGTTGAGTGGGTGACCACCAGCGAATACCCACTGTTTTATGCTTTTGCTATTTTTCTTCCCTTTGAGGCTGATGGCTGAATATGTAGTTACAGAGAAAACGTCGGGTCCTGTGCACTTTAGCCCCTTCAGCTGATGCCCTTAATGATAACCCCTTCGTCCCCCAGCTCTCTCTCACGGACTTGAAGAATGAGAATTAACAGATTTCACTTGTGAAACCCGGAGAGATCCGTGAGTGGTGTAAGGAAATTAGAATATTGGTTTCCCTCACGCCTCGGCATCGCACTTTGCTTATAATTCCAATGGGGGTTTGGCATTCCATCAAAGGACAAATAACCCAATCACTGTATCTCACATCCTATTTACCCTGCTCAGAGACCACTGATAATAAACTATGGTACATTTCGAAAAGCGCTGCTCCTATAATAGGATATTAATATATTTGCTCCAGTCCCCTCGCGAATGGATCGAGTTCACGAATAGCCTAGACCACCTTCATAGCTTTGTATTATAAGCCCCTTTATATCAACATAATCATACACGTTAGGTGTTACTGATCATAGATCTATAGAAGCGCCCTGTTACGCCGACTTACATTACGCCTTGGCCGAGCTAGTACGCCTTAGCTGAAGTGAGAACGCATTAGCTGAACAAAGCCGGGTTGATTGAACTATTCAGCTCAACAAGTCCCCAGTAATCAATAACGACCATATCGTCGACTTATCCCCATTCTCCAACAAACTGTCGCTCTTGTTCCTCCTGTAGGCAACCAACACTGTGCCGCTCGTAGGCACGCAATACGCAGCCTCCCCAGCCTCTACTCTTATTGCCAAAAATTCAACGTTGTGCGACGTAGCTCACTTGCTTGGGCTTTTATTTGCTTCCGCTGACCTCACCACGCGAGCGAGGTTAATCAAACACTGTTGGAATGCGGGAAAATAGAGACTATAGACACGCAACGAAGTCATGATTAACGACTGTCTACCCTAGAACGGTCACCATATAACCTATATACGTACTGCTTTCCCCCTTTAGACCTACGGTGCTTAGCTCCTAGGTATGCAAACTAGGCTCCGGTGAGCTGTTGGAGTACAACAAACATCGTCGATGATATAGCGCAGCACTCTTCAACTAAACATCAAACTCAAACCACACTTAAAGTGTAGTATGCCTGCAGAATAGATGTGTCAGGCTTGCTTATCAAATGGTATACTAACACCAGGTGTCAACGCTACTTTCCACACCAATCCAGCGAGGGGTTTTAGTAGGCGCAAGTGGGGTACATCGCATATATCTTGGCAAAACCCCACATGATAATCGGGAGTTACACCAACCATCCAGTACGCATTATTCCACAACTTCAATAATGTGACATGGACTTGACGTAGCAAGCCTTATATGGCTCTTATGTCCCTGTTTTCCCTCCCTCGGTTTCCGCTCTCTTAGTTTGCCTCTCTCACGTCTAAGATGGCCGGTACTATTTCGCGTACAGAAAAAGTCTTCCTTCCAGGGTCACCACACTATGAGCAACTTCGAAAGGCTTTCATTAATGCCAATGTACCCGCAAAATATCCCCGAGAAATTCACCGACCAATCTGTGTCCAGGACGTAATTGCCGCTGTCAATAGAGCTAAGGAATTGGGAATTCCAATTGGAGTTCGCTCAGGTGGCCATCTTTTCACATGTATGTCTTTGTGGCAGGATGGCCTTTTAATAGATACGTCAAACCTCAATCGACAAGTTGAATACGAGGAGAAAACGCAAACTATAACTTATGGACCAGCTGTGCGTGTCTGTGAGATATCCGAAAAGCTTGAAAACTCGGCCGTTTTTTCCCTCATGGTCACGCCCCCTCAGTCGCAATGGGTGGCTTCACATTAGCTGGCGGACAGGGCTTTTTCATGCGTGGTTGGGGCGCAACCGTAGATCAATGGGTCACTGAGCTGGAAGTCGTTGTTCCAGATGGATCTTTGATCCGAGCTAATGCCAGTGAGAATGCGGACGTCTTTTGGGCGGCAAGAGGCTCTGGTCAAGGGTTTTTTGGGGTCGTGACTAAGTTCTGTGCGCGAACAATTCCAGCTCGGAAATTTTATCAACGCCAGCGCACTTTTTCCATAGGGCCTAATGGTAAACTCTTTAACGAAGTTCTTACATTGGCAATCGAGCAAAATGAGAAGACGCCTAAATATGGCACAGAAGTTGCTGTTTGTACTTTTTTTCCAGAGAAGTTCAATCCAACTATCGAAAGCGATGAGATCAGTGAGCCTTCGTCGTTGATGATGTCAATTACCGCTGCTGCCTATGTCGACTCAATATCAGAAGCCGAGACTCTACTTAGTGCCTTCGATTATGTCCCCGATGGGTTGGCGGAGGTTGTAGCAGGTCCTGCTCCGGTCATTCTCAAGAGTTGGAAAGAAGTGTTTCAAGAACAAGATATGCTTGTTCCTTACGGAAACGGCGAAATTTGGCATATTGATAGTATTCTAAATGACCCAAGTATCCCGCTTCCAGAAGTACGTTAAGAACCTTTCTTTCTTCCTCTAGTGGACGCTTTAAAAATGGCCGAGTCCCTAACCGCTGTTAAACAGATGATCGAAGCAATCAAGCCTTCCCAAACCCAGCTGCCTACGAGACAGTCTGTTGGGGTCATCTACATCGGTGACACTTATCCAGACGTTGGAAAAATGGCCTTCAGTCTGCCTCAACAGTATTACATCTCAACCTTCACCTGCACTAAAAATCCTACTAAAATACCTGCTCTCCGCAACTGGATGAAAAACGTCTATAGAGAAGCGGAGAAGGTTGCATGTGGTATGTATGTAGCAGATTACGATATTACATTTAGAAAGTCCAAGGTAATGACGGACTCTGCGTTTGAACGATTTATAAAGATTAGGGACAAATGGGACCCAGAATGTAGATTCCCTCTTACTTTAGTGTGAATATAAGCAATGTAAGGTGCCGGAAAACACGGAACTTAATGATATAATATGGCGTGGAGGGGCGTAACGTGCCAGAGGCTTGACGCCAGTATATAGGTGAAAACTTTAACCGACCTACAGTCCAGTCAACAGTCGACGTATTACCAGGGACCTACGTTTACTAGAAGCCCAGCAATGCTACCCCGTATTCCAAACCATTATGCTAGTGCCCTAAACTCCCTGTGACTTTTCGGCTAGCCTGTTACAATTCTGTTGACTCACCCATATTCAGCCCACCAAAACACGATGCATCTAGACGAAGGACGACCCGCACCGCAGCCAACGAGCCCGTAAGTGAGCCGTCTTCGGGGCTTACGACGCCTCAACGTAGCGACCGCCCAGGGTCGACAATGATGTTGACCAGCTTGCCTAGCTCCGCAAACGGATAATTCGGGAGCGACATATCCACCAAGTCATGCCAACTAGATATAGAATGGGAATTGGGCCAAGCCAGAGCTCTCGCCGAGAAGGGAACTATATTTGGCCACGCCCTATCCTATAATTCTGCGAATGACAAGACTAATAATACTACGGCTCGGTTCCAACTGAAAGTTCACAGAGCTCATGTACGCCTTGGCCCCTTTAGTTGATGTCCTCAATGATGACCCCCTCGTCCCTCAGCTCTATCTCAATTTGCTCAGAAACTTCCTCCGCACTCCTCCCGGCCTTTTCATCGTCATATGTTCCGTGAGCACCATGCACAAGTGATACTCGTGCAGAGGGATATCTTGCAAGGGCGCTTCTTGCAGTAGTCTGAACACAGTAATCGCTCTGTAAACCTATGATAACCAGCTGGAGGTTCTGTGGGTCGAAACCAGGAGTCTCGATATGTGACCCCAACGATGTCTTGTGGAAGGAATCGCGCGTTGTTTTATCAACTATCACCTCGTTTTCCTGGATGCGAAATAATTCCGTCTGCACGATTTCCCATGGCGTGGTATTGGGGGTGAAGTCGGGATCATCATCTTCATTGTGCCGAATCCAAATTACTTCCTTTTGTCAGTTATCACAAACCACGTATTTGTCTTAGAGTTGTCCGCCAGGAGTTCTGCCGCAGGTTGGAAATAATAAAGTTGAAGGTAAGGCATACCTTTGGTCGGCGGGGAAGCGGCCCTTTCTCGAGCGAGAGCAGCCTCCAGGTTGCGGAGGATCTTTATCGAGCCAGGGACCGGATTTGGAGGGCCAAGAAGGCATCTCTGGACATCGATGACGAGGAGTATGCGAGTAGGTGAATCCTCTGAACTCATTATGTCTTATTCGAAAATATAATAATATTTAAAATGTCGAATACGATTCGATGACCAGCCTGTCTTGTTCGAGTGCCTTGGTCGGTTAGTTGGCTCAGTTTGACTCACATTGCAGTTCGGCTGCCAAGAGTTTCGCTTATACCAAAAGTTACATCTTTGTAATACGGCCAATCTTTATCCCTCTTAATTATTGCAAGACTATTATTAACTATCAAGTACAAAGAGTCTGAAAATGCGGCACTTGATCCATTATCGAGGACAAGCGCTTTGAAAAGATCATTCTTCACCAATTTAATACCGTCGGTTTATTTAACTGCTTTGCGATTTCGACGTTTCCTCCGGAACATCTGGAGTCCTCGAACTGGTCTTGCTCCCACCAGTTACCTCAAAATGTACCATCACAGCAACATAAGTTGCACCTATGACCCCCGCGACAACCCCATAAGCTATATTTCCACCTGGAGAGTTTGTAGCTAGCTTCAATCCGAACCCGCCGTTTAACATCCCGAGAAGAATGAGGACGCGGCCGTACCAGACGTGAAAGAGGGTCATTTTCCCTCGTTTTCGTGTGGCCATGAACCTCCGGTGGTGAAGGAAGCCGAACAGAGGCCGAAAGAGCAACAAGGCGACAACAACTGTGCCGAGAATCGTGTGGGCGTTGTTCTCAAGCTTTGTATCCTCAGCCACATGATCGTCACCAAAACGTTGCAGTGTGAAAACAATATTTGAGGGCTTACTCTGTCTAAAATCTTCCCAACTTTGGCACCCATGGCCAACCCCGAGATCATGAGCACCCAACCCACAAGCTGGGTGCCGACATGAACCCAGACGGTAGGCTTTCCTTTTGAGCTCAAAAGGCGCATGAGAATTGCTCCGCCAGGTAGAACGACGACCAACGCCAGGCCCATAAGTATGCCGTGGGCTTTGGCATAATTTGGCACTAACGGGAGATCGACGACTACAATCCCTCCAGCCGATACACTGCCAAAAAGAGATGCTGTAAGTAGAGTTGCGGTTAGCTATTGTTCTCGGAGCAGCGACACGGCTCGACTGATTGGAATGCTGCTTACCAAAAACGAAACTGAAAAATACAGCTGGGTCGACGTAGTAATTCATGTTTATTTAACCTTGAAATTTTTCTTCCAGGCCGTGAAAAAATCCAAGCCAAGCTAGAGATAAAAGCTGGTAAAGGTGCTCATCATAGTAAATGGCGAGGGACAATCTCCCATTTATACCAACTGACTCCATCTTGGCTTACGTCTGTGAGCGCATACAATTCCACGCAATGTTTGATCGACAAAGGCATCGCTTGGCCCGATTATAGGACCGAGAACCCCATTGATATACTTTGACTTGAGAGAAAGTGATAATTACAATGATGAGACTGATGATTCGTTTGGTGGCGGACCAATTGGATCGCGGGAGTCGTTAAACACCGAGAGATGCGAGATGTCCGTCTTGGGCACGTCTTGGGAATTTGCACAGCCACGACCACAACAAGTTATGAGCACTTTCTGCTTACGACACATCACGGATGTATCAGTAGCCGGTCTTGGTCAAACCCAAGGTGTATTCTTCTAAATGATAGAGAAATCCGTGAGTTTTCCGTTGTATATTTGTGTCGCTATCATACTGTATTTTTTCAACTTCTTCATACAGTACGCACTGGCACCAATTACCGAACAACAAGGGCTTCAGTTAGCTATGGCTATGCGACTCCTCAAATCTTCTGGTCCAACTTTGCCTATCGCAGCTCCCCCAGTTGTAAAGCAAAAGGCTTGCATATCTTGCCGCACGCGTAAAGTAAAGTGCAACAAAAGCTCACCTTGCACCAATTGTACGCTATGGTCACTTGAATGCGTTTACCCGTCACCCATCAGGAGATGTCCCCGGCCTCGAAAAAGGCCAATCGCATATCCCCCAGATACGGGCGGTAGTGCAAATATCTCGCCATCACTATATGAGAGGATTCAAAAGGTGGAGGAGTTACTCAAAGACCTAACAAGTTCAATCAACGACCATAATGGCTCTCTATCTGAGACTCATGAGCTCGGTGGGACGGGTGATGCTTTCACAGAAGGCACTGAAGATGCGAGAAGATTGGAGGCCCTGGAAAATGCTATAGGGAAGTTGATTATTATAAGAGACAGGGGCAAGCCGCTAGGTTTTAAACCCTTCGATGGCAGGCCAATCACTTCAGCCACATTTATCAATGGCTTTGAGCCGAGTTTTGCAAGTAGCCAGAGTATGAATACCTCATGGGCAGGGGGGGTGTTCTCATTCAATGACTCTACGTCAGAGACTGCATCATTGCTTCCATCAACTGCCCAAACTCAAATATGTTGGCGAGCGTTCCTAGAAAATGTCGACCAACTTGCCAAAGTTTTACACACACCAAGCGCACAAAGTGTACTTCGGAAGGCAGTTAACAACCCGACTTCTCTAAACAATGGCCAGAAGGCCCTCTTGTTCGCCATCTATTTCTCATCCATCTCCAGCATGCCAGTCAAAGATGTTGAAGACTGCTTTAAGATGGACAAGACTACGACACTGGCGATGTACCGAGCTGCTACAGAGCAGGCTCTAACCACGGCAGATTTTTTAGTGGCAGATGATCTAGTCACGTTTCAAGCGTTCGTCCTGTTCTTATCATTCAGCCGCTACGCGCAAGACGCAAAGTTAGTATGGGCCTTGACAGGATTGGCAAGACGTCTTTGCATCCCCATTAACGACGCGTCGCCGTTCACAAAGGAAATGCATAAGCGCCTCAAGTGGCAGCTATGGTACCTTGACCGACGAGCATCCGATGATCATGGCACAGATGCCTGCTCACCTGACCCGATGAAAGACTGGGAGCTTCCATTGAATATCAACGATGAGGATATAGATCCGACCATGACAGTAGCTCCCAGTGCTCGCAAAGGTTGGACTGAGATGAGCTTCTGCCTTATACGTTTTGGAATCGCCAACACCAGTCGATCGCTTGAAAGCGATCTTTCTCAGAGTCAGAAGGAAAGGATGATAAATGAGTGTGGCTTCAAGATACAGAGGGATCATCTAAGGTACTGCGACAACAGTCAACCAATTCACTGGCTCGCTCAGCATGTCAGCTATGTTATGATTTCCGAGATGTGGATCAAGTTATACAATGATGAATGGCTATCGAATAATACTTCATCTGGGATCCACGTTACCCGGAACCAAATACTTCTCACAGCCATCGACATCGTCGACACCCCTCGTCGACTAGAAGCAGAGCCTCAAGCCATAAGATGGAAGTGGCTCCTCACAGCGTACCTCCAATACCATCCTCTTTCCTTTCTTTTGAAAGAACTCTGCCACAGTCGACAGAGCGATACACTTGAGCGCGCTTGGGCAGCCACGGAAGATGCTTTCAAGCGGTGGACAGAGGATAACAAGACTTCAAAGAATGGCAAGTTTCTGCTAGAAATGTTGGAGAAGGCCAAAGCCGTAAGAGCGCAGATCTCGGAATGGCAGCCGTTAGAGGCTTCACTGCTATCCCAAGAGCCCTTTGGTTCGCTGGATGATATGACGTTGGTTATGGCTGATGCTACCTACCAAGACGTTGCACAAATGACCGACCTTGCACCGTTCTTTCCGAGTGAGTGTCAGTTTGGGCACTCTCCGATGCCCGAGGGCATGTCCGATGACATGAATTCGCTGGGATATATGACACATACCCCTTATTTAACACCCGAGCAATACAATAGTTTTAACTGGACGAGCAATGGGTCTCATCTTGAGTTATTGGATGGTAATTCCGAAGATATAATGCTAGATAGTGAGTACCAATTTTGAACGGTGGGCGATGGGCGTCATGGAGTTGGGAATCAAAATCTAGATGTTATTGAGTTTCACTTTAGATAATATGATATCAGTTGCAGTGTACCTCCTAGGCTTGACGCCTTCCTTGGTTGTTTATATTCCATTTCTATAACTACTACGGAAACACCTCCTTAAACACCCTTAAATTCTCCCCATCATCAAAAATTGCAAACACAATCTCCTCAATTCCTTCCGCATACCCATACCTCCTACTATCGCCACAAATAACCTTCTTAAAAATCTTCGCCACCTCCTCCGGCGGGTTCCCATAGGCACCACACCCCAGCGCTCCCAAAACCAATCGCGTAATCCCCATCTCCCTTGCAATCTGCAAAATCAGCCTCACCTTCAGCGTCATAGTCTCCCTATCTTTCTCTCTAGCGTAGATCTTCCTCCCTTGGGCATCGACTTCGACATCCGGCCCCTTGAGCGCGGCACACGAGATGACATCCACAAACGTCCACTCTGCCTTCGGGAGGATGGCCGTGCCGTTGAGTTCCGAGTTGCGGAACACGACAATATCAGGCGAGTGAATGGCACTGAGGGTGGGGAGGCGGTAGAAGGAGTCCCTTAGACTGGGGTAGAGGGTGCTGCGCGAGCAGAGGGACTCTTCCTGTGCTATACTCCCTTTGAGGACGCCGCCGCCTGGTTGGTAGGATGATGCCATGTTGAGGACGCCTACTCGGGCGCCGGGTTTGGATGATGTGAGGGCGATGGCAGCATCGAAAGTGTCGGACTGGATGACGGTGATTCTTGGTGGTGCCGGTGTATCTGTATTTGACGGCGACGATTCCGAAGGCTGGACTTTTTTGGATGGTTCAAAGCCAGGTGTATAAAGGATCATTTTTGAGCGCGTGATAGCGCTCTGAGCTCGAGGGCTAGCCTTGAGGATTTTAGGAATTACGACATGGATTGTCTCCTTGTTATTCTTTGCGCGCCAATTTTTGTTTCGAAATGGCGCTGGCGATGAGCCACCTAGCTTAGATTCTGATGTTGATGCCATTCTTGCAGTTTAGTGAAATTTTTGTTGAAATTATATAGCTTTTGTGATTGAAGTTAATACTTGTGCAGTAAAATTTGTTCGACGAAAAATGTTAGTTATTAGATTTCATGTGGCTTATTATATGTTCCGAATTGCAGGGTTCGCGCCATGAGTCAATCGGTCAAGGGCGAGGCGCAGCAATTGTTTGGAGAGATCACCACATTGTCATATATTCGGTAATTTTAAAATAGAATAATACCAAGAGACTGGGTTTCGGATTAAACTACGTAAAATTTCAGGTGTCATTTAGTTCCACGATGGATAATGTAAATCCAGTTACCATTGCGGAAATACGTCTCCAATGTCGAAAGTTCTATATACACAGAGTGGTAATTTCCGAAGGCTTGTAAGAACTTCCACAATCATGTGTCCTCTTACAGTACCATAAAGGAGGACGATTGGAAAATAAGCCCAACTTCCCACATCAGAATTGGTTTTGCCTGTTTTTGCTCTTTCTAAAATGCGTCCAGACGGCCAATGTCACCATGGCTAGCTCTGCTAACCTCTATATCAGTCGCTGGTTTCGAGGGCAGTTCCTTCAACCCAATCCGCAGTAGATACTTGCACCATCTCCCAAATCGACGGGGAGCGGCAATGGTTTCAAAAACCCAGAAGAAGTCTGTCGTGCCTGTTGAAATTAAACTCGAAACTCGCCATAATATCAACTCGACTCGGGTTGGAAAGATGAATATATGGACACATCTTATAGGGTGTCTCGGCTTCGTGGTAACCGCATTTGCTCTATACAGACATGTCATAAACTCCACAAACCTCCATCTCACCATAGGCGATAAGCTAGCTTTCAGCTCCTCGATAGCCGCAGCTACCATCTGCTTCGGTCTCAGTGCCACATTTCGCACCTTAAGAAGTCACTCATACAAAGTTCACCACTTCTGGGGAAAGATGGATATTTTCAGCATTTGCGTGCTCGGGCTCGGAGCCGGATCATCAATGACCTTCTACGCGTTCTATTGCAGACCAGTCATTCAAAAGGTATACTGGGAACTGAACCTCTTCTCGGCTTTAGCTGCTGCAGTCGTTCTTTTCGACACTGGTGGCGGCGGTAGTAAAACGAGAACGCTTCGTGGTGGCGTGTTCATCTTGCTTGCCCTCTTCGCATTGTTGCCGTTCTTTTATAGCGCCGGCCTGATGGGCTGGAGCTGAGCACGCAGCGAAATTGGTGCTATATGGTATGTGGCAGAAGGAATCTCTCTCTTACTTGGAGTAGGTTTGTTCGTGAGTAGAGTTCCCGAGAGATTGAGACCTGGTTCTTTTGACACCTGTGGCCATTCGCACCAGCTATTCCACATTTGCGCTGTCATTGGTGGGACATTCCACGTTGTTGTCCTTGTGGTCGGATATAATTACCGCCAAACACTCCCGAATTGTTAAGTGACGTCAGGCTGAATCCAAGAGAGCTATCAAATTCTGATGACTTTCTTGACCTGGAATGTGGATTGCCTGTTAGTTGAGAGAGATTTCGTTTTCTGAACAAGTGACTGGAGGAATGGCGTTGGCACTTGTTTCTCGGCGATTTCAGGCATAACATAACCTCGTTGGTTGCTAACAACCCTCACGTTGGCTTTTGAGAACTCGGTGCAGAAATGAGTGTGCCCAAATATCCACCACTGCACGTCTGAGAGAGCTGGTTTGTCCTCATTCCCAAGAAGATCGGTTGCAAAAGCAGACCCCCATGGGTTTCCACTATGAAGTGGACTGCTTGATTCTCGTACTGACGGAGCGTGATGGGTAACGACCAAAATCTTATGCTCCGAAGTATTTTTATCATCTCGAATAAGTTTGATCTGGTTTTCTAGCCAAGCCACGTCGAGAGAATGTTCCTTATTATGGCTGGCTATTGTCCAATTTTCAATTCTCTGGAAGTCCTTCACCCTGCCTCTCACAACCTCCTCTGCTTCAGGAGGTATCAAAGAATGCAGCGTGCAGCCAAGAATCGTGATGCCGTATTCCTCCAGCGATACTCGAGTTCGGTTTAGCACCGTGAGTTTGCCGACAAGATTAGGCTCCTGCTCCAAAGACGCTGCCCGCCGAAGCCCTTCGTCTCGTGACAGCCCGTAGAATTCATGGTTGCCAAGGACCAGGAAAACACGGGAAAACTGACGACATTGTGCACGAAGGAACACAAGGAATGGCTCGTAATTGGCCAGTTGTCCAATATCTCCAGCAAGGATAAGGAACGGAGCTGCAGGAGGGATAGAAAATGTGCTATATTGGTTTGAGAGTTCCAGATGTAGGTCAGACATGACTTGAAAGTGGGCCTTCTTGCGAGGTATTGGGCCTGACATCATTGAAGAAATGATAATACTACCTCATTCATCAGACTTAACATTTGAATAGAATAGAGGTACGAGATAAATCACCTAGTTTTGCAACCGTTGCAAACTATAGACCTTAAAATATTGGCCAGGGGACCTGGATGAACTGTGACAGAGTCTGCAAACCAGCATTAATTCGTGTTCCTTCTCTCCGCCAATATTTGAAGGATTAAAAAGGGGTAAACCCAGCAAACAATAATATGGCAACATTAATCACGTGTGTAAGAGCTAAAAGTGACTCACGGGCGCTTAATAATCCGTCAGGTTATTCCAATTATTTATTCCAACTCCAATTGACCAATCTACATAACTGTTCTATCACCTAGAACTCAATCCGTCTGCAAGGCGTCTTTTAGTAACCAAAATAACCAATTAAGCGAAAGAAAATATCATAGCCAAATATTACAATTACAGGATTCACTTCTTAAACCATTACTTCCTAACTCTCACCCTCCCAACCATTTCTCACAATGGGTAAATTCTACGACCAAATCGACTCGAACCTCTCCGAATGGGCCCTCGCCCAATCCGTCTTCTTCACCGCCTCCGCCCCCACCTCGGGCAAACACGTGAACGTATCCCCCAAAGGCCTCCCCTCCTCCTCCCTCGCCATCCTCTCGCCAAACCAGGTCGCCTACGTCGACGCTACCGGCTCCGGAAACGAGACAATCTCGCACATCTACGAGAATGGGCGCGTGACGATCATGTTCTGCAGTTTCGATGCCGCGCCGAGGATTATGCGGTTCTTTTGCACGGGGAGGGTGATTGAGTGGGATGACAGGGAGTTTGATTCTTGGTTGGCGAAGATGGGGGATAAGAAGATTTTGGGGGCGAGAGCGGTGATTGTGTTGGATGTTTTTAAGGTTGGTTGCTAATTTTGTTGATGAACTTGTTTTGTTGGCGAAAGATTTGGAAAGTTCTAACGCGATACAATAGGTGCAAACTTCGTGCGGGTTTGGTGTCCCCAAGCTGGTTAAGATTTCCGGCGGCTCTGAGGATGATGAGGAGAAAGCCGCGGGGTGTGAGTATGGCTTTGAAGACCGTGACACCATCGGCCACTGGGCGAAGAAGAAGATGGACAAGAATGCGTTGTTTGAGTACCAGCAAAACAATAACCATGACAGCTTAGATGGCCTTACCGGGCTCAAGTCCGCCCGACGAGATAGGGGAGAGGTGATGCTGGTAGCGGACATCCGGGCTTGGATGAGGAAGGTCTGGGGACAGAAGGACGCGATGTTGGTTGGGTTTATGCTCGCCCACTTGATATATGTGGCGATACTGATTGTGGACTATTTTTCGCTGATCTAGGCGCTGCGTTTTTACTGCATGAAATACCCAGAATGGAGCAAGTGCGGTTGCACGTCTGGTTGCAGATAGGAGATGATGGAAATGAATGAAATGTCAAAGTATCAACACCGGAATTATGATGGTGTTGAACAACAAGTAAATAAGGAGGGAACTGAAAATAGAGGGATAGTGCTGGGAATACCAAAGGATTTGATTTGGCAACTCACTTCGAGGCGCCGAGGGCCATATTTACAGCGAGCGAGTACGATTCAGTCACCCCTGAGAAAGTCGGATCAGCATCCATTCATTCAGAACTCTGGGCGTCTACTCAGGAAAATTGACACAATACACGACCTCTACCCCTGAGAGACGTTTAACGCATCCCGTGGTTTTTGTACTTGATTTGGTATTTCCTAATATCGCAAGAGCGTGTGAGCGCAGTCTTATTTATGGGCGTGGTAGTTTCATATTACACAATCGAAGAAAGCAGCCCCCCCACCTTACACTTCATTACACGCACCCAACAACCACGGCTGCGGCGGGGGGAAATGGGTAATACCGGCACAGACCTGTAATCCCTTGACTTCATATCCCCAATCCACCCTCACTGAAGCCCCTCTTCGTCGCCATTGGTCTGGTAAATATGTCTGCTCCTCGACGGATCCTTCCTCATCGTCTGTCCCGACCCCGTAAACCCAACTAGAACGCACAAAAGTCAGCAATCTCATCCACTTGACTAAACAGCAAACCAACAGAATGAGAGAACATACCTCGACCATGCACCCCCTCCGGCGTCCTAAACATACTCTCCTTCTTCTTCACCCCCGGCGTCCCCTTCTTCCCCATCCCCTTCGCCGCCCAATCCTGCCACTTCGACTTCCCCTTCTCCAGCTCCTTATTCGCCTTAATCTTCTTCGGCGCTCGTTCCGGCCTCACCGGTCCATCCCCCACCTTACTCGCCTCCCTCTCGCGCGCCATCTGCGCATCCCTATCAATCTCCGCCTCTGCACTTATCACCCCCCCCGCACTCTCCCTCCTCTCCCCGGACGACGACGAAGAAATCGGCGTCCCGTCAGCCTTCCGCTTCGCTGCAGTGGAAATGGCTTTCACATCCCTCCCCCTCAGCGTCTCAACAGTGTCGTAGGACTTGAATTTGACGATGTACACCGGATCAACACTACTACCCGTAATACTCGTGATCCTCGCCGGGTAAAACCCTTTATCCCCCGAATGCCACTTCGCCAACACCATATCATTGACCTGGAAATTCGGCTTCTCGCGCTGCTCCTCCTCTTCCTCCTTCGGCGCGGCAGCAGCCACATCGCGGAACTTGGGGTGGTTCTCGCGCTTCCATTTTTCGGGCGCGGAGGGAGCCGCAGCTGCTGCGCTGGAGGAGGCTTTGTGCTGGGCTTTTGGTGGTGCGGAGGGGGGCGCAATGTCGGCGATGGCGGATTGGGAGAGGGCGATTACTTGGTCGAGTTCGTTCTTCAGCTCAAGGAGTTCGGCGTTGCTGGGGTCGGATTGGAGGCCTAGTTGGACGGTTTCGAGCTGTGGGGGGGTCGGGAGTTAGCATGCGTTCTGAGGAGTGTGGATGGTGTGGTGAGTGATGCGCCGACTCAGATCGACGTGAGAAGTGCTTGCCGCAGAACAGCCACATTGAAAGAGAGGTAAGGACATACCTGAAGCCTATACTCCTTAATCTCCGCCTCCAGAGCGGCAATTTCACTACTCATCGTGGTTATCAGTCCCCGCCTTTGCGTGACTTATATCTCAACAAGCTTCGCCTCCCAAATCCGATAGTTGCGCTGTGCAGTGATTCCAAGCTCTCAGATCAAAGGGTTTAAATGTTCACAATATGAATATGCAGAGAACACAGACAGTGAAGTGAAGGAGAAGTAGTATCACAACTGTTGACACAAGAAAGCCTGAAGTGACGTTTCTGACTTGCCCAGTGGGGACTCAGTGATGTGGACGAGGCAGAGCCAAACAAGGCTTATCGCTGTCACGTGGCGATTAACATTCAATGCACGTGACCATAACAGACTTTTAGGCGTTTATTCACAGTGAAGAAATTGCGTAAAAAGCGGGCGTGGATGGAATGAGAAGCAAAAAATGGTAATATTATTGGTAGAGAGAGGAAAGAAGTAAACACCGCGAATGGACGAAATGTTAACCAGAATAGTGGCCTGTGATAAGACGCCCGGATGGGCTAATAAAATATGAGAACCACAGATATAACGAAATGCAAGTCTTGATTTCATATTCTTGCACTATTAGTATCCTGCATCTACGCCCATCTCTCGTCAACTCTCGTATCCCTTAGCCAAACACGCACGGCACGCACATATCATCCCAAACACAAGAGCATAGTTATAGTATAGCATCATCGTCTTTACATCTGAGTAGTAGTCCCCCCACCCAGATCTCATCTCGCCGTCTCAATCCTCATTGTATCATCATCCACCCCTATGCATCATAGCAAGCCGCGCGCGTGTGCGTTTCGTACATATAAATACCCCCCTCTCCCTCTCTCCCCATTCCATCCCATCCCCTCCTCGCCACAGCAGCACCCCACCAACCATAGAAGCTCACCCCCCCCCTTTACTCGAAAGGAAGAACGAAAGCCGACAATCCAAAGTTAAAAAAACCCAGCAATTCTCAACACACACACACACAAGCCCAGAAGCAGAAAAACTCCCAACCCAACCCAAAGGAAAGGGCAAAGCAACGCAAAGCAAAGCAAGTAAGAAAAACAAGCACGACTAGAAACCAACAACACACCCAAAAACTAGGCGAAAAAGAGCGGGGAGAAGTGAATCGGCGCAGTTTTCGTCACTGTAGCAAAGAGGGAAGAGAAGAGACAGAAAAAAACAAAACAAAAAATCGTGTAAAGCATCCATTAAATTTGAGTTTTGTTTGTCTGGGCCATAAAAAAAACAAAAAACGAAGCAAAGCAAGATATAAAAGAACACCGTAGTAAAGTTGTTCCCCCATTTGAATAGCCCCAAATAACCAGCTATCAAAAAAGTTGATTCCATTTCAGACCAGACACCCCGTTCACCACCCCCTGCGTGACGCCGTAGCATGCCACCTTCCCTTTCCTTTCCCTTTCCGTTTCCCATTTTACTCATATCGATTCCCGACCCAGCTCATTCAGATCCCAGTGTCCAGTGGAGTAAGCGTGCTCACTTAGTCACCGAACAAGCATGGAACCCCCCAGGAGCAAACATCGTATCCAGCACGTCCTTGAAATCCGTCTCCTGGATGACGGGTCCCTCACCGCTACACTTGGCTTTCTGCTGGAGTTGGGAGCAGAGACTGTCCATGTCGATCTCGCCGTTCTGGACGGCGGGGCAGGCTTGGATTTGTTCCCTGGTGAGTGAGTTAGTCTGTGTTTCCAATGCAGCTATTTTAGGGTGGGGGACATACCACATATTCGTGCACGTGAGCATCTCGCTCTCAGCAGGAACCACCTCCTCCTCACCAAGCTGCGCGTCAATCTCCCCAATCAAATCCTTCTTCCCGCCCTGGTGCTGCTGCGGTTGGTGCTGCGTCGCCGCCACCGTGTGCTGCGTCTGCTGCGGTGTAGCATCCAACGAAAACGGACTCCCCGAGAATTCCCCAGGGATAGCAAACGCCTCATTAAAGAAGGAATCATCATACAACCCCGTTAGTATATTATCTTGCGGCTCGCGATAATCCCCAAACAGCTGCGGATCGAACTGGTTCCCGTTCTGCGCCGCCAGCCAATCCAAGGAATTGATATCGAAGGAGGAGTTTGACGCCGGGGTGGGGGCGGCGGTGGATAAGGAGGGGCCGAGGGGGGGAGATGTCATGGTGCGTGGGATTGGTTGGGAGGCTGAGCCGCAGACTTGGGATAGCTTGGAGCAGAAGGAGGATTTGCTATCGATTGCCGGGTCTGCGGAGTGTGATTCCTCGCCGATGGTGGAGAGTGTTGTTGTCGCTGCGGCGGCGGCGGCGTCGGTCTTGGATGCGGGGGGGGATTGGGTGTATGGCTCGGGCGAGGTGCCGCAGGAGGAGCTGGTGCCGTGGTGGGAGTTGGAGGAGGCGGGGGAGGAGTGCGATGTGTTGTGACCTGTGCTCATTGGGCCGCTGCCGGCGGAGTCGGCGCTGGAGGCTGATGTGCTGCCTTTGTTGTGGTGGAGCATGTAGTCGAAGTTGCCGTTTGTCATTCCCTCGAGCGCGGCGCCGTTGTAGAGGCCGGAGTAATTGTTGGTTTGGTTCGAGCCGAAGCTGATGGATTTGTGTGAGCCGTTGTCTAGAGGGCTGAGGTTGCTCGTGAAGCTCGTTGAGCGGGATGGTGCCTCGCCGGGTGATGTCGACTTTGAGGGCTTGGTGAGAACGGGAGGTCCGGGGAGCTGGCCGAACTTGGGGAACTCAAAGGAGAAGTTGACGTCGTTGGGGTTGTGAGGGGCTTGACCCGCCTTCTGATACGTCGATAACATGGGCATGAGGGGGTTTCCGGTCTGCCGGCTCACAGCAGCCTGCTTGTATTCCTTCAGCTCCGCGGTCATCTTGTCCACCTTGGCGCGCAAGATAAGATTCTCATGGTTCGCCGCCTCGGAGGCCTTCTCCAAATCTTGGACCTTAGTCTCGAGGTCCTTAAGGTGCTTCTCCTTTCGCTCACGGAAAGCCCGTTGAGCCGCGCGATTCTGCGCCTTGCGTTTCTACATCAAAAATAGTCAGAACTAAGTCCCATCGACAGCGGAGCAGTTAAAGCCTTACCGATGTCGGTTCTGAAGTTAGTGGCTTCCTCCCCGGCTTCTTGGACGTCTTATCGTCGCCCTCCCTGCGCTTTCCATCCGGCTCATCGTCGTTCTCCTCGTCGTCCGACAAGCTGCGCTTATCGTGCGACTCGTTCGCCGCCGCATCGCCATCCGACGACGTACCGGGTAGGTTGCCGATCATCTGGCCCTGCGGGAGGTTGCTGAAGTCGTACTCGCCATAACTGGCCTCGTTGTCGAAGTCGTAGTCGTAATCGATGAACGGGCTCTCGTCGAGGTTCGCCAGGCTTCCCGATCCCGGCGCCTGGAGCGGCGATGTGGTGGCGTTGTCGAAGGCGGCGGGAGCGATGGTCTGGCTATCGCCGTTCTGCTGCTGGTCGGTCGCGGTGTTGCGGTTGGAATTGAGGGCGGCGAAGAGGAGGTCCTGCTGGTGGGGGGACAGGATGAAATTCGGCGCATGGAAGCCGTTGGTGGTAGCGGAGGCCATTTCGTCGGTGTCCCGCGAGGTGGTCGTTGTCATGAGAGTGGCGTCCGAGTAATCCGGCGATAAGGGTTTCTGGTTTCTCAGGTTTGGGGTTGGACTTGGTGTATATTCCGATCTCGAGACGTTTGTTGAACGAGAGAGAGAGTTTTGAGGCGAACTCAGCCACCGAGATTCTGAGTAGAGTTCAGGAGCGGGTTTTGGTGTGAGGGTAGGCGGCTTGGCGGGTTGGTGGAAGGGAGAAGAGAAGAGACCACGAAGGCTGGAAGCGGGATGAGTGGGATGGGTATGGGTATGGGTAAGGGAATGGAACGGGCGTAATGGGGCGTGACGGGGTATGGAAGGGATGGTGGGTGGTGGTGGAAGTGGTGGTGGTAGGTGGTGGTAGCAGTACTTGGGATATATGCGGGATGCGGAGACTCGGAGTTTAGTTTAAAGTGCGATGAAAGAGAAGGAAAGGAAGGATAGAGTCGGTAGTGGGAGGTTAGTAGTGGGAGTAAGTGGGAGTTAGTTGGTGGTAGTGGGAGTAAGAGGGAGTTAAGTGGGAGTTAGGTGGGAGTAGCGGTACTCTTGGTAACAGTGGTAGTACACGAAAGTAGAGTAAGTATCCCAAGTATTGTAACCTCCACCCCTCTAAAGTCTGATATCCGCCACCACTAAAGGACGCTATACGGCCGATCTTTCTCTTGGACGATCGACGGTTCGATTGGGATTTCTGCGATTGGGAGTGGATTGGGGGTTGGGGGTTGGGGGTTGGGGATTGGGTTTTTGATATCTCGCTATATGTGGCGTGGCAAATCGAAAGTAAGGATGCAGTGAATGACAGGTACCAGATCAGATCAGGACAGATAAGGGTGAGATTGAGTTATGTATGAAGATGGAGCAGGAGGGGAAAGGGAAAGAGGAGTGGCAAGTGTAAGATTTCTATTACGGGAGAGTGGTATAGTATGGGAACCTCGTATATGTCGAGTGCAGTATAGAAGGCTAGAGAGACTGAGCAGAGAAGGGATAGATGGAATCTTCAACATTACAGCACAGTACAGCACAGCACAGCACAAGCACAGCACAACACAGCACAGCACAGCACAGCACACAGTACAAACACCAGCAGGCAGTCTTCGGCTTTTGGCCGGTCATAGCGGATAGAAGACCCCCTACCCGTACCTCTACCTCCATCCCATCCCACCAAACCGTCACTCACAAGTCACAGGCAGAAAACGTGATAAGAAGCCCCCATCCTCCCCTCTGTGTTCACCACCCTCTCCGTACACCTCCCCCCATCCCACCGTTCCACAGCACTGCCACAGCCTCCCTCCTCCCCATCACACAGCGTCACACCCCCCTAAAACCCCTCCAATCCCCACCGCAACCACAAAATGGCAGTGCATAACAGCCCTATGGATGCAAGTGATATTGGGTGAAAAACGGCAGTTTGTGCGATGCTGCTAAGACGGGGTGTCCATATCTCACTGTTTTTGTGGTGGGTGAGGAGGTATTGGTACAAAGAGAAGCAGAGAGGGTACATGTGCAGGTACACTTCTCACAAGGCAGAAGTGGACGCACGTACCCTTGACTGCTACTGCACAGGAACACAGAAAACCCCCTCACCTCTCCCCCCTCGCCACCCCCAGCATCTGATAATGGACGAGCAGTCGCTCAACTACCCCGCTGCTACCTCCCTTCTCACACATCCTCCCACCAACAAACTGTGTACCAACCCCGTACCACAAGGTCTTAAAACCCAACTCTTCCCCCTTCCCCTACCACTCACACGCACTGGCAAAAGGCAGCACAAACACCGCAAATACCTATAAGAAGCACGACAGCTGATTGGCCACCACAAAACTTCTTCTCCGTCCTTCTGTGAGTATTACTCACGCGGCCTGGTGATTAGCGGGAGGGGGTGGTTGATTTATCAGCAAAACGGTGTTGGTACGTACTAAGAGTGTGCTGGGGGTTGGTCTAGTCTTTCTGACTCCTCTGGATTGGAAAGGGTGGGGGCCGAGGAGGGGATGGGGGGGGTGGTGATTGGTCAATAGGGAGGAGGGGAGTGAGGGAAGGGCGTGTTTTGTGGGAGTGCACGGGATTTGGGTGTGTGGTGCTGTTTTACTGTGTGGTGGTGCGTGCAGGTGTTTTGGGGGACGGGTGGTTGGGCGGGCTTATGTACCTCGTCACTGGAATTTAGTGGGGAGGTACATGAGTTTGGGGCAGGAGGCCACGATGGATTCACGCTTTGGCAGACAGAGAGGTGCTTGCAGTGCGTGCAGTACAGTGCAGTGTGCAGCTTCCCAACGAAATAACGATCCGGCTAGAGTACAATATACCCCTTACTTTATGCTATATCCCAGTACTGAGTACAAGAGTACAACTCCCCCATCCCATCCCATCCCATCCCATCCAGTCTTCTACCCTGTCCAGTCTGTTTGGTAAGTACAACATCTAGACCACAATCCATTCTCACATCCTCCCCCCTGACGTCAGAGGGGCAGTCATCAACGCCTCTACCCATTTCCCCATACTGTACAGCAGAGTACTACTCGCAGCACTCTAATTCTAATCTCAATCTCAATCTCACCCCATCCATCTCACCCCCCATCCGATCACTCAGACTCATAATCCACCAGCAGCCCCTTGCTAGTCGTTATTGCCACTCCTGGTCCTGCGCCCGCTGCAGTACCCTCTCCCCCAGCTTTAACTTCACTTCCACTTCCACCTTCACTTCCACCTCCACCACCTTCACTCCCCCCACTCCTCTCCCCCACCACCTCGCGCTTCCGCTTAACCCCCAACACCGCCCTCCCGCCCGCCACCCGCGCGCCGCCGCCATCGAGAAACGGATCCATCCTCACGCGCGTATTCCTCTCCACCGTCTTTGCTAGCATCTCTTTCCTCTCTTCTGGGCCTGGTGGTTTCCTCTTCTTCTTCTTCGCGCTTCTCAGCCTCCCCTCCCCCTTCCCCTCCCTCTCCCCGTTCCCATTCCCTCCATCCTCCTCTCTCCTCCGATCAACATCAGCAAACGCCAACTCCGCCCTCAACCCATCCTCCCTCGTTGCGGGCAAAACCACCCCCTCCCACCCCCCCAACCCCAACCGTTCCTTCATCCCCTCCACCCTCCTCGCCTCTCCCTCCCTCCCCTTCCTCCCCTCCCTAAACACCCCCCTAAGTCTTCGATTCGCCTCATAAGGATCCTCCCACCCCCTCCTCTCCTCCAGTAGTTCTCCAATCCTCTCCCTCGCCCCCTCCACCCGTTCCCTCTCCTCCACCTTCCCCTCCAACCCCACAAATGCATTCCCCCTCCTCTCCTCCCTCTCCCTCTCACTCAATATCACCGTATCCCCCTCCCCCACCCTCTCCTCCCCCAAATCCCTTTTCCTCGCCCCCTCCGTAACCACATACGCCGTATTCCTCGGATCGGTCCTAATCTCTATCCCCCCCCCACACGCAGCATGTTTAATCCCAAACGCCCAGATCGGCGTGCTATGATACATGCCAACCTTCCGCTTCTGGGCGTTAAACCGTACTCCCTGGCCGATTATGGTGGGTTTTGGACAGGTGGTGCACCAGATGGGGAAGGGCATCTCGAAGCGGACGGTGAGGATGCCGAGATGGGATTTTGAGGCGCGGGAGCCGAGGGGGTGCTTTTTTTGGAGGGCGTTGGCGGAGGTGAGGCCTTCGTGCTCGGGGGGGACGTAGCGGCCCATGTTGAAACCTTGCATTTTGAAGGAGAGGGGGCCGTGAGGCGGTGCTGGGTGGGTGGGTGGTGTGTGGTTTGGGTGTGGCTGTGGGGTATATAGTAGATGTTCGGGATGAGGATGATGTGGGTGAGGTGGTTGTGGTGGGGGTTAAATGGTATTTGGTAGTGAGGATAGCGGATCAGACGTCCAGCGTCGTTGTCGTGGTCGTTTCTATCGTATTGTTGTAGGTATATTCAAGGCACAGCACCTAGCACCACGGTGTCGTCTGTGTTGCGTTTCACCTTGCTCCTCCTCCCAGAAGGAAGACGTCGTCGAGGTTGAGGCGATAGGTGACAGCCGCAAGGCGATATCGATAAGATTCTGCCGCCTCTCCCCGCCCCTCTAAGATGTGTTTGTACTAGTGCAGCCCAAAAGTCCGAGGAGGTGCATAATCGCACCCGTTGACAGTGACTATCAGTAAGATAAACGCTATTAATCACCCAAAGCAATAATTAACCAAGCTATCCACTCCGATTTATATCCAAGTAACTAAACTACTAAACTACATCAGCTTCACTATTAATATCATTTCCAAGCCACAGACGGCTCCAAGTACTCCCGTGCCGCACTCTATCTATCCCCAGATCTCTTGGCCCGTGCACCATGCACTAGCGTCGCGGCTACGACCTGCCATCTCCCCCACTCCCAAACCACAAGCTCAGGGACGCATTACCTCACCTCACCTCTCCTTCTCTACCCCTACCCCAAAAAATCCCACACACAAACCCTCATATATATAAACCACATAAAGCCCACACCCACCCATCCAACACACGCCTCACCCGCTTGCCCCCAACATCCGGGCCACAAAAACCCGCACCATGGACGCCTACGACCATATCCAGGAATCGGCGCTGGCGCCCGACGAGCCCTCCTCGGCAGCGGGCAATAATGGTGCGAATGGGGAGGGAGGGAAGCAGACGGCGCAGAATACGTTGAATGCCGATTTTCAGGATGCGTATAAGGCGATTAGCTCGAGTCCGTGGGGGGCGAGGTTGGGGGGGTTCTTTGGGAGTGTGGTTAAGCAGGTTAGTAGTGCTGTTTGGTCCGGTTACGTCGACGTGGTGCGATGGGACGGGATAGAGGGAGTGAAGGAGAATGAGGGGGTTTGGGGCGAGATAGGAGGCTAATAGATACAGGGCGAACATGTCTACAAAGAAGCTTCCCAAGAACTCAGCGCCGTAGGCCAAGAAGCTACCAAGGGCCTCGCAGACCTCCGATCCTCCCTCGTCGGGCAAGCCAAGAAATCCGACCCCAGCACCTCCGACGACACCACCACCACCAAAGACGGCGAGACACCCACTGCTAAAGATGGCGAACCCACCACCGCCACGCCCAGCGAAGGCGTCCTCGCCCGCCTCCGCACCGAAGCCGCTAAACGACTAAAGGATATCGAGCGCGCCGAGGACGCCGCCGACGAGGCACTCCTCCGTTTCGGTACCGGACTTAGGGATTTCCTCCGCGAGGCTGTGAGTATCGCACCCGCTGGCACGGAAGAGGGTGGACAGGAGGGGGGGTTCGAGAGTAAAGACGCAGCGGGGAAGCGGGTGATTCACTCGACTCGTTTTGAGGCGCAGATGCACGCTATCCACTGTAATGCCGACAGCTTCACCAAGGACCCTGAGGGGGAGGAGTGGGCGGAGTGGAGGAAGGAGTTTGATGCCGAGGCGAGGACTGGGGAGGTAAGTGCGGATCTGGAGAGGTTTGGGGAGTTGAGGGGTATGATGGAACGGTTGGTGCCGGGGGAGGTGAGGTATGAGGAGTTTTGGGCGAGGTATTACTTTTTGAGGCATAGTATTGAGACGGCGGAGAAGAGGAGGAAGGAGTTGCTTAAGGGTGTGTATATGCTTTTTATTCTCTTTTGTTTTGTCTTATTTCTATTTCTACCCCCCTTCTTCTACTTATCTAAGAGGACCAACCAAGCTAACGAAACCCCAGGCGCCGCAGCAGACGCAGAAGAAGAAGTAGGCTGGGACGAAGACTCCGGCGACGAAGCCACCCCCGCCTCCGCATCCGCCTCCGCAGCAGCCACAAAGAACAAACCCACCTCCTCCGTCGCCTCCTCCCAGACCATCAACCCCCCCGCCGCCCCACCGCGCGACGACTCCCGCCTCGACCCCGCAGACGCAAAGCGCAAGACGAGCGCTGATGGACGTAGCGTCGCCGACAGCGAGGCGAGCTATGATGTCGTTGGTGCGCGTAGCGGGGTTCCCAGCGCGGCGCCGGGGAGTCCGAGACAGGAGGGGAAGAAGGGGGAGGAGAGTGATGAGGATTGGGAGTAGAAGCGGGATGGATGGGTTGGCGTTCGGAGGTGTGTGTGGTGGGGTATTATTGTATTTGTTTGTGTAGTTTGGGCGTTGGGGTGGGGGTAGTTGTTTGAATGGATGGAGTGGTGTCTCTCTCCTCCCCGTTCGATTTTCCGTGCAATCGTGCGTGTGTGTGATTCGTAACGCCGCTCTTTACCTCTTCTTCCTACTAACCACCGTCTCAAACCCATCCTCATCAATCTGCGGCGCCTGCCTCTCCCTCGGCGCTTGCGGCTCTCCCATCTCCACATCCTCATCCTCCTCCTCCTCCTCGCTCTCACTCTCACTCTCCTCCTCACTCCCCTCCCCACCCTTAACCTCCTGCCCCACGACCCTCCCCCCTCTCCCCCCCTCCCACCTCCTCTTCAACTCCTCCACCCCCCCAAAATTCCCCCTCTCACACTCCCCCCTAACCCTAATAATATCATCCGCCACCTCCCCCGCACTCCCATCATCAACCGCGACCTCAAACTCATCAAGCATCACCTGCACCAACATCGCTTCCACATCCTCCTCGTCCACTTCCGTGCTGCTGGTCACGTATTCGGAAATCGCGCCGCCGAACCAGTCGCGCTTGTCGGAGGAGGAGGGTCCGCCCCAGTTGTTTTGCACGGCGAGGGTGAGGGCCGGCCAGAGGAAGAGGGAGAGCGAGATTCCGAGGTCGAGTTGTGCGGATTTTTGCTCTGGGGAGGGAAGGGGGGGTTAGTGCGGGGTCCGTTTTTTGGTGGGTGGGATGGGAGGGAATTACCTGCGGTGGGTTCTCCTGAGGGGGGAGCCATGGTTGGGTATGTGATCGAAACGGTGGCTTGATCGGGGTTTTATAATCGTGAGGTCGTAGGAGTATGGCTCGTTCTGTACTGCGTATTGTTGATTTGGTGGTTGCTTCTATCTGCGAAATTTCAAAAATTCGAGATTACCTAATCTAATCCAGTCCCTCGCACGTGCCGCCCGCGCCAAAAGTCTAAGTCTAATGTTTTCGGGGGGCACGGACCAGGGACTGATACCGAATGTATGACGTCGACTGTCTCGCTCGGGAACGGTTCCTTGTCCTCGGTGATCGACGTTGGGGAGTGGAATGTTGTCTCTGCCATATGGAGCAACTGGGAATCTCTTTTGGGAACAGATGGATCGATTGCGGTGGCTTAGATTGGCTGAGGCTGCTGCTGTGATATAAGTACTCTTTGTCCGCTATTTGGTTGGTGCGAAAGGGTTTAATATCGTTGATATTTCTTCAGTCCCGATTCTGAGCAACGAGGACTTGTTTGAGTAGATGCTCTGTTGGGATTACCATACTAGCTAGGAGGAGGATATCGATTTTTATTTCCACTGTTGGATAAGCTGTTATATATTTGGCGTCATGCCTTTCAATACCGCGACGGTGGGCACGGCAGTTACGCCTACTGTCATTGCTACACTTATATCTCATGTACGCCCTGACCCCAGCTCACATCCACAGTTACACTGCTAACACTCCCCCAGTACCTCAATCGCAAAAAGAGCAAGACCCGGGCCCTCAAACCAACAGCCCACATCTCCTACGACGAAGGCCTCGCACTCATCCGACAATTCCTCCTCTACGCCTCCCACCACACCGTCGAAGAGCTCCAAGGCTTCACCTCCCAAAAAGTCCCCCACCCAACATGGGTCAAGACCAAAGAAGTCAACATCCCCCCGGCCCAAATCGCTAAGGCTGCCACAACAATCCAAACCCAACTCGGTCCCGAGGGCATCGAGCTGGTCGGCGGCAAGACATGGTGGCAATGGCGACGCCCCGGCAGCGAGCTAAAAGCCGAGTGGATCGAGATGCGCGCCGACTACCTCGCGCGCAAGAAATCAGCCGACAAGGGCCGCCGCGTCATGTTCTACGTCCACGGCGGTGCCTACTTCTTCGGCAGCGTCGACGTGCACAGATACCAGCTGCAGCGGCACGCGCGCAAGCTCAACGCCCGCGTCTTCGCCCCGAGGTATCGTCTCGCGCCACAATTCCCGTTTCCGGCGCCGCTGCAGGATTGTTTGGCTGCGTACCTGTATCTGTTGGAGTCGGGACAGGATGCGTCGACGATTGTGATGGCGGGGGATTCGGCGGGTGGGGGGATGGTGCTTAGTCTGCTGTGTATTTTGAGGGATCAGGGACTGCCGTTGCCGGCGGGGGCGGCGCTGATATCGCCGTGGGTGGATCTGACGCATTCGTTTCCGAGTGTGGCGGGGGATAGTACGTTTGATTATGTGCCGCCTCATGGGTTTCATCAGCGGCCGTCGGCGTCGTGGCCCCCGCCGAATTCGGATGATATTGATGCGATAATGGAGGCGCTGGCGACGCAGCAGGCGGAGAAGCTGAAGCATGTTGAGGGAAATGATAGGGCTTCGGTCGTGGGGTATCATGTTCAGGACTCGGAAATGGGAAACCAAGGACCAGCTACCACTCGACTTGCGATCGTCCCTGGAAAGGGGCCGAATATTTCTGTGGCCGTAGACGGGAAAATCGTCGAGGTTATTGATCAGATTCATATGTACACTACCAACGCCCTTCTTTCGCACCCGCTTGTTTCGCCCGCCCTTCAGCCCTCTCTCGGTGGCCTCCCTCCGCTACAAATTCTCACCGGAGGCGGCGAAATCCTACGCGACGAACAGATCTACCTAGCCCACAAGGCAGCAAACCCATCATTATACCCACCCCCCGAAGCCTTCCTCAAGGATAACCCCATTGCCCGCAAACAAATCAACGCCTGGAAACCTACCGACGTCCAGCTCCAGGTCTGGGACGACCTCTGCCACGTCGCCCCGACCCTCTCCTTCACACGACCCGCAAAGCACATGTACCGCTCAACAGCTCAATTCAGCGCCTGGGCCCTCGCCCGCGCCCAAAAGCGCGAAATCGAAATCCTCGACGACGACGCCGTGAGCGTGATATCGCGCTCCACTTCCGAACATGGCGTCTCACCGATCGAAAACGAGCTAGCAAAAGGCGCAATAGGCAAAGCAGGCGACCCGTTACCGCCCTTCCATCACCACATGATCCGACAGCGCGTTGACCGACACGGAAACATCTTCGAGCTAGCGCCTGCCTCCGAACTGCCGGGTTGCACGATGCCGCGCGAGGAGATCGGGAGCGTCAAGCCCGGCCCCGCGCGGCGCTGGATGGCGGCCAAGGCGAAATTCGACCAGCGCTTCGCACGGGAGAAGCGGAAGGTGCAGAGGCGGCGGATCCGCGAGATGGGGGAGGGCTACGAGGTGTTTGGCGGGGAGATGCCGCCGCCGAGTGCGCTAGCGGGGCGCAGGGTGAAGGGGAAGGAGGCGGCGGAGCGGAAGAGGAGGACGGGGTGGGGGCTGGGGATGTGGAGTTTGTGGGGCTCTGAGCACGATAAGCAGACTATACAACGGGAGTTGAATGCTGCGGATGTGGATACCGCGGCTGCTTCGCCGGATGATGGGGCCGGGGCGGCGGGGAGGGGTGATTCGTTGGGGAACTCGGCGGTGCCGGTGGTTGGGGATGCGATTCAGCTTGAGGAGCGGGAGCGGGAGCGGAGTCGGAGCAATTCGCGGAGGGTTTCGGTGATGGATAGGAATCAGACGGGGGAAAGGGGTGTGGATGAGGATACACCTGCTGCGGACCTGGTAGCCATGCAGCAACAGGCGCCGAATGGGAGGACGGTGGTGAATCAGTATCTTACGCCTGAGTTTGCGGCTAGGAGGGGTGCTGGGGATGGCGTGGCGGGTGTGGAGAGAGATGGGAAGCCTGTGAGGCCGAAGGCTGGCGGGGAGGCGTTTCCGTTTAGTGTTAGAGGGGCGGAGGGGGAGAGGCCGGAGAGTGCGGCGAGTATGGCTACGCTGATGAGTGAAATGGGGGTGAGACCTGTGGCGGAGGTTGAGCGGTAGATATTGGGAAGATGTATAAGATTGTATAGTGTGAATGTCAGATACCAAAATCTGTTGTAAATGTTATGAGATATCACCATAAACTTCGTGGTGTCCTTCTTTGTGATCCGCATCTGAGATTCTCATATTTCCACCCTGTTCTAGGGTTGGATATGCTGAGATAAAGTAGCAGAGCCTTTGTTTTCTTTTCTTTTTGCCATGTATTGGCATCGTTTGCTTTGTCTCCGGCGTATATATGTAAAGCCTTTGGGGCAAACGTTTTGAGAGCCGCATCACGTTTAGTGTGCGTCTTGGGGAACCAGTGCTCTCGAACCGTTGATTTGATAGACTTTCAACCTACGACTTCGAGAAGAAAATAATTCGGGATTATATTCTGCGGTTGATCACTGGAAAGGGCCTCTATAAGCCTGGCTACCCCCTTCACTTCATTCCCTTGACTCCACAACATCCTGCGTATCCTCATTGAGATCTGCCTCAAAGCTCTCAATCGTTGCTAAGACAATGTCTATATGATCCTTCTCCAGAGACGTATTCATGGACATCGCTAGAGTGCTTGCAGTCCTAACTGTGTTCTTGATCTGCCGTCCATTGATATCGACCTTAGCAAGATCATCCAAGACACTTTCGTCCCAGGCGGCCAACCTCTGGGACGATGTGCGACTGATGAACAACTTCCAAAGTTCCTTCCGGCGTTGTGCATCTAGGGCTGTGTACTTTAGTGCTAAATGTATTCGAGATTTGAAAGCGAGGTCGAAACTCGTGAGGCGGTTGGTGGTAAGGAAGAGGATTCCTTCGTAGTATTCAAGGGTACGCAGGAATACTAATAGGACAAGTGAGTTTGGAGTTTGTGAATAAAGGGGTAGGGCTACTTACGGGATACCAAACAATTTCTTGTGAGGTCGTGAATAGTACGTTGCTCAAGAAATACATCCGCCTCATCGATCAAAACTATTGCCCCCCAATGCGTTGCCAGTTTTAACGCCGAATTCAGATGCGTCTCAACTTCGTGAGGAGTAACCCCCAGTTCACCCGAGTTGATAACATAAAGCGGTTTGCGAACATCATCAGCGATACTCTCCGCCGTGAAAGCTTTCCCAACCCCCGGCGCACCATGAAGCACAAAGACCAGCCCCTTTCCTTTCCCTTTAATCAGGTCATCAAATTCATTAGATCCATGATTTTTAACTAATGCGTGAGCGAGTTCCTTGTGGTTTTTCGGGAGAAGCAGCTGTTTGTATGCATCGCTGTTGAACTCCACGTCGTCAAGGAAGTCAATAGCAAAAAAGCACCATTTCTTGTCAAAGAGTGAAAATCCAGGGATCTGAAAATCACAAATCATGAGATCCTCTGTGCTGATGGCATCGATTTCATCTTCTCCATCTTTTGGCCAGAGAGGTTTTCGTTCATGCAACCAGACTCTGTTCGGAGGTTTAAAATCCCCGAAAGTCTTACAGTCTACGATAATGCGACTGTTGACCTATGAAATGCATCAGTACCAAAGGGATCCGTTGTGGGAGAAGATTTTCGCTTATACCGTCACACTTTCAAGCCTGTAGCTGTAATAGTGTGCTCCTGGGGGTAGTGGTGGGCGAGGCGCGATATTTTCCTCCCATTCTTTGCCCACCATGTATGCTCTGCCGTTGTAAAAGCGATGATGATTTCCCTTCAACGAACAGAATTTCTTGCCTCGAGCAATGTGCTGGCGGCGAACACGACCTATCTCTGCATCGTCTCCGTAATACCTTAGGGGCAGGATTGGTAAGCTTTTAATAGTCTTCGTGCCTTGATAGGGCTCAATGTTGATGTGCTTGTGCAAGTATCCGAAATCCTTTCCATCATGTGTAAAGCATTTCCCTATGACCATCCAAACCGTGTTACCGTTAGTTTTAACCAACTTGGTAGACACTAGGGATAGTATCTGGTTCATCTCGTCCTGTCCAGTTATTACAGGCTCTCCGGGAAGAAAGACCATCCATAGATCTTTGAACTCGATAGCAGGACTAGACGGCGACGTTGCCACGTTGGCTTCGTAGCTTCTGATCTCGGTCTTAAAGTTTTTTTTCCATAAAGCGTAAAAGCAGATGGATGTGTAACTTGGCAATTCGATCCTGGACGGTTTGCCGATAGCTTTCAAGCTCCTTGCGGTAGTGGAAGACGCATTTCAGCGTGCCATGAAGTATCAACAGGTCTCCGCAGAAGCTGACGCCGGGATACTCTTTGATAACCTCACGTAGCGCTTCTTGGATATGAGGGGAGTATATCTCAAGTCGTGAGCTTTCCAAAACACCATCCGAGCCATAGTAAAACTTCATCACATACTCCTTGCCATCTTTCTTCTCATCTACCTCCATCTTGGCCACGACCTTCTTTAGTACTTTCTCCCCTTTCAAATTTCTGCGTTCCTCGTACTCCTTTACCTCGCATGTTAATGGTTTTGCCGATCCATTTGTAGGTGGGCCGACATGTTTGACTTGATCAAAGTCGCTACTATCATCATCGGTAGAATCATTTGGAGACCCAATTTCGGGCTTCATCGTGAATGTCGAGGAACTCTTTGTTTGTGGATTGGCAGAGGCCCAGATTTTGCACGCAATACTTTCAAACATCAACAACCCTACGGCAACTGCAGCGGCCTTCATTACCAGCTCTCCCAGTAGCTGCAACAGTTTCGGAAAAACGCTGAAGGGGCCCGTTTGTATAAGACAAGTGATTTCGTACAGTACAATAAGGATTGATCCCTTCGCTTCATCGGCCGTAAGGACTTTCAAGTCAAGTCCGCGGACAGCGTGTGGAGCTGGGTGATACCGAGACGGCTATTGAGCAATTGTTCCCACCGGCTAGGGCAGTGGTTGTCAACATGGTGCCAGGCAGAGAAGAAGGCTCCCCTAAAGTTCTCACGGCCTTCATTGAGCTCGAACATGACGACTGCGGTGATTTGAAAGCTTGTCAGAGCTCAGAACGAAGCATTTTTTGTTTCTTGCAGCGAGCTTCAGAAAGAGTATTCAGGAGCACCTACCAGTCTATATGATCCCAGCACGAATATTGACTGCGCGTCTGCTGCCCACAACCCCTACTGGAAAAACAGATCGCCGTAAACTACGGGAGCAAGCTTCGAGCCTCAGTATTGAGGAATTGGCTTGTTTTAGTAGTGGAAGCCAACACCGGCGACTACCTGCACCCTCGGTGGAAGAGGTAGTGTTGCAGGTTTGCTCCAAAATCCTAAAGCTTCCTGTGGAAAGCGTTGGAATGGATGATTCTTTCTTCTATCTTGGCGGCGATTCAATCATTGCAATTCAATTTGTCTCCCAAGCCCGTAAGCAGGGGGCTACATTACAGGTTTTGGGTATTTTTCGGTCTCCAAAGCTAGTAGACCTAGCGGCCATTGCGAATGCCAACATCGCGACCATCTTCTTGGCGCCGTCTGCGCACCCCTTCTGCCCCTGTTATATTTCTTCACACCTGAAGATGGGTTTTTTTGGAGCTTCATTCGCGGAAGCCATGTATTCGTAGCTGGTTTTGAGACTAGCCCGGATCCTCACTGCCGCAGCCCATCCTCCATGAACCTGCCTAAGAGAGAGCCAGTGACTTTTAAATTATTCCGCCCTGGAGATACGACTGGTTGTATCGGAGGTAGTCTTGAGACGATAAAGAAAAACAGCGAAGAAATTGTTATAGACTGTTCATGGCCTCTGGCGCCAATGATGCAAAAGTGAACAACTTCAGGCCAGATAATGCAATAAAGGTACATGGGAATTCAACAAGTACATTATGAAGCTTGGTACAAAGGTCAATGACACATTCCGGATAACTAAACAGACGCCAAAAAGCATCTATGGGAGGCGTTCGATGACACTCTCCGCCCCCTCTCTCCAAGCCAGAAATGCGCACCTACAGACGCCATGCGAATTGGTACCACGAGTCGAAGCGACTAACGTTTTTTGGTTAGTGTACCAGAAGAACGAAGAACCCTTCGAAACCGCGTCATATGATCATTGATCATGTTATTTAGCCCACAACGGCACTTTGCCCCTGTTTACTTTCCGGGGGTAGAACAGGGCCTACAGCGGTGGAAAGCCCAGCCTCCGGCGGCCTGGAGTAGCCCCTCAAACAGAGCTACAATAACTGGGTCACTGGGGCCGAGCAGGTTCTAGCAGCCGGCCAATTTCAGGAACTCGGCAGCAGGTCAAGAACTCGAAGACCGGCTCCAGTATGGAGGTGAGTTTCAGGCCCAGAAGCTCGCTGTCACAGAAGCCCGGAGGCTGAGCCAGGCTGAAAACCGAGCCCGGAAGCAGCTCCACCTGGCAGGAATTGAATGAAGCCCGGAAACAGGAGGCGCAAACCGCCTCCCCTCGCTTCGAGTTGGCGCAAACCGCCTCCCCCCACGATAATACCCCGTCGACTCTTTTAGCGAGTTTTCGGGAAGGTTCTTCTCTTTACCTCTCCTATTTCTCATTTTCTTCTTTCTCTTCCGTCGCGATTCACGTTGTAGCAATTTTGGTAGAGATATTAATCAATGTGGAGTGAGGCGATAAGCCGCTTTAGCCAAAAGGTAACTAAGGAAGGTGCCTTAGTTCCCCATCGGCGAACACGACAGTTCCGACGACTCTGTTTCTAAAGTTACAAACCATTCGTTCGCAGCCCACTTCCCGTCTAACACTATTAATTAAGTATATGTAACTGACAGGACTCCAGTTTGTTCCGAAAATTCGTATTCCATCAAACAAAGATGTTGCGGCGGCCGATTTTCACAAGGCGGTACTTTCGCCCCGTCCGAATCACTTCATCGCCTAGGGTGTTTTCTCGCACTTCCTTGAGGCAGTCTTTAGACGTCAACATGAATTCCTCGACTAGCAGATCCTACAGTAACACTGAGCTGGATGTGGCGGATTTTCGCTCGAAGAATGGATATCTACATAATTTGCTGGTTACGCATAGGGGGTCCCCTAACTGCTATTGGGGATTTGTAATCATTCGCACTATATACACGCCAGAGTCCGATCTCCAATGGCCTATTGCGATGGCTAAATTATCCGACTGGCTACGGGTGGAGATGAAGACAGGGTCTAATGCTTCAGACAACGAGCAAGAGCTCGTTGTTAAAAAATTTAGGAACCTAATTGTAGACGACAAGACGCTATATGATGGGTTACCGATGAGTGATGCGGTTCTACGCTTTGAGGATATTCTTGATGAGCAGTATAACGTCGCGTTAAATTACAGCACGCCAGAGCATTTTGATAAGACGTGGTATTATCGGATTCCTGAGTTTGTCGAGCAATCTCTCGCTGAGTCTAATCCCGACGTTAAACGAGATCTCCTCGAAGCATCATATTGGCACCTCAACAATTACATATGTCTTGTCATAGACGACGAATCGCTAAGAGATCTTGTGGAGCTCCCTGCAGAGCTCCATTGTTTCGATTTGGCTTTAGCGCTGAAAGAAATCAGGGAGCACCCTGACGGTACTCTACCTGCTCGTAGGATTGCGCATCTTAAAGTTGCAATGCGTCATTCAGATTTCGATCTAATGGATCGCGAGGATTGGTACACTCAATGGGCTAAATGGACTATTTGTAGTGGCTTAGGACAGATGCATTGGTCCATTCAAAGTTGCGAGATGAATGCCGGCATGATGTTAGAGCTACGAGACGGGGAGCCATATGTCGAAATTTACGGGCAGGACTGATATCTATTCGCTTTGTTAGGGATGCTTTAGGACAGATCAATGCGCTAGAGCTAAGCCTAACGGAATATCCATCCGATCCCCGGGCACTGGCTTCCGTGGACTGCGCCTAAGAGCCGCACGGAAACAACTAAACAGCGCACAATCGAGCGTAACCACGAGTTCCACCACTTTTCCCCCTTCATTGCCTTCGACGAGGCTTGTCGTCTCTCTCATTGCGGTTCCAGCCGTATTCACACCATCGATGACTGGTAGGTTCTTCCCTTTCATTACAGCACCTATAATACTACGAGCTCGACGTCCGACCTCAGCTCACGCTATCGCAGCACTGTTGGATCGGATGCACCATGCTATATATAGAGCGGACCTCATAGCAGTTCATATAGTGATGCGTTCAATAACATGCTTCATGATAATCTGATGCTACGTCCATATGTTCTATCGCAAGATTGAACTCATCGTACTGTGTTTAATAGAACCACAATCCACTGTAGTCCCCCGTAACGACTTTCTTCGAGATATTGCTAGTCTTTCCCATATCTCCTATCATCGTGCCGTTATCCAGGTCCATCGCCCATACAAGTGTTCTAAACCAACATTAGTTGCATGATGTGATTTGAGAATAATCAGGACTTACCCTCCTAAGCACTTCGAATTTGCGTATTGAAGCTTCGTTTTCATCGTCTCACCATCATCGTACGACACCTAAGGAAGGTCAATTCGGTCACTTGAGCGAGCCATGCTCTCTTTGCTAGATAAGTGTACGTACCCACTGGTTCCCTCCCCATGTCACAATCTTGACTGCTGCATCCTTGTCCAAGGTCACAGTGGCTCCAGCACTGATGACGTCCCCAATCTCGACAGATGATAGAATCCCGGCAGTGGCTGTACAAGGCCCTGCGTTACCGCCGGCACTGAATGGGCATCCCGTTGCCGAACATGACGGATCGGTGAGCGTGAAGCCTGCACAAAATCGAATTAGTATACCGCTTGCAAGCAGATGAGGTACATACTTCGACCATAGAAGCCCAGACCCATGTTCACCTTGGCGGGGTCGATATTATTCCGCCACAGCAGTTGAAGTGCTAGGTTAATTTCCGTGAGATTTGTATGTGCTTGAACGATGTTTCCAATGCTCTTGACGCTAGAGTCCCAAGTTCCGTGCAAGTCGTAGGTCATAACGTTGAACCAGTCAAGAATAGGCTCCATGCCGGCGATGTCGAAACCTTGGAGGTACCAATATGAAGATGGCTATTGTACAATTTAGCGAGAAACGCTGAGCAGAGAGCTTGGTGTGCGTACCAGCGTGAGGGAGATTCCAAACCTGTGCGACAACCCCGCGTTGTCAAAAGCCGCACGGAGGTTCTTCAAAAACGAGACATAATTAACAAAATCATCTGGAGATCCGAATCGATCCGGTGCTACTGGATACTCCCTGCCCTTGCGTTAGTCAACGATGGCGAATCAGAGCCAACCACATACCAATCGAGGTCGACGCCATCGAAATTGTTGTTCACCAAGAAAGAAATCAGAGACTTGAAGAAAGCACTCTGCGCGGATGTTGAACGCGCAAGGTTTGAAAAAGTGGTAGCTGTTGAGCCTGGATCGTTGAATGACCAGCCACCCACACTGATCCAGACCTCTAAGCCGTTCTGTTTCTGTTTAAGGGCGGAGATACGTTGATATAACGCCGCGACCTGAAAAAATGTGAGCTCAGAAGACATTGAATCTTGATAGAAAAGCATACGTCGTTCGACATTGGTGCTATCTCAAAAGTACCCGGGTCGATATACGCAAAGGCGAAATTGATGTGAGTCCAGTAGCCAAGTGTTACATCTTCTGGTGCCATTGCTTGAATAGTTGTCAGCACGTTGTTATCTCCATGACGGATGCTTCCTTACTATTGCAAGATCTCTCCAAGTTCCAGCCTTCATAATATCCGATAACACGACCGTTCGTTGCAGAATTGCCGCTACACGATGGTTCGGGAACCTTTGTGTCGCCACAAAAGTCGGCAGTGCTTCCACAAAATCCTGTTTCCATTAGCCTTCCACCTACCACGATTCCTCGCAGATTCCTCGCAGCTGGTCTTAACTCACCAAAAGCACTGCAGCAGACATTTAACGGACACGTTGAGGCGTTACTCCATTGCATACCCCATCCAGGATCACATTCGCTCTTGTAGCCACAGCTGGAAGTGCAATTTTCTGCGGCGCAAAAGACAGGTCCCAGTCCACAAACACCTCTGGAAAATATCAGTCGGTCTGGCGTCAAACGTTTCCACTGTGCTTCGCTCTTACCCATTTGAACAGCATCCTATCGCGCATGGCTTGGTGGGGCTACAGGTATAATCTTGGGCAAGAACGGAAAATAAAAGAAGACCAAAGGTGGCAAGCCAGGCTGCCACTGTTCGAGTTGAAGTCATATTAGGTCGATTCGACAGTACGGAATGAGTACAACAACTTTCTGTTTCTTTGTTCTACATGTGTGAAGATTCGGAGGTATCTGTCATAATCCGAATCTTTACTCCCACACGGAGCGTGCGGGGGCAGAAGTTGCATTTCCCTGAATTTCACAGTCATCTTCGAGTACTGAGGGGCCCATTAGACTGGCTGATGATACACAGTCAGATTCTGTCAAATGAGGCAGTCCCCTGCCGGCGATCGGATCCTACAAGGCCGGACAGAATGCAGGCAACGGAGATGAGCAATGTAAGGCTACCTGAGGTGCCGATCACTACCCTAGAGATTTATGTTCTCTCTTTACTGGCATTGCTCTAGATAGTTGATAAGATCGCAAACAGCAATCTTGGGTAAATAACATGCTGGGAAGAAGTGGGGGTCGCAATCAGAAGCAAGGGTTGTAATATTATACCCTTCCCTTGCATCTCAAATCCTTGCAAGCGGTTAGCGTTGGCAAGTATCATATGACATTGCCAGGATGCGAAGAGATGCATGGTACACAGAAACTAATCTCAGGATTACCTCGTGCTTACCCGAGCAGGTCTCTGAAATTCGCATGTTAGCAAAACTGGGGGCACGAGTAAGTCAATATTACCTCGTCATGTCTGGCTAGCACGAGATCGATCGCACCTCGTTATGTCTGGCGTTCGATCTGGAGAGAGAATTTCCCAAGGCGCGCTGAGCTTTTTCAGTCCTCCGAGAAGTGAAGCATAGCTATATCCGAAGTTCGAAAATCAGATTCCACTGAGCCCAGCCAGGTCTCTGTCTTTCTCGACACATTGAAACAAATTTACGATGCATCTTCTACTGGTAATCCTGACTCTGCTCGGAGCATGCGAAGCTCTCGTACCCCGTTCAATTGTACACAAACACGATCGGAGGGCAACAACAACAACTTCTGCACCTGCGGTGTATCAGACAGGAATTCCTTGTAACTGCAACAACTACTACGTAGTTTCGACCGGTGACTCTTGCGATGCTATTGTCACAGCATATAAGAATGCATTCACTCTTGCACAATTGTAAGTCTCCGTTCTGCTGTTCTGCTTGAATGCTAACATTGTAGCTATGCATGGAACCCAGCAGTCGGAAGTACTTGTCTAAATCTTTGGGTTGGCTATAGTGTATGTGTCGGTGTCGACGCCACAGTGACAAAATGCACCACAACTTCGGCAGCCCCAACTATTACGACTACGAGCAAGCCGATATCTACAACCTCTCCAACGACAACCGCTACTCTCCAGCCTTACTCATACATCTCATCGACAGTAATCAACGCTCAGCCAACTGTCACAGAGCTGCAGCCTTTTGGAGTGCCGAGTCCCGTCCAGGCAGGAATTTACAGTGGCTGCGAAACATACTATCAAGCCGTGGCTGTATGTCTATCCCGAAGCCATTACAACAAATTTATGACTGACAGCCAAAGGGTGACAATTGTACCTCGATCACAGACTACTTTTTCGGCTTCAATGAAGCCCAGTTCATCTCCTGGAATCCAGCTGTAAACTACGACTGCTCAAATCTTGTAATCGGCAACTACTACTGTGTGCAAGCTCAAGCATACCGACCTAGCCCAGCAGTTTTTTCTGGTCCTGGTCTCCCATCACCGCTCCCCAATTGCACCGTTTCCGACTGTACAGCTTGGTACAGAGCGACGGAAACCGACAATTGCACCAGTGTTCCCCAGACATTTGGCAACTTCTCACTAGTCGAATTCACCCAGTGGAACAGCATAAACCCGACCAATTGCACAGGCTTCGACACCGGCTACTTCTACTGCATAAATTGGCCTTGGTCTTCTAGCACGAATTTCAACAGCAGTAATTTCAACGACACTGATTACAGTACATGGCGATTTCCTATCAACAGCTGCTACAACTCCACGGTCAATGTAACAACCACTGTACCAAGCACAACTACGAGCACAACCACGACAGCTAGTCCAACTTCCACTTGTGTTAAATCGTACACAGTAGTGGCTGGCGACTCATGCGCTGCTATCCAGGCCGCTTACAGCATTACTTTCGCACAGCTCTTGGCGTGGAATCCCAGCATCGGTTCAAATTGCGAGTATCTTGCCATTGGGAACACGTATTGTGTTTCTCAGTCCGCGGGAACCACTACCACGACATCTAGTCAGCCTACACAGACATCGTCATGCACAAAAAGCTATACCGTTGTCGCCGGTGATTCGTGTGCCGCCATCGAGGCCAGCTATGGCATCACTTTCGCACAGCTCCTAGCATGGAATCCTAGCATCGGTTCGAACTGCGAATATCTGGCCGTTGGGAACACGTATTGTGTTTCTCAGTCCGCGGGAACGACTACCACGACATCTAGTCAGCCTACACAGACATCTTCATGCACAAAAAGCTATACCGTTGTCGCCGGTGATTCGTGTGCTGCCATCGAGGCCAGTTATAGCATCACTTTCGCACAGCTCCTAGCATGGAATCCTAGCATTGGTTCGAACTGCGAATATCTAGCCATTGGAAACACCTACTGTGTGGCTCAGTCTTCTTGAACAACTACAACTATCATACAGATGCCTTGGAGGATACTTGTGCAGTTGTAGAGGCGAAGTTTGTTATGAGCGATGTGGACTTCAAGAGCTGGGATACTTTGTTGGATGCCAGGTGCACGAATTTATGGCTTGGAAGTGATTACTGTGTTGGTATATAAAATAACGTACTATAATTGTTATGAGGTTTAGAAGGCGCCTTGGTCACCGTGCCAACGTTCTGAAAGAGACAAGCACATTCTCTTCCCAGAAAACTGCTCAAAAATTTCAAATATGATTCTGCATAGGACGAAATCGTGAGATTCCAGGGTGGTGTAAGGAGCCGCCAGTCTGTCGTGTCTACAGGTCCACGTTTCCCTCATGTGTGCCATGCTGACAGCTGCATTTATTGGAATGAGTCGTAATTCCGACCTGCTACGTACTCCTCCACCACCATCCTCCCGCGGCCTTCATTTCGCAAAGGCTGGTATTATTATTGACAATCTTCTGTCTCACCGGGTATATTTTGAACCCTGCTCCTGCATGTTTATCAAAGCTTGTGACCATTCTCTTAAGTTTAGGAAATGCAGTAAGACGTGACAAGGGTATCAACCTTGCCCATAATCCCCTTTACTATGCCTAGTGCCCCTACGCGCACAGAAACGCAGACGATCTTCTCCGATTCGCGCCATGTGTTGCGACCCGGTACACTTGCAGGATTCGGGGCTGACAAGTTCCATGTGATAATAACATTGTGGGGCCGGGAAAGCAAGGTACAGTACAAACAAGCATTAGTGTAGGCCTGTAGGGTAAGCGCTAGATTGTGTAACCGTGCGGCGTATCCGGTCCGACCCTCGATGGCTAGTTAGCATGACTAGCCGACGATCCCGGACAGGTAAAGCCTTACCTCTAAGAAATTACGAGCTCCGCCTCAAGCCATCAAAATGCGTGTTTGAGGGACATCGATCATTCAACGCTCCTTCAATATGCGACCATAGCCACATTGTCCTTAATCACCCGGCATCGCTTTTCTCGTATCTGGTGCCGACCAATTCTCCTACCATGCAACCTCACCCGCTTGCATTCTTGCTCGGGTTCACATCTCGGAGAAAGAAGAAGGGCGAGCGTTCGCCACCCAAGCCCCTCCCACCACGATCTCGTCGTCTGACTGTGGGCGAAATCCCATCTTTGGAGGAACCCTCCAGCGACCCTCTGCCCCCACCCACAATAGCACATCCCCAGGAAGTGTCCCCGATATTTCTTCTTCCCACCGAGCTACGCCTCCAGATATACACTCTCGTCCTTGGCAATCGCAACATCCACCTCGGTCTCGAGACGCAGGATGATAATCGTCTTTCACCATACCTACGGCACTATCACTGCAAATACGGACGGCAAGATCTGTTCATAGATCCATGGCATAATTGTTGGTCCCCCCGAGGTGGCAGACCCAAAGATCCTGTACAGAAGATCCTGAGTCTGCTCTTGACATGCCGACTGGTATATTCTGAGGCAATCAACCTGCTGTATTCGGCAAACACCTTTCAGTTGGAGAACTTGCATCTTGTCAAGCATCTTCATACGCTAGTCCTACCGCAAAGGTTACAAGCCATGCAGCGTCTGGTGCTCATTTTACGTTTCGACAGATTTCCACTCGCACCGAACGAGATAGAAGACAATGAGCTGTCACAAGCGATGGTTTGGAAGACATTGTCGGAACTGAAGGGATTACGGGAAGTACATTTGCATTTACAGGCAGCCGAGACGGATGATCGCATGTGGAGAGACGATGGTAGTTGCAGAGAAGCATTGAGAACTCAGATAAGGCCACTGGTAGAGAGGCTAGATGTTTTTAGGGTATGGTTGCCAGTCATGAAGATCTTGACATGGGAAGGCATGGAAAGCGATTCCTTTGCGGTGTGGCCGTCTTAATAAAGTTGCGAATGACAGCCGATATGAACACACTCGTCCCATGATAGTCTGACAAGAAGTGAACGAGAGATTGTGAACAAACAATGCGCTAAAGGCTAGAAGTACTAGATATGTCATATATAGACACTATCTAGACACGATTCGATACACACTAATGGTCATGGGCTGCTTCTCCGGGCATATTACCCATTAGTGCCTTCACAACCATTCCCTTCTGCTCCTCCGATAAGCTCGTACCTTCAGGAAAGAAAGTTGAGTTGAAGACCGGCCCCCACATCGCCATATCTGCCTCTTTTCCGCCATCGCAGCTTTCTTCGTCAAAAAATGCAGCGAGAGACCCCAACTCCTCCTTCTCCACAGCGGTCAGAGCACGTTTTGCCTTTGAAGAACTCGAAGCTTTTGTGACTTTGCCATTTTCGTCGATAGATCCTCCGGCCCCGATCACACGAACACCTGTTTTGTGTCAATCTTCGTAAGTGGAATTTGAAAAATAATGAACTTACCCGAAGCGAAGAGTCCATAGGAATCAGCGTTGTTCATTGGCTTTCCGTAGTCCGGGCCACCGTTGTCAGGTAAATTCGTTGAGATCTTCCTACAGTTTTTCCATCCTGAATCATTTAGCGGCACTCTATGAAGCTCAGTGGAACTTCTCTACTCACCATATGCGACGTTACTAAATGCCACTCCTGAGCCAGCGTTGACATCGACCGGGGAGTCAAATGTTTTGCCTCCATGTCTCGTATGAGTGAGCTGACGAGTGACGACAAGATTAGTACTTGAACACGTGTAAAGGTAGATTTGAAGATGCTGTATACCTCGTGTACTACAACTTTATCGAAGAGTGAGAGCAAGTCTATGGGTGTGAATGGCCAGACCTTGGCGGAAATCTGCGCAATGGGACGACCTAGTAACCCCACTAGCTTCTGCCGCCATGTCCCGCAGTTCGGAAACTTCAGTCCTTGAACGTAAGACTGTTCTCCAAGCTCAGCATCAAGGAATCATGTAGGAGGGGAAAGACATACCAGGAACCATGGACAAAGTGTAATCTGGGATGGTCTGGTTGCATCATCGCTGACCCACGTGTAAGCCAGAGCGCCGATACATATTTTTCTTGGATCCTCTTCATCATCGTCCACGAACTCGACAATACTCGTATCTTTGATACGAGCATTGCCGTCCTGATCTGTGATGTCTTTGTATCTTTCCGACGAGCAGTAAAAAACCTTGTGTTGAATTAGTTTGAGTCGATTAAAGTGTATCCGATGATCCTTACCACGTCGCCTGCAGCGGCTCTGGTCGCACCTGAGGGTCCACGAAGATCTGCCGCCGGATCCGCCATGCTCGAGATACCTCGAGGAAACTGATAATTGCTACCAACAGCGTACTGGAAGTAGTCTGCGCGCGCCTTGTTTCTCGGACAAGTTCCACCAAAGCGACCTTCAACATTGTGTAATTAGCTTGTTAGAACTAGACTTCATCATGACCGAGACATAGCGTACATAAGATTGCTTCTTGGGGTGTAGGATAAAAGGATGGGTCAGCGGTTGGAGCCCACAGGTGGTCCATCAAAGTCTGAACTTCTTGTCTAACCGGCCCACGGAGCTCGGTGACAACATTCGTGGCCATATCAAAGGCACAGGTGAGCTTCTCGGCGAGAAATGCTTGGGCGACAAGATTGCAAGATGTTGTATCAATGACATAGGCGGTAGTTGTAGCGCTCAGGCAAAGAGCCGACAGAAAGTGAGTGGAATACATAATTGAAGCAGGTCCTCGTGTGCTCTCCGAACAGGAAGACCTTCGACAGGAAACTTTCTGCGGATGAGGCAAGTATTTTGCCTTGTGAAACCCTCACTTGAGGCGATGTTTGGAAAACTATACGTGCACTCTCCCACACTCTCACACGCCACTAGACTTGTGATCTCAACGGCTAAACCCGAAGCTTTTTCGGCGACATACTCTGCTAAGGACGGAACAAGGATGGTAAACAAGGATGAACTCACATGAGCAGCAATTCATAAGCTCAGAAGGAAGGCAAGGATCACGGAACCAGAGACATTGCAACACGGAGATGACTGACGTGAGATGAGGCAGATCATCAACCGATATTGTTTTTTGTCCGACGCACGAAATCCTTGTACGCCTTAGCATGGCCCCCACGCGGTCCGCTTACCTTCCATAAGCGCTAAACCCCGATCTCCTGGTACCTGCATGCGGTTAATTTAGGCTCCATCAATCTCCGACGACACTACTCTCTGACATGCGTAAAATCATTTCCTTTACATTATTCCAACCATCCCTGTCGCCCATATCGTTAGCTGTTGTGATATGAGAGCTCTCACCAAGGAGCTATGATACCACCCATGATATCCTTGTCTCGGACGGCCGAGGGACTTTTTCACTCGCAACGAAGATGGTGCCGAAATATTACCCTCCATTCTCATAATCTATACTTTTTGCAGTTTTCTCTCAAGAACTTCAAGTTCTGGGGAAACATCATACAACACCCGCCAATATGATCTTTCCACGACTTTTGTCGTCACTAGTTGCGACTTGCCTCTTGCTGCGACCTGTTCTCGGAGCCGGCGTGGCTACTTTCACTCTGGAGGAAGCCTCGTCCGTTACTCTGGTACCTCGAGACCTTCCTACAGATGTACCGCCTGGATCCATCACCTCTATTCCTGCGAATGGCATTGATATTTATCTGTCAGAAACTACTCAGAAAGCTGTTCAAGATGCAATCTCTGGAAGTTGTGGTACGACTGGCAGCCTACAATGTCAAACAGCCATACAGGCAGCGCTCAATACACAGAGTCTTCAAGCTGGACAATTGCAGCCACGTTTTGCTGGCCTGGTTGTTGCTGGGCTAGTTGCTATCGTTGCAATCGTCATAGAGCATTACCGACTGAGCAACACTGCGGTCCCTTCCGCGATCCATCTTTCACCTGCACAGCTCAGTCAGGCTTCGAACATTGCAAGTGCTACAAGCGTGGTAGCAGTAGGTGGCTCCCAAACGACAACTTTCACCCTCCCACCGTCCCCGACGACGGTCACGTAAGTCATCACCCTATGCAGCTGTGAGGCTTGGGACTGATGCAAAGCCTGTGCAGTGCAGTTCCCACAATCAGCATCAATCCTAGCAGTGGAGATCTACACATCAGTCTTACTGATAGTCAAGCTCAATCGTTCATGACGATCATGGGCCTCCCGGGGACTTGCTCGAGCAGCCAATCGCCAGTGGGTATTGGCAGTACAAAGCGAGCCATCACAACCACATCAACCTGCCTCAGTCTCCACGCAAACGCGCTGATGTACAACTCTTTCTCCGGTAAGATCTCCAGCAGCATTAAAGTCGGAAGCTGATTCAAAGACTAGGCCTTGCTTCGGCTATTAGCTTGATGTTCCGGTCAGCGAGTCCTCCGAATCCATTTCCAGGCTTCAGAAACGCCGCTGTTCAAGCAGAACAGACGGAATTTCTAACCCAATGGGCGGTAGGTAATTTCCAGTCGGAATTGACAGTTCCTGAGCTAAATTCGCCTTATAGCTTGCTGCACCTGCATTTGGGGTCACTGTGGACCTTATGACAGCCATCGCAGGTGTCGCGTTCGCCCTCGCATATATCTGGTGGGTTTACTACCTCATCCTTGTCCAGTGACTAACGTAGCGGTCTAGGACGTCTCTGAGCGTCGCTCTTAGTGTAGATAATACCATCTCAGGTTCATTAACAAAAACTACCACAGGGGACTGCCCTTCGCAAGAGGGTGACCCGGACAACACAAATCTGGTGTGCTCGCTGGCCTCCTGTTCAGGTAAGATGGTGGATAGCAAGCAAATTTGATACATGCTGATACACTTACTCAAGGCACATCGGACACGAAGCTTTGCACCGTCGATCCATGGAAAGACTGTACTTGCATGAATCCGCAGAAATCTAATCTCGAATACTATGACCTCGTCATGTTTGCGGACCAACCCGACGCACTCACGCAGTTCCTTGCTGGTCCACCACCAGATCCACCGAGCCCTTTGTTCTGCGTTTCGTCTAAACCGCCACTTGCTCCGGCATACTTAACGCCAAAATTGGCGTACGACACATATCCAGACTTCTGCAAAGGGATATCGCCCGGCGATACGTGGAATATCAACAGCACCTTCTTTCCTGATACCCCCGAGCACTTCGCTTTGCTCATTAACGGGAATATGGCATCTTCTAAATGGTCTTCCGACTTATGCAATCAAGCTTTCAAGTCCATCTTGGACAATTGCGACGGTAATGATCCTGTATGTTTACCTTGCATGTCTGAGAGGCCCTTGCTAACTTATGTAGTCCAACCCGTATGTGTGTAGTCTACCCCCAGTCAATGTAACTCTAACATTCGCAGCATGAACTACAAGTTTGGTGGCACATACACAACCCAAGGTCTTGAATTCAGAATTCAGCCAATATTTGATAATCGCGCCGTCCCGCTGCCTACAGCACCATCTTGGTCTTGTACAAGCAGCTACCATGGCGCCTATGACAATTTCGGTATCTTGGGTACGTAATGAGAGACATATGTACGTACTGCATTTCTAACATGTTCAGGCGTGGGATGGGCATCATCCGATTTTGGCAAAAACGCATTTTTCGGGGCCATAGCCAGCTGTATCGGGTCTAAGCCATCTGACTGGACTTTCGAGTACTTCCTTTATGATGGCACCCCGGACCAGCATTTCGGCTTCGAGTGGCTTGCAAGTTTCCACACGCCAATCTGGGTTAACGCGCGCTGTTTCGACAACTGTAAGGTAGGGTCGAATGGAGGTGGACCAGCTTGGGGTGACAGTTGCCCAGGGTGTGGTGGAAACGGCTAAAAGGGAACGTGGGAGCATTTAAGTGTCATCGCGGACAATTATAAAATTATCATTAGTTACGAGTAGAGGATGTTTAATCTATGTTGTTCTACTAACCTAGGGATAATTAAATTTAGAGAATAACGAAATATACCAACTATCTTTATACTATATATGTAAGGACTTAGGGAATACAGCTCTCTATAGGTGCATATAGGAGTGTAAGTTAGAGGTGATGCTGTATTCTATCCTATAGGTCTACTATAAAGGATATAAAAAAGATAAACGGGAAACCCTCTAGGCTTGTGCCCTTAAATACCTAAAACTACACTAACTTAGCAAATCCTCTGTTTACCTAATCTTGCTCTTACTATGTGCCTAAGCCTTATATACACAGCTAAACTAAATTAGCACTAAGTTAGCTTAGCAGCACATAGTAACTATAAGTAACCTAAGGAGCCATCCTTATAATAGTGCTGTTATTAGCTATTATTAATTAATTAGATAGGAGCAAGAGTAGGAGTAGGAGTATTGGTAAGGGTGGTAAGAGCATTAGTATAGGAATTAAATATAATAATTAAAGTTTGATTTTGCTGCTCTTAGCTTACTAGACACGCAGCTGACTAATGGGATGAACCTAGAACCTCCTAGACATTTATTTCACCTTACGACTAACTTTACTCTTCCTACTTAAAGATGCCCATTGTAAAGGGGTCGTGTTATATTTATACTATAAAGGCTGTAGTTGCAGATTTTACTAATTCTTTTATATTCTTTTTATATGTACTCCTTTTTGGACTCTCTGCATTGCATTTCTAAGATAAGAAATGAACTACTCCCTCTCCCCTCCTCTAGTTAGAAAGAATAAAGGAAAAAAGAGAGAGAAAGCGAGAGCCTAAAAATTTAAGGAATGTAGGGGTTGTGATATGTTTAGGAGAAATGATCTATATACAATGGCCGCGGGCTTTTGCCCTCTAGTATTGCATTGTTGGAATACTAAACTTCACTAAGACGACAGGCATTGAGAGTACCACGGGTTCGAATACACGCAAGTGTACGGAGAGGCGCAGACATGAGGACCAGTCCAGCCATTTCCTCCGCACTGACCCCATTGAGTCTGTTTTGGTGCCGAGGCTAATGTCGTGGTGGTCGCCGGCGGTGACGTTGTCCTAGACGTCGTGCTAGACGTCGTGGTGGTCGCTGGCGGTGGCGCCGTGCTAGACGTCGTTGTGGTTGCTGTGGGTGTGCTAGAGCTTGAGCTAGAACCGGAATCCGGTCCCGGAGCGTTACTTGTAGACCCAAGCTCTCCCCACTTGATGTTCGAGTAGGTGATCGCGGCGTCCGGGTTATTGGCTTTGATATTTGCAGGGTCGCCTTCAGTGCTGCTACATGGGCCAGCAGTATCACTATCGAGCCAGTGCATAAACTGGCTCGAATCTTGCCAGACGCTAAAGATGAGCACCATGCCGCGGCCGAGAGCTTCTCCATGTACTGTGAGACCTCCAAAAGAGTCGGTGTCACTGCAACCAAAGTCCTCATCGATGTAATTTAGACCATTGTAGCTGGTCGACACAGGGTTGGGGTATAAGACGTCGTTTTGAGTATAGTACCGGCGGATCTCAGTGAGCTTTCCCGTCGTTGTGCCATCATCTGTGATAAACTGGGTAGTCACAGTGAATGTCTTCGTAGTATCGACAATGAGGCCTGGGCCATAGAAGGAGGTATTGCCTTGTTGATAGGAATTCCATCCACAACCGGGTTTGTTACACACTCCACTAGAGCCACATTCATCGCCTTTGCATCCATAGATACCATCAACGCTGCAAGGATGTGGGGTAAACACAGTAGCCATAGAATTAGCTTCCCAAATGTCCATCTCATGACAGCAGGCACCGAGCCCCTCGGTGTTGACTGTGCCATTAAAGTATGGCGAGACGCCGCACTGGGCATCACAACCTCCAAAGCCGTATGATGCCCCAGCAGGGTTATACTCGTTTCGACCACCAGTAAAGTCCATCTCTGAAAGGAACAGGGCACCGTTCTCTCCACAGGGGAGGAGAGAGATATCAACGTCAAAGCTGAACTCCCGGCCAAGAAGCTGGACGTTCACGTAGTTTTCGCCTGCCGGATCTAAGAGCATAACGTTTGGTGATGCATTGTTGATCGTACCACTAACGTTACGATACTGGTACATCGTTAAAGCATTACCAGACGTAGTAATGCCAAGGCCCGTATAGTCGCCAGGTGCAATTTCACAATTATTGAAGCAGTCTTCCGCGGTTCCGCAAAGAGTCGCGTTCAATCCAGAGGATGTAGTACATGAGTCATAACCCTCAACCGTATGCATCCAGTGGTATGGCCACGCGAAGACGACATTGGTACTTTGCTCTACGCAGCCGCCTGCAACAGTGCATGTATATGTCGGCAGTGATTGAATGGCATCTGGAGTCGGAGCTTGCTGGGCCACAGCTAATGCGCGCAGGAGCGCTGAGGCTACTACAAGAGTAAATGTGCGAGAGGCCATGGCGGAGGATCAATTGATAAGAGACAGAGTGCAGAAGTGTTAGAAGAGTTGCCGGAAACCAGACCAGTGCAAAAGGAACTGGCCGACTGCTTCTGCTTGAATCCGTCTCTCGTTCTCTTGGAACGGAATGGGGGCATTTATATGCCTCGCCACATAGAGACAACTACTCTAGACTCCTTGGCCCGGCTCCGCACATCCTCTCCAGCACCGCTACACATGATCAACAAACAAGCTTGTGGGGAGCGGGGAAGGCAAACGCAATGTGGAAATGCCGGCACGGATAGTGTAGAACCTAATGCACCTGACATTCGATGCATTCGAAATGCTTGTTTGCGCATGGCGGGGTTGCAGATCTTGCTGCAGGTCTAACGTGCAAAGCCCTGTAGCTCGGGCCGGTAGTCCGGTCGAGATGAGTACCCTGCCGAGATAATGTATGTGCCGCTTCCGTTGAAAATTGCTGTAACTTAATAGAACTCTAGTAGAATTAGGTGCCTTTGGTAGAGATGCGTTGTATATCCGGGGTCTTGAAGCCTTAGACATAAAGGCCAAAATTGATTAGGATAGTGCGCCACATCCAGCTTAGTAACTAATTAGACCTGGTACGAAACCGCAAGTGACTTTGTATCCAGAGTCGCGTTGAAGCCGGCATCGACTAAATCGTCTCGCACTTGCCAAAACCTTGCATGCTAGACCTCCTCGAAGCACACTGATAAGTGTGGGTTAGGTAGGCTCGTACCATGCCTACTGCCATCAAGCTAGATCACCGGAAACCCATCACATACGAGTCAGCACTGAACAAGGACGCAAACATCATTAGAGGAAGCATTGTAGTTGTTTTTGAGTCCCGTTTTGTAGGGGGAAGAGCTGCCTTGCCACCGGGAGCTCCTACGGTGGAGTTGAACCACCCTTCAGCCGCTCTTCATTTTAAGTTTGTGGGGGTGCGTCATCTGATGCGTTTATAGGCATAGGTAGAGTCACCATTTAGAATTCAATCATATAAGAACTGTTGTAATTAGTTAGTGGAGTCGTGTGAATCAGTTTCGCTAGGGATATAGGCTAGAAGCCCTTCCTCTATAGCAGTATCGTCCTAGTGCGCTAGGCAGAGAGGGCCAGTTATAATTCTAATTGCTCGGGGGTCTTCCCCCATATTTCTTTAAAGATGCTTAGGTTATAGGCATAGTTGCTATATAATTCTTTAGTGCTAAGTATGCGCTCGGTAAGGATACGGTCCTTAAGCATTGCTCAGAATATAGATCTTATAGTATTTAGCGCCTAGGTTTAGGTAGGGGCAGCGAAGGAGTGGGTAAGGTAGGATTTCCATAGGCACTAGGCCGCCGTCTAGAAGATAGTATGCTATCTTCTTTGCGGGGTGTTGCCTTCCTTAACTCCAAAGGCTATAAAGGCAATGAGTTTATTAATAGATTTTGGTAGGGTAAAGGGGATTAGGCTAAGGGAGTCTTAGACTTTCTTTGCGTCTAGCTATACTTCTGTTGCGGTGTCGCAGGAGATCTATATGTAGTTAGTAGTGAAGTCACAGTGATAGAGCGGGTAGAGTTGTTAGTCCTCCGGTATCTAAGATAATGATTTTCCTGTGACTATAGTGCCGTGGAGGAGTCTCTAGAAGAGATCGCCCGCTTTATTATAACTATATTTGTCCCGGGCAGTACGCTAGAGCGATGCGGGGGACTCAGTAACATTAGTAGCAATTTTGTAGGCAGTGTGTGGACCTGCGGTTTTATATGTATAGTCTATGTTGGCTAGTCGTCGAAGACGGAGGATCTTGTATGCTTGTGTGAATGTGAGGCTTCGGAGTGGTATTCTCTTTTTGTGCTATTTGATAAAGAATTCGTCTCGCTGCGCGTAAACATCATTAGTCAAGCAGCATACCTTGAGGCAGCCACGGAGCTCTATCAGTCACTCTGGGACCAGAGGCAAACTATTTAGGCACTTGATAGGCACCACTTGAGGCTCAGTAAGCAAGACACCTGTATCGTCAATGCAAAGGCCCAATGGATTCGTGGCAGCTTCAATGTTTGCGTACCTATCGAGGTACGATCGACCCGTTACTACAAGAAGCTCATCTTTCGTTGTCCTATGCTACACAAGCTTGCTGAGGTCAAGTACCCCGGAACGGTGGATGAGAAGTTGAGCTCCGAGGTGGGAACGTATGCCTGGATACAGCATCAATGTCCTGATATCCGCATCCCACACTTATACGGCTTCGGCTTCTCTGATCATCGTCATGTAAGTTATTATACCTACCACTTAACAGATTTCGTGCTAACCATGCTACTGGTATATAGTTCGTCCATGAGGAACAAAGACCTTTCTACATCCGTGTGTGGCGCATGTTTCAACGCCGTCTCCGTGATCTTCTTCGATGCCACACTCTCTCGCCCTACACGGCCCACCCAACAAGCCAACGACTTTCTGCTGCATACATGATACTTGAATATATTAGTCCTGATATGGGTCAGATTCTCTCTAGCACCTGGGATAAGCACCAGAATGACCCATCCCGCAGGCAGAAGTTCTTTCGAGGCATGGCCCGCCTGATGCTTTCGTTGGCAAACATCCCTCAGTCTCGAATCGGATCATTCCAGTTCCATGCTAACGGAACGATAACGTTGACAAACCGACCACTGCCTTGCTCTGTTGTTATTCTGGAAAACGAGGGTGCGCCGAGAACGATACAGAGGAACGAAACGTACACCTGTACTGAGCCGTTCGTTGCAGACATGCTTACATTTCATGAGAACAGCTTCCTTAGCAATCCAAACGCAGCCTATGACGAGGGTGACTGCCGTGGTCAAATGGCAGGCAAGGCATTACTTTGGATGCTATCACATCACTACGTCGAGCGGAAACGTCGCAACGGGCCCTTCTATTTCCAGTTTACTGACCTCCATGCAAGCAATATCTTCGTTGACGAACAGTGGAACATTACTTGTTTAATAGATCTCGAGTGGGTCTGCGCTTTGCCCGCAGAGATGCTTGCTGTACCTTATTGGCTTACGGGACATGGTATCGATGAGATAGTAGGCGATAACCTGAATGAATTTGATGTGATTCGACAGGAATTCATGAGAATATTTGAGGCAGAAGAGGTTAACATGGCCTCGAAGCAACATCCGCCTGTGCTGGCGAGTATTATGCATGAAGGCTGGGAGTCTAATGGGGTATGGTTTTGGCGTTGTCTTACATCTACAAATGTTATGATTTCTCTTGTGGAAAACCATCTCTGTCCTAGATTTTCTCGCCTGTCCTCTGAGGCCGAAGAGATTATCTCTCAGTATTTGTGTCCAGATTCTGCTAAGGTCGTTGAGAGAAAAGTCGCTGACTACAAAGGGTACGAAAAGGATTTAGGAGCCTTATTTAACATAGACTGAGGTCTATAATAGCTAGAGTTGAACTTGGGAAATTTACGCAGACTAAGATTACTCTCCCTGTCACTTTGCGTCCTTCTCCTTTCCGCCCTCTTCCTTTATGTCCTTCTCCTTTGCCTCTTGATTCTCCTTCTCTCTCTGCTCTCTCTTCTTCTTTCTCACCTCTCTATCCTTCTTGGTATTTTTACCAGATGAACTTACAATCTCATAGTTTGTAGTCAATTTCCACAAAGTTATTAGAGGAATGAGCCTCACTAGATGCTTGGTTTCCTAGAAAGATACATACGTTTAGCTCTTCCGCCTCGCCTGAGGTGTGGCTCCATTGGGTTCCATCGTCGGCCATCATTAAGTCTGCTTATAGAGGGTAGACGGTCGATATCGTAAGATTGCAGGTGTGAATAATGGCATACGTTAGTGTCGAGGGGAAGAAGGGGGTGATGACACGGTAGAGCGATCAGTGTTCGTTACGGCAACACAATGTTGGGGGAGGTGGACGAGCAGCCGGAGATTCGATGGGTTATTTATTGGCCCTGTAACCGCAGGATTTTCGAGTAACAGCGTGCACATCCCCAGTTGGCTCGGTGCGGCCGGTGCTGCCTAATATATGCAGCTACGATCATAGCTGAACTCTGAGCTGTTCAGCTTGCGATTCCTGAGGGTTTCGGGCGTGACAAGGATGAAATGCATGGTTGCTAGATTCTGGTTGCTAGATGTAGGGATGTGGAGAGTGTTTGACATCTGTGAATGAAGATCGATGATGGTTATGAAGAAGGGGGAGAGAGCGCTGCTTTTTATATCTTAGAGGCTGCTCTAAAGTTAGCAACTAGTAGTTCCGTGCTGTTGCTACATTACTTTGCAAGAGCTGTTTCAGTCATCCGTTATAGCTTCTTGTTGTCGCTCTATTCGCGTCGTTTCAGGCGAAAACCTGTGAGCTTTTCGTTACTTCCATTTTGCTAGAGATCAGCATTGATTTATCTACGACACTTCAAGCAGAGTAACCGGGCTAAGAGTCACACTATGAAAAGCTGCATATATGTTCCAAGATATTCTTTCAATCCCCCAATTTCAACCCCGTTTTGTCCCCATCTTCATTCTAAAACATCACAACCCCTTACTAGGAGTTCCCATCCCACTCGGCGTCCCCATCCCCGTACCAAACCCCCCATTCCTAACCGGCGTCCCCATTCCCATACCCATTCCTCCGCTCCTAACCGGCGTCCCCATCATTGGCGTCCCCGCCCCAGTACCACCATTCTTCGAAGGCGTCCCTACATCGCCTCCCCTCCCAGGCGGTCTAAATCCGCATTCTCTCCCCACACGATACACATCCGCCAATATCTCCTCCAGTACGCCCGCCTCTACAAACTCCCTCCACTTTCCCCACAGCCGTAATGCCGTGCGCGCATCCTCGATACTATCGTGCACCACGACCTGGATATCCTCTTTCAACAACACCCATGCCAGGAAGGCCAGACTCAATTTCCGCAGGCGTGCGGCGACGAAGAAAAGCTCTGCTGTGTCGATCACTTGCGCCTTGGGGACTTGGATATTCACGACGCGGAAATCTTGTTTTAGGCCGTGGCCGAGGAATGTGACGGAAAGATTGACGAGGATCCAGAGACGCTTATAAGCAGTCTTCAGACTCACAAGACTATGCGGGCTCGTCCGTGGATCGAGGTCCCCGGCCTGGATTCCGGAGTAGCTAGTCAAATAATCCACAATCGGCTCGCGGCTCGCAATATAATCATCAATCAGCGGCGTCGCAGGCGGTAGTGAGGCGTCGAGAGCAGTTGCGGGGGCAGGTCCTCGCACGACGGACACCCGGGCGAGGGCGTATACGATAGGCCGGATAGTGGCACGGTCGCCATCGCTGTTGATTTCGATCTCAGGCTGGCGAATAGAAACAAATTCTGTGTCAAGGGCTAAGATGGTGCCGTGCGTGGGGCGTTCCGTTAAAGGATTTAGGGGGGTGTGAGAGCGTGGAGCAGAGGGGTTAGGACCGGACTCTTGGTAGAGGAGGGAGGTGTCGAGGTTCTTTTTCCACGAGTCGTCGATGAGGTTGTTTGCAGATTTGATTTGGAAGGCGAGGACGGAGGGGAGTTTCCAGGCGGGGTTGAAGGAGAGGGCTTCTTCGCGCTTGGTGGGGCGGACGAGGAAATCGTTGAAGAGGTGCCAGCCATCTTCGCCGGGTGAGGTGGGCATTGAGTGTGCCACTGTTTGTGTTAGTAAAAAGAACTCAGGCTACTGGAAACAAACTTACCATTCACGACAGATACGAGGTGCGACTTCTGGTGCTGTCCACTGTCCACATCGGCGGCGACGCCAATCAGGGAGTACACTGTAATATTGTGCATCCCCCTCTGTAAGTGCAACTTCAGATCCTCGCCTTCATAACAGAAGAATTGGCCCTGCTCGATAATAACGCCAATCTCATCCGGAAGCCATCCCGGCGTTCCCCATAACTGCTTCGCCTCCGGGCTCAGGATGGCCGCATTAAGAATCAACACAGGCGGCACGTTGTGGATCGTCCTACGTGTCGCGAGCGACTGATAGCGCTGGCAGCGGCTACACCAACCACGGCTCGTCGTCTCGCGCTCTATGCTCGACTTGAGGACTTGCGAAAAGGAGACTTTGGGCGGACGTAAGTTGCGCCCTACCGATTTGGGGAGGGGATAGATGAGCTCATTCACAAATGTCGTGCCGGGGCGCGTGTGCTCGCTGCGGCAGTTCATGCAGCGGATCGCTGTGGTTGCCGGTGTGGCTAGGAGCTGGCCAAATGCATCGGAGTGCGGCGCGATGCTCTTGTAGTCTTGCGTCATGCGGTCGAGTAGGAAGCGATTTAGACCCTGAAGCATGGTGGTTAGAGAGGCGCCTGGAGCATCCTCTTCTAGTAAGGCTAGACGGGCGGCTTCAGGGTGGTTGCTGAGGACTTTAAGGAGATTTGTCGCCTGGCATATAGATCCCTCCGCTTTCTCGAGCATGTCGAACAAGAAGCCCATCTCGCACAGAAGACAGGTCGGGTTTGCACAAGACGTCGCGGTGTGCTGTAGTGTTATATTTCTAATCAGTGGAGTAAAATGTAACACTTGCAGAATGGGGTTGGCGTAAGAATTTGATATATGAATCTCGAGGCCAGAGTATTTGGTTTTGTTATAGAACCTATGGTTGTAAGTATCCGTCAGCCCAAGCAGAGTAATGTGCAAACTTACCCGAAGTCAAAGTCGTCAACACCGAATTTACTATACTTGATCTCCACATTACGATACATGACAGGAACATCTGCTTTCAAACTCGAAAGTTCGGCTGCACCCAGTGCATCTGCAACGTCACTGATCCGACGGTCCATCGTATTGGAGTTTGCAGATTCACGAGCTTTCTCGCTCAAGAATTTTGGTGCTTGGAGGCTAGCCGTAGACTTATCTGGAGTGCGGGTATCGCCAACTTGGTTACGTCTTGTGGTTTTAGTATTGCGGCCGTATGCTCCCCACTCGATTGGTGTGAGGCCTGCGAGGAACTGTGGATCAATCTTTGACGGAGGTGCTCCCACATCAGATATAATATGTGTGGGCCAAGCAGATAGAAGCTGCTCCCTATAATATGGCATTCCGATGCTGTTAATAGGCCTACGCCAGGCAAATATCAGTTATATGTATGCACAGTTAGGACGGAAGACTCACGTCACTGTGTCCCAATCCATACGTGAATGCTCCTCTTCTGGATCGGCAAATTCAACAGGATTGCTGAGCTCAGCAAAGCGAATCCGTGAAGGCGAGCCCCAGAGGTGCACATTGCACTCTGCGTCAGATAAAGCAATTGCTTCTCCTGAAGGTGCAATCTCTATCATAGTTAAGTAGGTAAGTATGTTAGCCTGACGAACATTACTAGTATTCACATTCATCAGGTCTACTATGTGCATTTGACCCAGCTGTGACACAACAATGCTTGTAGTTGACATCCTTGGATGCATGCGGACGTAGGCTGCACCGGCTGGAAAGGGTATGGGTGGAAGGGAGACGAGGTTTTTGAGGTCGAAGACACCGACAAGCGGGTCCAGCATATATGACTGGCCCTGGCGGAGCGAGTAGCCGCATGTAACAATGAAGTCATGCTGTGCATCTAAGTCGCTGATCATCGATGTGTGGGCGTTCCAGGTTTTGACGATGTTGAAACTAATGGGATCGAGGATGTTTACCGCTCCTTTCGTAGTCGCGGCGCAGATATAGCGACTCCGCTTCATAATCGTATATTGATCAGGGGTTGGGATCTAACCTGTCAGAGCCATTCCATGTATAGGCAAAAGGAGACATACCTCTTTCGTAATTTCTCCTTTGTTGACATCTATAACAAACATCTGGTCTTGGAGGCCAGCAACAATGATTTCGTTGGTGCCTTTCGAAGTAAAACTCATACAGCGCAGATCTTTCATATTGTCATGGCTACATATCCCAGGTCAGCAACTCGTCCAAAGTATGTTGGTAGAATTCACTCATACACTATATGCCATAACGGAAGGCCACGCCTTGTGGACATGTGGACACTCTTCGTCCCGAGAGCTATAACGCCCTTGTCGTGAAAGAGCAACTGCCTCACCGGCCCATCGCCATAAGGGTGCGCTCGAAAGGAGGTGTGTTTCTGTAGCTCGGAGCTATAAAATGAGGTGACTCGGCCCTATACCATCCCATGAGTTAACTTCAATAGATTGCGGGAGGACTAAACCATACGTAATCGTTGCCGACCCAGAACAGCTCTTGCATAGTGTCGAACGCCATAGTCGCGACTGGCGAAGGCACGGCATGGCGACCCGGCGGAGGGAGCGCAAGGCGCGCAACCTATATCAGATAATATTAGCTATCCATTCGAAGGCAGAAAGTCGAAGCTGTCAATGGAGCCGCATGCGCCCCGGCGGGGTTGTTGAGGACGCGCTTTGAATGGCACCACAAAGGCGGTGTCGGCAATCCAGAGGAGTGCAAGGAGAAACATCATCAAAAGTCATCCATACCTCATCCCAGTCCCCATCCATCTATTACAGCTTCTCGTACTGCGCGTCTTATACAGACATTGTCAGTGAAGCTGTAGTTACTTACACGCGTGAATGTTCGAGGTCTCCACATGAGGTGGCAATAAACCCCATTTAGGAGGGCGGTGAGAAGTAACGTGGGACACAAGTGTGGAGTGATTCGAGACGTGTTTCTGATATGAGGATTATTAAGACTCCTACGAGCAATTTTGGTCATTTAAACTTTCCACCGGTTTATTATGATGGCAGATCCAGTGTCGAGTAGTCCATAGTTACTAGATGGAATCCGTTCGTTGAATTCGTCGCACTTGGCGAACAGAGGTTAAAACGCAGTCACATTTGTACACCCATGACCTACATAATATGTGTACTGTAACTTGCTTTTAATCTATCATATATGCATAATCCCTTTCATGAAGCTACAGTTCTCCAACCTGTGCCCCTCTGCCTCCCCCTTTTCCCGGTAGGCCGTCAATGGTCTAGGTAGTCAAAAAATTACGTTATACTTTAAGCTGTTGCTGACTGGTCCGTAATGAGCTTCGTGATCTTGCCGATGGCAATTGTTTGACCCTAATGACTGGTTAGTTTAAGGTCGGCATCTTGTGAGTAGAATGAACATACCTGGTCTCTCAAAGTAAAACGGCCCAACTGAGGGTAATCCTCGAACCTCTCCACGCAGACGGCCCCTGCGCCTCCAATGATCTCCATACGCGCGATAATGCTCTCTCCCTTCTTAGCATGCGACGGTGGTACCTTTGATTTGCGCCCAGTGCCCTTCTGGAGCTTGTGCAGCAGAGCTGCAAAGGTGACCTCCTCGATTGCCGAATGGACGTGCATCACGCAGTTGAATCCCGCAGAAAGAATGCTCTTGAGGTCAAGGATGCGGATCTGGGCCTCGAAGGCAGTGACGCAGTGAACGAGACGCTTTGGCGAGCACAGCACAAAGCCAGGAAGCACATCTTCCTCTTCGACGCCGCGCAGGCGGACGCGAATCTGGTCACCTGACTGGGCGATTTGAGTTTCCTCTTCAGTCTCACCATAAAGAGCCGCGACTTCAACGTTGTTGCGGTTAGGCATGACGACAAGCGACGCCCCCTTCTTGATAACACCAGCTTCGATTTTTCCTTCAACGATGGTTCCCATTTCACGGTATTTACCGTTGATAGGCATCATGAAAGGAGCGTTAAGCTTGCGCTCTAATGCGGACATGTTGTCCAGGTACTCAAGAAGAGATGGCCCATCGTACCATTTGCACAGGTCCTTAGGGATGCGGTCTTTGATACCAGCCGTAATCTGAGCCGCAATAGGCATGAAAAAGACATCCGTCTTCAAGTTGTATCCAGTTCCCTTGAGGAAAGCTGCGAGCTTTGTCGTACACTCGGTGTAGCGCTCCTTTGACCAGGCTACAGTTGGGTCGTCCATCTTGTTGATAACAACAATCAACTTGTTCACACCCTGAGTCTTGGCAAGCATAGCATGCTCTCTTGTCTGTCCACCCTTTTCGAAACCGGTCTCATACTCTCCCTTACGTGCAGAAATAACCAAAATGCCTACATCGGCTTGGGATGCACCTCCAATCATGTGAGGAACATATGTCTTGTGACCGGGAGCATCCAAGATACTGTAGCGGCGCTTGTCGGTCTCAAAATAACCACGACCGACCTCTACAGTCTTTCCCTTGGAACGTTCTTCCTTGGTCAGATCCAAGGCCCACGAAAGATACCAAGTCTCACGACCCATTTCCTTCGCCTCCTTCTTATTCTTCTCCATCGTTCGCTCGTCAACCATACCAGTAGCATAGAGAATGCTTCCACCAAGGGTCGATTTTCCAGCATCAACGTGACCGATAAAGATGATGTTTACGTGCTCCTTTCCGTAAATTTCCTTCAATGTCTCTTGGTCGACATCAGCAAGCTGCTCTTTCTCCACAGCATCAGCCTCCCTCTTTGCCTGCTTCTCAGCGATAGCGGCGCTAGGGCTCGAGCGTCCAGAAGATGGAGCAGGCGAAGTCTTTCCAGTAGCAGCTCCATCAGCTTTGGAGATTGCCTTCGTTGCGGTAGCCTTGCTTCCTGCGGCGGGTGCGGCTTCCTTTGCAGCCTTTGCAGCCTCCTCTTTCTTTGGTTCCTCCTTCTTGACTGCCGGGAGTCCTATCGACAAAACCTTGGCCTTTGGAGCTGGCGCGTCGCCTCCGATGCTAAGAACCTTGGGGCCACCCTCCTTGGTTGCAACAGGCTTGTTTAGTGTTCCAGCCGCAGCTGTACCTGCGGGAGCGTCGGAGCGTTTCGCAATGGTCGGCACCTGAGATGGAACGAAAGCCTGCTGGGCGGCTTGTTGTTGCTGCCCGTAGCCAGAGTTCTGTTGTCCTTTATATTTGTAAGTATAAAATTCCAAAATAGCCTCCACAATAGCATTCAAGTGACAAACTCACCGTATGTTTGCTGGTACCCCCCTTGGTTATAACCACCCCCGTAGCCACCTTGGCCGTATTGCCCATAGGCTTGTTGTCCGCCATACTGCTGCTGCTGCTGGCCGTAGCCTTGGCCTTGGTTTTGGTACTGCTGGTATTGGGCTTGATCATATCCGCCGCCGTATTGTGGATATTGTTGGCCAGGCTGGAAAGTTTGTGCGCCCGGGGTGAATGACGATGCGCCGGGACGGAAAGTGTTGGCGTGCGCAGCGGCGTTGAGGTTCATTTGTTGAGCCTGGCGAGCGAGGTTCTCCTCCTGCGCGGCTGGGTCATCTTCCCAGGAGTTGAGGTGCGACATTGTGGTCGAGATCGTGATATTCAATGACGGTGAAGTGAAATATTGTGCCCCGCACTTTGCAAATTGAGGGGCAGAAATGTCGAAATCCACAACTAAAGCCAAGCACTCTAAATCGGTATAATGCGATATCTCCCACAAGTTATGTATTGAGCACTAGATAGAGATTTTGAACAGTAGACGAGCGTCGAGACAGGTTTGCCGTCAAAACTCGAAGTGAACTGTTCAGGTGGCCCAGAAAATTGAGGTGTGTCCAGCAAATCATATGGGTACAACAGCCATGTCGGCCTGCTTAGGTAAGCAATTCACACACGACCACCGCCTGTAAAATAACAACGGGGTTGTCTGGTGCACCGTACGTTCTGGGGACTCACCAAAACACCAACGAGCTTCACGCATAAATGATTTTTTTACTATGAATAAAGGAAGAGCTGGTCTATGGTGTACACTGTACATACAGTCTTAACAGTGAACTTAGTTCATACTCGTTAACTTATTCGCCATGGACGATTTACTGGGAAAGGCAAGTCGCTCGTTCCAAGTATCATGAAGTTTCTAATATGCGTATAGATCACGCAGCAGGCGATGGGCTATGCGATCAGGTGTGCCCCTTTTGCTTCATTGGTTTACTGTTCTAATGAAACCAGGTCTGGAATCGCCATAACAAGTGGTTATGCAGTAGGACAGTGCTCAAGGTTCTTAAAGGTGTGCTTCCTATCTGCCCAACTCGTATATAGCATTACTAATTGGTGGCTGCAGACCGTTAACAATAATGAGGAGTTTCACGAACTCCAAGGCCTTCAGATGCGGCTTGACAGCAAGATCAGAGTGAGTTATTGAAGTCATGTGATAAAGAAACTATGTTTGCGTTTGCAAAGCGGTGGTTAAGAAGCTATGATCTAACTGCCAAATACTACAGATTATTTCACCAGCAATTGACATGATCGAGCTGATGTAGGTGAGCGAACTTGCTTAATTAAATATCATACTGACTTGCAATAGCTCGGCTCGCGGCAATACTTCACTCGAGTCTGCAGTCACTCTGACAAAGGAGTTGCGCTGGGACATACAGTCTCTTGGTGTCCGTCTTGCCAAAGCTGCGGGTGCTGAAGAATCGGCTCGCCGCGGAACCGGTCGATCCAAATCTGGCCCTGGCCACAAGGCTGAATTGCGCTTCATTGTTCAAGATATAAAGCGATTGCTGACTCGTATCGAAGATGCTGTCCCGTTGATCAACCTTGCAATCGCTACATCTGGGGCTAGTCTTTCAACGACCTTGCCTGCTTCTGTGTCTCCGTCAAGACTTCTTCAAGCAAGCACTTTCCTCACGGCGTGTGATACACGTTACTCACTAGATCCCAGCCGTCCGATCCAAGTTGGGCCGACATTTACACTCTCTGTATATATGCTATTCACAGGGCATTCCAATAGACCTCATGATGAAAGAGGTCTAAGAGACATGGTCTGGAAAGAGGCCATACATAAGGCAAGAGTCAAATTAATGAGGAGCTCCTTGAGTGGTTCCTACGATGATGGCGCCAATTCTGATTTCAGGTCTTCTACTAACACCAATGACCTTGGCGATGGTTCTACCGCGGGGAGTAATGAGAATGACGACAGGTCGGAGCTTCAAATAGCAGGAGAAGGGAAAGCCAATGAGTATTCCTATCGTCTCGTTGTTGTTGAAGATCTGAATGATAATCGAGTACATACCTACGAAGAAAATGAGCCTCAACCCGGCCCGTTTGAAGATGTAGCCCTTGCAGGTTTAAGAGAGCATTTTCCGATACACCAGATATCGAAAATATTCTACGCTGACACTGGCAAAATCCTCAACATAGGCAGCGAAGGAGAAGCAAATAGCCCTGTTCTTCTTTTGAAGCGTGATGTGAACGCCGTTCCTCCACGGCGCATGATGGAATCCTCTGAACGCGACAATCTGTGGGATGAACATGAACCGTTCGAAAGCGTGGAAGGAGAAGGGAGACAGCTAGAGGACTCGATATATGATGACACCGAAACCGACCCGGATGAATCCCAGCTAGATATCGACGAGCAACTTCGCCGAGAAAACTCGGTTTTGGAGCCAAATGAGTTACCCAATGCAGATGCAGACGTACGCAAGGAACCGGTTTGGGGTTTCCCACCTAACCTGGACCCTGAATGGGTAGCTTTTGAAGTTTACGTAGGATCCGATGATGAAGAAAGCTCTGATGATGAAGAGGAACCAGCCACAGTTCGCCCAGGCTCCTCACACGAGTCACCCTCTGATCCAGATCTTACAAGAAGTTTGTCGAACCTTGACATCGGCAGCTCCTCATCAACTGGTAGCCCCAGTCCACAAAAACGTCGCTATTCCCGCCCACCGAATGCCCCACAAGCGTCTTTTACGCCTTTCGGGCCAGTTCGCTCCTCACTCTCCCTCCTAGAAATGCTCATTCGCCTCACGGCCCTCCAGCAATTCCAGCAAGCATCGCATCTCTCCATCCCGGACGAATTGCTTAACTTCTTCCTCGAAGAATCATCCACTACAGGCGCCGGTGGGGATGTCGAAGAGAGACGCCGAAGGCGCTTTGAAGCCAGACAGAAAGTCGGATTTGACCCGTATGATGAGAGCCCGATAAAACACAGAGGAGAAGATTACCAATATGGGTCTCAGCCGTCCAGCCCAGCAACGCGGGGTGGGCCTGGCTTTGATGAATATGATCAATCACCGCTGCCAAGAAAAGGCTGGGAGAGATCACGGAGCGCAACGCCAAATAGTGGAACCCCAGACTGGTTGCTGCGGAATAAAGAAAACTCATCAGGTTCTAGAAAGGGCAGGACTGGGGAATTTCCTTCGTCACCTGGGTCGCCATACATACCGGCACCGAAGGCGTCTCGTCCTCTAGACCGTATCCAACAAGAGCGGCGAGGCGCAAAGGGGAGTCCCCTGGGCAGAGGAGTCAGTGTCGAGACTGATTCGAGTCTTGGAACGAGCCCGCTCAGTCCGACTCAGAGTGGGAAGAAACTTCCAAAGGATGAATGATTAATGACGGAGGGTTGTTAGAATTATGGGGTCTTAACATTGCAAATCATTGTAATGGGGCGGTATTTCAAACGGGTTACAATAAAATTCGAGATAAATGATACCAAGATCCAGTGTTGCCCGAGTACTACTCGTTGCGAGTACTACTCGAGTAATTACTCGAGTAGTACTCGACTCGAAGAAATCTGAACTACTCGAGTACTACTCGAGTAGTACTCGAGTAGTACTCGAGTAGTTGCCAAGATAGCCAAGAAGCGGGGTAAGGACGTAGACAGAATTGTAGAATAGGAAAAGTGAAGCTTTCAATGACCTGAATATTACTGTGATACTTGCTATCGCCAAGATGAGTGAGTCTTCGCTATCACCGCCGCCCCCAGACGACGCGGACGAATATGAGAATGCTTCTCAAGAGCTACTCTTACCCCTACCACTTGTACGCATGCCTATATTGTCTCAAGACCAACCGTTACCAGATTCTGACTCAATCCTCTTTGTAAAGGGTTTATACTCTCGTACTATTCTTGATAATGCGCCCTTAAGAATATCATTTAAGTGCTTGCAGCCACATTGCACATATACACCATCACAGCCTACAAGGACGCAAACAACGAGTAATCTTTGGAAGCATTTAAAGACACAACATCCAGCAGTACATGCACAATATAAGAAAAAGCACGTTCAAGACAGAGATATACAGCCTTCTTCTTCAACTACAGCTACGTTCTTCCAGCCTCGCAAAGTATCTAGCCATACACCAAATTCGTCGAAATTTAGAGAGCTTCTACTCTCATTTATTGTATCTAATAACCTACCATTACGAACATCTGAGAGTCTATCCTTCCGGCAGCTTGTTTGCCATTTAAATCCAACAACACTTGTAATTGGACGGACGACAATTGGAAGAGACTTGCAACGGATATTTTGCATTCATAAAGCTAGGCTACAACTTGAATTGCAGCAGCATACTGCACAAGGTGGACGAATATCTTTAACAACTGATACTTGGTCCGCACGCAACTATTCTGAATACGCTGCAGTAACAGCACATTGGATCTCTGATAAGTGGCAGTTACGATGCACAGTCTTAGATGTTATTGAGCTACGAGAGCCAATCCATTCTGGTGAATATCTTGCAGAGCAGTTAATAGCCGTTACAGACGACTATGGTATTACTCCAGCAGTTTTTACTATCACTCGTGATAACGCCTCTGCAAACACTACTATGCTCTCAGAATATGAGAATTTAGCATGTAAGAGCGAAACTACGTTACAGCAACCATGGGCATATACAACAAAAGAAGGCGATGTTAGATGTATTGGACACATTATAAACCTTGCTGTTCAAGCTGCTTTAACATCGTTAAAGGCAGTACCAGCAGAGGAGCCAAATGCATACCGTCTTGAGTATGGAGCTGCCCGAGTTCCATTACTACCAGAAAACGAGTCAGTAGCTGTTCTTAGCAAACTTCGGCGTCATATATATGTGTTTCGCAACCGACGACAATGGAAAGATGCTCTAAAAAAGCAATGTGAAGCTGTAAATATTGAGTTTAAGCAGCTTAGCCTCGATATGCCAGTACGATGGAGCTCAACATATTATATGCTTCATTTAGCGTTAAGGTTACAAGGTCCAATAACAGCTCTCTGTGCATCTCAGCAGCTTGATTTAAGTATGAAAGATATAGCTTTAACAGCAAAAGATTGGCAAACGATGAAGGCGTTATCAGATTTATTCTACATCTTTATACGGCCAACAGAGAAGCTACAAGGCTCTTCTTATCCTACTTTAAATTATGCTGTTATACAGTATATGAGAATGACGCAAAAGCTTGAAGTCTTTAAAGCTGGATATACAGAGAACAGCACAATATACGACGCTTGTTTAGTAGCATTAAAAAAGCTCAATGAGTATTACTCACTTGCAACAAATCAACAGCAGAGTCATTCAACTATAGCTACAATATGCGACCCACGGTATAACTTTAACGTGTTTGATATTATCTGGCCAAAAAGCATTCAAGACACACGGAAAAGGCGGGCAAAAGCGCAGTGGCAAGAATGTTATTATAAATATTCAGGCAAGGCATCAGACATCCAAGCAGCAAAGGTTATAGAAAGTATACAAGATGAGGAATTAGAAGATGAGAATTCTAAGAAGACAGAGTCTGATTCTGAGGATGAGCTATATGTCTCACAACGGCAGCCAGATTTGGATCCAGAATGGAAGCGCTGGATGAACGAGCCAACTCTTGGGCCTAAAATTGATATACTCAAGTTTTGGGCAAGTAAGCAATACCAATATCCAATACTTGCTGCAATTGCCAAAGATCATTTAGCAATTCCTGCTACATCTGCAGAATCCGAGCGAGTGTTTAGTGTTGGTGGCGATATTATTACAAAGAAACGGAACAGGTTAGCACCATCTACACTACGATATCTTATATGTCTTAGGAATTGGGGCGTGGTATCAGTAGGTGAGGATTCAGAGGAAGACGAGGATGCATAGTTACTGTATTTCCATAGTCTATATAGCTATTAATGGTGTTTTCATTTTTATACTCGAGTAGTACTCGTAGTACTCGAGTACTACTCGAGTACTACTCTACTCGAGCCCAAAAAACAGTACTCTACTCGAAGATCTCTGAGTAGTACTCTGAGTAGTACTCGGGCAACACTGATTGCTACAGTGGACTATCATGCTAATTATAGCCGCGACTTTCCATATTCGATTATAGTATTCTACTATGGTATTTATTATAGTTTATATATGTTTATATATGTTTATATATGTTTATATTTTAAAGATTTTACCTTATTTTTACAATTTATTAACTCCAAGTCACTGTATAACGTGGGTGGACATGACCCTGCGCACGACAGGACCCTGCGCACTTTTCCTTGGCATTAAACTTTGAATATTAATAAATCAACCACAACACATTAAATTAACTATAACTAAAAGGAATCAGATGAACTAGATATATCTACAGCTTCTTGACAAGTTCGTATGTTATGACCAGCTTTTCCGCAGATCCCACAGCGCCGCCTAGACTGTTGCCCCTCCCTACGACTACCCCCTGCTGCACGTACGTCGTGTCGTACCTGCTCATCCACGTCCTCCTGTGCAATAATATCCTGTGCATCCTCTACTATAAGTGCACCCCCTTCACAGACACGAGCCTTTTTAGCCCTACGGCGTTTGCTAAGGGCTTCATTAGCTGCTCGAAGGGTATGCACCTCAGCGGACAGAAGGGTGTTCTCATGGGCTAGTCGCTCTGTACCCTTTGCTAACGTAACAACTGTCTCAAAAAGTGGAGTTAGCGAGCTCTCTTGGTGACAGGCAATCTGATTTCGAACAAGTGTTGTTTGTGAAAGAGCCTTAGTTAGGTTGGAAGGGGTCTAGGAGACCCAAGGGGTGGTGTTGGCAGTGGAGGGTGTAGAGGGAGTTGGAGTTCGTAACTTCATGTCAAGCTTTGAAAGCACTGCTTGCAGGTCAAAAGGCACTAAGCCAGCTCTACGGAATCTAGCCTGACAGTTTTAGGCTGTCATTAACTCCTTGTATGCTGCTGTGAAGGCTAGAAAGAACTCCACCTTCGTGATATGGTTAATATAGGCTTTAATAAACCTCTTAATCTGCTGACCGTACGCCCGCTTTAACATACTAAAGCACCCGACATTAAGTGGCTAGGTTAAATGAGACGAGTGAGAAGGCAGTCTAAGAGTTATAATGTTGTGTGACTTGTAGTACTCTTGGAACTCAGCCGATTTGTGACTCTTATGCCCATCTAAGACCAGTATTCGATATGGACCCCTTGCACGAGTAGCAGTGTGTTTATCGAAGTGTTCTAGCCATTCTAGACCCGTCTCATTATTCGTCTATCCATTACTTGTCGGTTTAATAACCTAGTTAGGTAGGAGGCCACTGTCTATATACCAATTTGAAAGGTGGTTCTTGCCCTAAACCACTAGAAATAGAGGAACACTCTAGCCTTTACTATTGATACAAGCAATTGCTATAGCCCATTCCCGATTCCCTGGCTAAACTGCCTTGCCTCTACCACGTCGATCTATACGGGTTACAACCATTGTAGGGCAAATCACACCCATCATGAAGCCAGTTTCGTCGAAGTTATAGAAGTCGCAGTCTAAAACCCTGTATTTTGCCCTCATATTTTCCACTAGTCGAAACCACGCGCTAATTAGCTTAGGATCTTTGCATAAGGCCCTTTAGAAATCATAAACGCGATTAAAACGCGTCTTAAGGGCTAGTTGTCGTTGTATAAACCGCTGTGCCTAGCGGCCTCTAACACGCGTCCCTCTACGCGATTTAAGAATAAAATTGGCCATATCTTCCACACTAGCTAGCTAGGGTGCAAATCCTCTAGAATCTAGCTCAAGTATATTCCGAACAATCACTTCCTCCTCTAACTTGGACAATTTAATATTTGCTGGCCGTCGCTTAGGGAGGGGAAGGTGGCCGTTCATTCTAAGCCTAAGTGACGATTCGGGAACTTTATAGAGCTTTGCAGCAGCTCGACGGCTTAGCTTTCTAGACGTTCGAATAGCTTCCATAGCTAGAATGATTTTTGCTTCTTTGGTAATAACTGACATAGTGGAAGGTGGATAAAACGCGTTCTAAAGTACGGGGGTGAGGAATTCGCGAAAAGTGCGCAGGGTCCTGTCGTGCGCAGGGTCATGTCCACCCACGTTATATAATTTACTATGTGAAAGTAGCTGTAAATTTTGGTGTAAATGCGCGCGGATCGCTTCGCTCAAGGTTTGGTCACGACGATTAGGACTGACACTGTTGCTCACTTGTTCGCCCATTGTTTCTGATTTATGCGTAGAAGTAGCAACGTAAAACGTGACTTTAATAGAGCTGACAATGTTGAAGTATTACGGTGAAAGTGTGCTGGATATGGACTTTTGGCGTACTCACATATTAGTAATCTTTAAAGCATCTAGTTTCTATGCGGAGTAGGGACCGCTTACACTTTGCATTCCAATTATATCCCAATAAATAGGGTAAACAGTGGGTACTAGGGAGCATCAATCATCACTGCCTGTCAAGGAGTGCAACTTTGGATTCAAACAAGCGGAAACTCCGTTCTGGTGCTAGGATTACAACAAGCGGAAAGTCTGTTCTGGGGCTAGGTGTAAAGGCGTACCGTGGATTTGCGGGGTACGGGGTTACAGGGATATGCTAGTGGGACCAGGGCTGACAAGACCTTACTAATGTGCTAGTCGTCAAACGGTGAATATGGACTACGGAGCGTTAAACACGAAGTATGAAGAATTGTGCCCTATAAACGTACCCTTGTGGATTCTGTATATCTAAATTATAGCTCAGAAATAACAACTAAAGAGAGTATCACAATGATGTGTACGAGATGCGGCCCGTGTTCACGTACATGTACAAGCAAGCAGATAGCTAGACTCTGCAATGTACTCAGAACCGATCTCGTTTCTTATTGATTGTAGATACTTTTAACATGTCTATTTCTGCTCTTGTACACGAATTGGAGGGGAAATATTACCACATACGTCCTAGCAGTACTCGGCGGCAGTATCCATCCGCCTACGACAAGTTTACCCCGCAAGCTCGATAGTCCAGTGGTCAGATTTAGTGAGTCCAAAAAGACCCGCGGAATTGATCCGTGCAGTGAAGGCGATGGGGAAACACTGGCCTGCCACTGCGGTAAGGCGGGGAAACGCGGCTTTTCGTGGCTTTACTAATACATCATAAAGTATTCGTTCGTTAGATGTATGACGTATAGGTACTCTTAAAGAGAGTCTCCTGCCCGTGTTCCCTACTCCTGCTCTCCCCATTTTCCATCTCCACATCCGACAACATACTGAACCAACTGCAACCATGAGCGAGTGCCCGGTTCACCCTATCATGAAGGCCAACATCGGCGGTGGCGGCACCCAGACCCGCGACTGGTGGCCCGATGAATTGAAGCTGAATATACTACGACAGCACACGGCGGTGACGAATCCGTTGAACCCGGACTTTGATTATGCGGCGGCATTCAAGAGCCTAGACTACGAGGCCCTGAAGAATGACCTGCACGCCCTCATGACGGATTCGCAGGACTGGTGGCCTGCCGACTTTGGCCACTACGGCGGTCTCTTCATCCGCATGGCCTGGCACAGCGCTGGCACGTACCGCGTCTTCGATGGTCGTGGCGGTGGCGGGCAGGGCCAGCAACGTTTCGCTCCCCTCAACAGCTGGCCAGACAACGTGAGCCTCGACAAGGCACGCCGCCTGCTCTGGCCCATCAAGCAAAAGTACGGCAATAAGATCTCCTGGGCCGATCTGTTGCTGCTCACCGGCAATGTGGCGCTCGAATCCATGGGCCTCAAGACCTTTGGCTTTGCGGGGGGCCGTCCCGATACCTGGGAGGCGGATGAGTCGGCGTACTGGGGTGGCGAGACGACGTGGCTGGGCAACGATGTTCGCTATTCAGGCAATACCGACATCTCTTCGCGCGACCTGGAAGACCCGCTAGCTGCGGTCCACATGGGCCTGATCTACGTGAATCCCGAAGGTCCCGATGGCAACCCTGATCCCGTCGCCGCTGCCCGCGACATCCGCACCACCTTTGGCCGCATGGCCATGAACGACGAGGAGACAGTCGCACTGATCGTCGGCGGTCACACCTTTGGCAAGACGCATGGAGCCGCTTCCGCTGATCACATTGGCCGAGAGCCTGAGGCAGCCGGCATTGAGCAGCAGGGCCTGGGCTGGAGCAACAGCCACGCTTCCGGGAAGGGTCCCCACACCATCACCAGCGGCCTGGAAGTGATCTGGACCAAGACCCCAACTAGGTGGAACAACGACTTCCTCGAGTACCTCTTCAAGTACGAGTGGGAGCTGATCAAGAGCCCGGCTGGTGCAAATCAGTGGACGGCCAAGAATGCCCCGGCCATCATCCCCGATGCCTACGATGCCGACAAGAAGCACCCCCCGCGAATGCTGACCACCGACCTCGCGCTGCGCCGGGACCCTGCATACGAGAAGATCTCGCGCCACTTCCTTGAGCATCCAGATCAGCTCGCTAGCGCCTTCTCCCGCGCCTGGTTCAAGCTGCTGCACCGCGACATGGGCCCGCGGTCCCGCTGGCTCGGCCCAGAGATACCTGCCGAAAACCTGGACTGGGAGGATCCCCTTCCAGCAGCAGATCAGGCAGTGATCGACGACAAGGACGTTGCCGCCCTGAAGAGAGAGATCCTGGCATCCGGTGTCGACGCTGCCAAGTTCGTGTCTGCCGCCTGGGCATCGGCTGCCACCTTCCGCGGCAGCGACAAGCGTGGCGGTGCCAACGGTGCCCGCATCCGCCTTGCCCCGCAGAAGGACTGGGAGATCAACAACCCAGCGCAGCTGAGCGAGGTGCTCAGCGTACTAACCCGCGTCCAACAAAACTTCAACAACGCATCCCAGAAGAAGGTATCGATAGCCGACCTCATCGTCCTAGCAGGATCCGCCGCCGTAGAGAAGGCCGCAGGCGTCCCTGTTCCCTTCACTGCCGGCCGCGTGGACGCCTCACAGGATCAGACCGACATCCCGTCCTTCCGATATCTCGAACCCATCGCTGATGGGTTCCGCAACTATGGGAAATCGACCGACCGGGTGCGCATCGAGCAGTTCCTCGTCGACAAGGCGAACCTGCTGACGCTTTCCGGTCCGGAGATGACGGTCCTCGTGGGCGGTCTTCGTGTTCTAGGTGCCAACTACAATGGAACTGCCTATGGCGTGTTCACTCAACGCCCGGGTCAGCTGACGAATGATTTTTTCGTCAACCTGCTAGATACAAACACGTCTTGGAAGGCAAGTGGCACTGATAGTGAGATCTACGAGGGTGTTGAACGCAAGACTGGGGCGACAAAATGGACCGCCACCCGCGCTGATCTAGTGTTCGGCTCTCATGCCGAGTTGCGCGCCATCGCTGAGGTTTACGGCAGCGTGGATGGACAGGAGAAGTTTGTCAAGGATTTTGTAGCTGCCTGGGTCAAAGTGATGAACCTGGACCGATTTGATTTGATTTAGTATACCCTACCTCACCTATCCTGGTAAATTTCAGCCCAACGGCACGTAAGCTAGTTAGCAAATTGCAACAATATGAGTCTATTCTTCATTAAGAAGCTAATGAATCGTGCCAACCCAGAATCGCTGTGATGTAGCAGGTCTAGCCATAGCCACTACATCCTCATGTCCTCTTTTAGTGGCGAAGGCATAAAATGAGTAGGTTAGAGGTGGCATTAAGACCAAGGCGAAGAATATGGAGATGCCTGCGATAGCGATCGCATACACACCTCGACGGTTACTGCCAACACCTGCTTCGTGGATGTTATTGAGATAATGTCCCAGGGTCCCCGCGACAACAGCCCCAGAAACAAGCTGCATAAGCCGAAAGATCACAGAAATAACTCTTGACGCAGAACCCATGGCTAATGATCTGAATTTATCCGTTTGAATAGTGGAGTTTTAAAATTTAAAAGATAAAGTGATATTAGGTAGTAGTCGATGCTTAAAGCCATAGAATAGGCTATTCTATCAAGTTATATATATATGGGACTCGTTACCTACGTAGATGCCAACAGGCATGTTCGTTCGGGTGCGAACCTAGTATCTCCATATCCTTAAGGGATTAATTGGCCAGACTCAAGAATCCTCTACCGTAAGCAAAATGGCCAGAACTAGGCCATGGTTGAGCCTAACTTAGCAAGTTGACTAGAGCGATTTAAGCTCCAGATGTTTGGAGTGTCGTAGGTGGCGGGTCGAGCCGCCAATGCGGTATCACTAGAGATCGACTACGGTGTAAGAGAAAGTGTCAGCGCCCTCTTACAGTCTAGAGAGATAAACTAATGAAGGAATATCACCCGATGCTGTGCCGATGATGTAACCGTAAATGCGGTCTAAGACAGGCCAACCCTTTTTATACTGAATGCCCAATCATAAGCACGGTTAAACGAAATCACGCTAATAATTCCGAGAATTATTTAGAGTGGCAAGAAGCATCATTCGTAAGTATAGTCAATTGCTAACTAATTCTCATAGCTTGATAATTCGAGTTTAGGCACAAGTTTTCACATTACGCAATGGGTTACCATATGCTGCCAACATATCTATATAAGAATCGTCATGATTTGCTTTACGCGATCTAAGTATGAATCTTTACTTCCTCTAGTTTAAGCTTCTAGCAAATGAGCGATTCATACAAACTTGCCTTGAATTCTTACGATTTCCTACCACAATCTACAGAATAAGAATCTCGAGCTCAAAACAGACCGGCTGGTTGGATTCGAAATGTTTGGGCGTCGCAGAAGACCAATGATGGCTGCCCCGCTGCTAGGTACTGCAGTAATCATGGGGGCATCACGATCGTCGGCCAGACACGAGGTGGCACGCCAAGAACAGTTATATCAGAACAACCAGATGGCGAACGAGCTAAGAAGGCGCGACGAAGAAGATAGAGAGAGACGTACGCAAGCCGCTATCGATGAAGCTATCGCAAAGGAGAGGCAGCGCGTTGAGCAGGTTCAAGCGGGAGAAAGTGGGACACAAACCGGACGTGTTGAGTTTCCGCCAGTATATAGCAGTGGTAAAGGGGATGTTAACGCCAAGAAGTATTGCAGACATTGTGGAGGTGGCTGCGGGGCGAGCGATAAGTTTTGCACTAGTTGTGGATGTAAATTAGAGACAGCGTAGCTAAAGAAAAGTAAGAAGTATAAAGCTGTTGAAGCCGCATTCCATCTTCTTCACCACTCTTTTTAATATACGGAACCACTTCGTAATAAAGTTAATACGTGAATCATCCGTAATACCGTTCGTCGTCGCTCTACCGATCACTAAACCACATAACCTTGGTCAAGTCTTCTGTAGTCGGAGGGAAGTAGGCGAGATTTCCTCCATTCGGGTCCCAGGTTTAATGAAGTTGATCCAGTATTGCGATATCTGAGCCTCGATAGCCAAGTCATCAGAGCCCCAAATGGTCGGCACGCAATCGCCAGAGCCGTAAGGGATGTTGTTGAAAGCGTACCAGAGCTCTGATCCGTGGTAACCAGACCGCAGGTGCTCACCACAGATCAGAGCTATGGTACGCTTTCAACAACTGGTGGTGTATGAGTCTAGAAATATGTGTAGACGTTGCTCTTAGAACCGCCAGCTGCCCATTCTGAAGCCTAGATGCAGAGTCTGACACGGCTGATGTCGAGCCAAAAGGCGGTAGAGGCCTAAGTACGTTGTTTGAAGGGTACAAGTCACGGTACTCGTCCATTAGGTTGCCTATTATGGTGGAGATTTCAGAGGAATAGTCTGGGCGGAATGCTAGATCGAGATTACCATGCTAGCTTATTTATTTTAAGCTGAGCTATAGAATGTGATGGTGTCAAGCTACGTAATAATTGGATGAGATAATATAAACGCAAATACAAATTCATAGCAAACCTACAGTTTCGAATCTCCTCTTCTATTTCTCAAACACTCAAACTAACATCAATTAATATCACGAAGGACCCGTGCGTGGTCTCCATTGCACAACATGCGCTACACAGCTCCTCTCGCCCTTGCTTTCGCAGCCTCAACTGCTCTCGCCTCTCCATCTAACTCTCTTTATGTGAGGGATAGCAACGATAACGACAACGATAACGACCACAGTCAGATTAATATTTTCAAAACCGCTAATAAACGATGGTATGCTAGAAACCATCTTATAGAGTCTGCGTATTCTAAATATTAGAAGGGACGGCGCCATCTGCAAGGGGAAAGTAACTCCAGCGACATTTCCAGGCTTAGTAACTCCCTCAGAGGATGGAGGATGCGTTCGCTGTAAGTGCTCTACTTGTGTGTTTAGTTAAAGAATAGAGCGTTACAACTAATGGCCAAAAACCTGAAGACTACCAAGGCATCGATATGACCGGCGTCGTTACTACTGTAAACATATACTTCCCTACTGTTAAAAGCGCGTGCGACTGTATAGGGTTATGCATCAAAAATATCACGACCTGCACGAACTGGGTCTTCAAGCATACGTTTGCTCCAGATAATCTCGATCACGGTAAACGCACCTGCACTCTTTACTCGTCCCCAAATCTTCCAACGGAAGTCACACTTGCGTATGACCTTTCAGGCAGCGTTAACTTCGCCGAACTCGGGGCCAATCCCCAGGTGGGAGGGCCCGCTCCGCTCACGTTCACCAATCCTGCGTCAACTCAGCAGGATATGTTTGGAGTATCGGGTTTCATCGCCCAGGATCAGAATTCCAACATATACTGTTGAAATTGGGTGGAAGAGAGAGAGCTGTGGGGAAGAATATGTCTCTTAATAATACTCAAGTCTTAGCTGTATGTTGTATAATTAGTATATTTTTTAGTTCCTTCGTGTGCATTCCCATCTGCTTCTAAGACCTGTGATGTTTCGTGCATATCACGGAGTCGCTTTTCCCCCACCCCACCACTTCAAAATACAATTAAACTACCACAACACATAATATCTATTAAAACTACTCGGAATCTGATGAACTAGACTCTTCTATAACCTCCTGACAAGTTCGCGCATCATGACCAGTCTTTCTGCAAGTACCACAGTGTCGCGCAGTCAATCGACTGCGCGAATTGGCCATCATTTTGACCAACCCCTCTTGAGCGCCTGTCGTGTTGAATCTGCTTGTCCTCCTGAGCTAAAATATTGTGTGCATCCTCTACAGTAAATGCACTTCCTTGACGGATACATTTATTTTTAGCTCTGTGACGCTTGCTAAGTGCTTAATTTGCCTTGCGAAGAGTACGAACCTCGGCAGCTAAATGGGTATTATGAACGAACGCCCTGTCAAAAGTAGATCGTGATCGAAAACACCTATTTATCAAGAATATGCACGCCAAAGGTAAGACAGAAGGTCCATCGATTACATCCTAGGTGCGCAGGTTTGTTTACTTCGCCTTTTTTGGTCAACCACTTGTCGGCATTGTTCCCCGGCTCTGAATTGCCTCATTTGCTTGGTTCTACTTTCCTTTCTCATATATAGGGCTGTCGATTAGATGTACTCTATGGAGAATAGCCTCGCTCCTGGGCTTTAGCAAGCTGCTCCTTGGAGGTATAGGTCTTCCGTGTCATTATAGTAGATAGCTTAAAAGAAAATAGGTAAAGTTGCAGATAGAGGACTTAGAAATGCAAAAGTGGGAAGCTACCTTTATAACTACTATTTTCTTAGCTTAGCAATACTCACCCTCCTCACCCATCTTGCTCACACTGCTCACCTTGCTCACCCTGCTCACCTTGCTCACCCTGCTCACCAACTCAACCGTAGGCATCCACTGTCGCGGTATAACACGTCGTAAATATGAGACCTACCTTTAGAACGTCTAGTTGCGCCATCACAATATTGAGGGCAACGCGTTGTAAATGTAGGACCCACCTTTGGGATGTCGACTTGTCGAGGTGGTCGCCATCATGGAACTGAGGGGGACAACCGGATCATCGTGAGGGCATTAAAAGCCTGAGGCGGCGACGCTCACCCACTAGGCCGGATGACACTGATCGAACTATTAAACTAAGATAACCTTGAGATCGGTGGATTAGTAGTTGGGTGGGTGTTTTTGTTTATTCTTTTGCTTTATTACTATTTTTTAGGGGGGGGTAGGGTTGGAGGTGGGAAGGAGGAGAGCAATCCCACAATAAACTGAGAAGCCCATCTAGGGTTATTTTTATTAGAGGACCCGAGAGAACAGAGGTGCATCATTTGAAGATATGATCTGATCCTTACTAATCGTGGGTGGAAGCAGAGTGCATCCGCGACATTTTACAGAGTAAATTATGTCACGGCGTTTTGGGTACGGATTATAGTCTCAATTTGATATGCATTAATAACAAGCTGGCAGACCATTACTAAGCTATTGGCGAACTTTTCGTTTACACCCCAACCAGATACCCAGTGTCTTAACAATCGTTCTCGATAATTCCCTTCTCATCACATTGTAGGCCATGCATTTCTATGTATGGCAGAAAAGCTCCTCCGCCGATCTGGTGCCTGTGGTCACACATGCCCAGGAGTGATCATACCAGTCGGTGATAACCCCGGCTCCCACATAATACTGATCACAGCTCTGGGGAGCTTTGGCGACAGTGGATTGTAGATAGTGGTTGAGATCACGGGCCACATCAATGATCGTACCTGGAGCCGATGCTATCCGACAAGACATGGCCGAGCCATGTTTGAAATCGGTGGTGGGCAGTGTGACGGAGCTGAGGGTGTTATAGTCGCTTCGCTTCAACGAGGACAATAAGTCACGAAGCTTGCTCATCTGGACATCACACAGGTGGATGTGAATCTGCTCCTCATTTCTGGTATAGACTGAGTTCAAGGCCAGGGCTCCATACACTCTGCTAAACTTGAGATTTTGCTGGAGCACTTGCTGTCCGAGCCGGAATCCTCCATCCGAATCTTTTACCTGGTCTAATTCTAAGATCCCAGGCACGAGCTGTGTCGTCGTGATCAAGGTTCTAGAATTAAGCAGCATCCAGATCGGGTGGTTGGGAGGTCCCTGCGAAAGGTCGTCGCTCGAAATGCAATCCGTGTTATCCCCGTTCTCTAGACGTTTGATGCAATTGCAGAGGCTCTTGAACCACAGAAAGCAGGCATCACATTCATCATTAGAGTTGACGCATCCGTGGCTACACGTCTTCAGCATGCCTTTAGGCGTGATCACCTTTTGTGGCGATCCGCAGGGCTGGAGCGGACAGTCGCCACAGTTGGTGTCGGGGAAACTGGTGGCACAATCGCAACCTGTCGCTACATCCATTCTGGAAATCTCATCTGATGAGCAGGTGTCAGCTCTGGTTTGCATAGGCAGGACCAGCGCTAGTGCTATAATGGCGGATTTAAACTTCATAATACTAATTTTTGTTAACACTACACTTTCTTAAAAGAGATAACTTATGGTTGGGTTAGAATGAAGCCTGTATTTCGAATTAGGATTGTACGTTGCACTCTTATTTATCAACAGTTTTCTGTATCATCTTCCGTCATTCTACCGTCATGCTAGCGAGTAATTAGCGCAATACATTATAACCCCCAGGAACTAACTATGCATTCCTAAGAATCTATCACCTTCTCGATCGTACCATCCATGTGGTACCTCATAGCTAGTCCCGTTAGAACCTCAGGCATAAATTTCAGGGTGTGATGTAATCAAGTTAGGGTATACGAGCATTGAAGAGCTGCGGAAAGCACACCCACCGGAACTACCTTTTTCATCTACCTCCTAGCCGTCACATTGTTAAACAGACTAGATTACATGTAAAGTGACTGAATCATAACTTCTTCATTTAATATAAGCTATTATTTTACATTCCTTTTAAAAATCAACAACTTTATAATCCTATAAATTTTAAATTCCTCTAGTATAAGTAGTATTATATATATATATATATATATAATCTGTTAAGTTTTAGGAATGCTAATAGAGCATTTACGGTAGTTTATATATGTTTTTATATAAATAATTCTACTACATTTCTATATTTTTGTTACCTTGTTACCTTCAGTCATGTTACATATAATTTACTATGTAAAGATACCTATAATATTTAGTATTCGCAAACGTACATTACTTCCGCGAACGCACCTTGCTTCAACCCACGATTAGTTGAAAGAAAAGATGATCATTAACATTGGTAGAGGAGTCGTAGTAAAAAGAAATATCACGTGATATCATATAAAACCCCATAATCACGTGACACAGCCCCCGACGATCTGACAGCACGGCACTTCTTCTTGCTTTCCCCAGCTTTTTCGCCGACCACTGTGGGAACGTGGAGAAACCGCAGTATCCGCCGTCTCCAGCTCTCCACCTCCCTTTTGCTTGTTTGACTCCATTCCCACTTGTCAAGTACGTAAGAAGAAACCAAACCCATATTCCCTCACCCACCTCAAAAATCTGCCGAATCGCTCAGTCCTTTTCCGACGACGACGACAACGACAATGGCGCGACGACGACTTCTCGCACTGACCGAAAGCAGCCCTCACAAATTTTCACATCATGTTACTTATAGACCGTGCCCAAATTGATTAACCACCCTCCCTCCAGCCCTGGGCACGTATCCCCAAACACACTCCTCAGTCCAGTCCTCTCTCTCTCCCAACCCATCCGTCCACATCCCCCTACCTCGGTACACGCACATACACACGCAAATATCACGACCGCCCAAACAGGAAGGTGTGAACCACCGCACACACCTCCCCCTGCGACACAAAACCAACCCCCCCCCCGTCAACACGAACGAAACACGAACGACGACTTGGGTGGGTATGTACATGGGCGTTTCACGCACACGCGCATCAGCAGTCAAGGGTGCTGATGCCGCTTGTGCATATAGCAGGGGCTGATCGGGCCTTTGGAAAGCCACCCGCTGTCGATTGGGTGGTTGAGATACACGAGCTGGCTGGGTGGGGGACAGGGGGTAGGGGGTGGTGTGGTGTCGGGATGTCGGTGTCTGGCTGAGTCTGGGCGGGGAGATCGGAGGTGCGGGTGGTGAGGCTGTGAGGGGGGTGTGATGGCGAGGGTGAAGGGTTCTTTGCAGTGTTCTAGAAGGTTGCCTGGATGGGATGGCGGGATGGATGGATGGATGGGAGGTGGCGATGTGTACATGATGATACTGTGAGTACGCCTCCCTCCCTGCCTGACTATCAAACGGACAAGGCTGGATGGTATGGTATGGTATGGAAAGTCCCGATGCACCACCACAACGCACACGCCCGTCGCACCGTCACATCGCGACGCCTCAGAGACCGGTCAACCCGATTCGCCAGCCCGTAAAAATGCGCCGAAGTCGAAGTCGAGCGATTCGAAGCAAAAAATGGGCAACTCAAGCACGACTTGGCGAACAGTTCCAAGACTCTTGGAAGATTGCCAGAATGTCGAATGAAGATAACTGATAGTGATTATGGTCTCAGGGGCGCATTGTTTGGGCAATATCGCGCATGTGTACGCCTCTTTTGGAGGGATGCGTTAGTTGCGTTAGATGCGTTGGATGTGTTAGAAGTGGAGCGCGCACGTCTGTTAAGAGGTTTTCATACGAGGCTTTCTGCTATTATGAGAAATGCTCATAGAACACCCTCCTTCCTCATCCAGTACCTCCCATCTCCCTCCCGCCTGGTTGCCAACACTCTAATCCCCCCCCCACGAGCTAACCCCCAGCATTCCAGTATCAGTTACAGAGTCCCTGGGGAAAACGCGGGGAAATCCGCTTTCCCCCTTAACCCACCTCTATACTTCTGTGTCACCCTTTTATAACGAGAGATCCTAAGCGAATGCGAGGTTTATACGGAGCAGCGCGTCAGGGGCATATTTCAGAATCCCCCCGCCCCCGCGTCGCGTTGCGTAAGGAGGTATTCCCACGAGAAGGGGAGCGAGAGCCCGATGGGCCATCTGGAACCTTTCCCCACAACAATCGGCGGGTTTTTTTTACGCAAGATCTTGTCTGGGGAAACGCCACGGGACGGGTAGGTGACACAGGAATACTCTATCAAAGGGGTACAGTAAGCAGATATCCCGAGTGTTCCTGTTGGATGGATTTGGGGGGGGGGGGTGGCCTAGTATGGGGGAGAGGCACGGGGATGTCAGCGCACCGTGAGCGCCCTTGCCAACGTTGTGGCACTGGAATCGGAGATGAGGAGAGATGGTGTGGGGAGGGGATGAGGTAATTATTAGTCTTGATTTTCGTTTTACCCCTCATTTTTGTGAAGGTAAGCTTGAGATCTCCGCATTTTCCCCAACATTCACTCTGTTACTGTTTAATACTTGTACGTACTGTATAGGAGGCATAGTGGATATACCAGAGTATGGCATAGAGTATCATCTCCGCGCTTGGAAGCGGGATTCCGAAACCTGGGGGAGGGGGGAGGCGGAGGCGGAGGCGGAGGCGGGATATACCAGATCATGGTATGGTGTGCTAGTCGTCCATGCCGTCCAGTACGTACATACATTCCATCCTGTACCAACCCTCCTCCTGTAGTACCAAACCACACCCAGGAGATCGACGACACGCCTCCCATCCCGCTCCCCGTCATCACATCATGCACAGAAGGCCACCAGAAGGCTTCCCCATGCGGCCTCACCGCGTCTATCGATTTGCTTCCTTTTCGAGGGGTGGTATACCAGTACGTAGCCCCATCGCCATTGGCGCTATAGTACACACTCACTATAGTTTCATTTGTACTGTGGTTTGTAGTTATCCCATTCCGCACATTCGACCGCAGCAAGCCGAAGAAGTGACGTGCGTGATTTGTTCAACGCTCAACGCCCAACGCTCAACCCCCCCGGCGCATGATGACGGATGCACATCTACCCGTCCAACCGTACCATCGTTGCGCGCAATATACAGTACATCAGAACCAGTGGTCTAGATTAGTGCATAGTGCAAGTGCAGCCAGCAAATCGCCCGCTCGCTCGCGAATCTGCAATCTACCACCGATCGCCCTCGCCATCGTCAGCCCGGTACGGGTACGGCAATCTGTCGGGACAACGCCCGTTTTTTGTGTGCTGACTGTTCAAGTGCTGACCTGACTACACTTTCTTCTTTCCAATAATACAGTTATCTGTCTATCGGTGTTTGCTTTTTCTTCAAGTAACAGAACCGCCAGCCAGACAGATACGCCGCGGTTATCACAAGCCATCCCCGATCGACCCACCTAGTTATCACCTGTATCTTGATTGATAGCCAACGCCGCGCGGGCTGACAGATTGGCCGAGGCGTGCGCGTGCGTGCATGCATCATGAAGGGGGTTTCCTTCTCGAAGACTACCCGACGCAGCGATAGCCCGCTTTTTTTGTCGCAGGAAGGGGATGGATGGATGGGTTAGTTATCGTGCGGCGCGGCTTGGGTGGAGGAGTAGGAGCTCACCTACCTACCTTCCCTCTATTTCCAGGCCGTAATCACGACAGGGGCCCGCTTGCTGGGTCCACTATGGTACCGTTGTGTGGTGCGTGGTGCCTATCTCCAACTCGTCTGTGCTGGATGTGAGAGACGCGGTGTATTATGCACTTGTACCTCTCCCTCCCTCCAAGCCAGCCAGCACAGTATGCATCGTCGTGCCTAATCTCATCCCAGTGGATCCCATCACAGCACCCAAGACTCGTGATTTCCGACACCGAATAGGCGCGCCTCGTCGCTCATCTTGGAGAGAGAGCGGCGTCTCCTTGGCGCGCTGGTGGCAGAACTTGAATCTCTTATCACTTTCCTCATTCGGCCAGTGCCAGGGTTGCTTCGAGGCTGGGAACTGGGTTTATGGCTGTGTGTTGGTGGGGAAGTTGGTGGGGTGGGGGGAGGGGGTAGGGGTTGCTGATTGGGTTTGCAGGGGTGTGCAACTCCCGACTCCTCCTTTTTGATCCCAATCAGCCACAGCCCTCATCTCAACTGGGCCCCCCAATCCATTTTCATATCTCGTCCGCTTCCCCACTGTGGGTTAGTGTGGTGCAGGGGTGGTGGTGGATGGGGATGGGGGTTTTGGGTGAGATGAGGGCAGATAGGGAGATGAGGATGAGGGATTTGGTGGGAGGGGAGGGGGAGGTTGAGGTGATGTGAGGTAAGGTGTGGTACAAGAGGGGAATTGTAATTATAGTTAGTTACAAGGAGGAATCGCGAAGGAATTGCAATCGTAATGGTAATTGGATTAAACAACCCGACCGATACAGCGCATAACCTCACATCAGCACAACACAATACAAGGCTGGCCAAACAAACAATCCAGCCAAACAAGCGCGAGCCGTACACCTGCCTCTGACATGTGCTTCACAGCCTAGAAGGATGACGGAAGCGTGTAACGTGACAGCCCACAAAAAGCTTGGCCTTGGCTTGGCCTTGGCTGGCACTTAACTGACACGGGCACCATAATCATGGCAGTTCGCTCACACCCCTGTCGTCGTCCAATCCAATCCTATCCCGTCGCGTTCGTTCGTTAGTTCGTTCGTTTGGTGCGGTGGTTGCTTGCTTGTCCCTTGCTCGCCACACACCTCACACACCCCCGCTGATGCATCCATCGACCCGTTCGGAGCTACGTCGTTTGTTGTTTGGAGGGGAGGATTGAGGGAGTTGGGGGTGGGATCACGAGGGGGGGTGGGTTTAATGGGTGTATGCTTGTATGGTAGAGGAGAGTAGAATAGAGGAGATACTGTACATACATAGATTATGGCCCCCATTTCTTACTGTATTGTGCCGTCCGTGATAAAGACTTTACAAATACAATGCATACAATCAATGCAATCAATCAATCAATCGGCAGTCACGCCCCCAAGTACCCTCCCCCTACTCTATCTCCCATCTCCCCATCCACATCCACCCCCGTCTCCACCTCCCACCCCCATCCCCACCCATCCATCCCCTCCCTTATCTCGTGCTCCTCCTAATCCATTCCTTCCTCTGCCCGTCCATCTCGAACCTAGAACAACCCCGAACTAACTAACCTGACTAGCACCCCCCAGCCATGGATGTCACGCCACGCAGATACCGCCAGCCACCATGCAGATAGTATCGTATGTACTTACATCGCCGTAGCATATCTACGGGTCGGGGTATAGCTGCGAACTACACTACACTACCATCTCTCGCTACCGTAGGAACCTGCCACACAACCCAGATTGCAGGCGCATCAGGCGCATCGGTCGTGCCGAAGATGGGGTCGTGCCGTGTGTGGTGGTGTACTGGAGGCGCCAAAAATACATGTTTGTGCTGTACAATCGTACACTGTGTTGCAAGTACAGAGATGGAATGGGTTCACAGATCCCCTTACCAGACATCTCTTACCCAGATCTCGACTCGCACCTGTTCCTCTGTTCCTCTGTCCCTCTCTTCCAGTACCTGTATTTCTCTGTATTCCTCGCCACCACACACGTATCTACGCGCCACACCCAGAGGTACAACCGCCGTGCCAAAACCACACCCGTCCCAGAATCCCTCCGTCCATCAGAATCGGGGTAGGGGGCAATAGAGGGGAATAGATCTCACATTTTCGTTTTACCCGTTCTGGGACTAGTGGCGTAGGGTCGGGGAGGCAGTTATTGGCGCTGTTGCTGATAGGTGGTTTCCCGGATGCCGCTAGAGCAGGGACGCTAGTCAGGGAAGGTGGGGAGGGGGCGTTGGACGGGGTGGGAAGGAGGATGGTGGATGGGGGACTTGGCTAGGGGACTTGGCTAGATGCATGGGGATGGGGGATTGTTTTGGAGGGGAGGTGCGTGGTTTGGAGATGGGGGATGGGGATGTAGGTATTATATTTTGTGAGAGTTATGAGAGAAAGAAAGAGAGAGAGAGAGAGAGAGAGAGAGTACTATGAGAGAGGATGAAGAAGAGATAACTGACAGGACAGAGAACAAACAAAGAAAGAGCGACTAACTGAGACAAGACGGGGAATAAGACACAATGAGATGAGCATGAGCAGCCATGAGTGAGAGAGAGATAGCACACCGACGACATTCCCACCACAAAAGTACCTTCACCACCCAATCCTACAGCACCGGTACCTCCCCCCCACCGTCGTGACACTTGACACTTTCTCCTCGCCCAGCCGCGCAACAACCATAGGACCAAGCACAAGCAAAGAGGCGAAAAGGAACTTGTACACCCCCATCCATACATCCATCAATCTAGTCAGTTAGTACCATACGGGTGCATCCATCCATCCAGCACGCACACACCACCAACCTTGACTTACCTCCCTTACCCCAATCGACAGACCAAGCCAAGCCCAAGTCGCAAATCAGAAGCAGGCAGGGTCTGGGGTCTATCCTGTCTCGTCTTGTCTGGTCTGGTCGTCGGTCTCTCCCTCGAGCACGCAGACAACCACAGGTCCCCTCACGCACGCACCCGCATTGCAGATCCCCAACTCCTACATAAAGAACCCCCTTCCCCCCCCCCACCACCACTTACCTCCTCCTCCCTCCTCACTCCTCACCCTCCCTCTCTCACCCAATCCAACCATGTCCGCCTACGACAAAGACGGCGCCGCCGTCTACGAGAAGGACAAAGTCGGCTCCTCCGACGATGTCTCGCCCAGTCGCTATGAGACCAATGAGCACGATGTCGAGGCTCAGCCGGGGCAGAACCCGTTGCTGAGGAAGCTGAAGAATAGGCATATGCAGATGATTGCTATTGGTGGCTCCATTGGTGCTGGTCTGTTTATTGGATCTGGTGGTGCGCTGTATAATGGTGGTCCCGGTTCGCTGGTAAGTGAGATAGATGGCTGACTGCCCCGATTTGAGCTTCTGCGCACCCAGTGGGAGCTCAGATGGGGGGGAACCGCGGCGAGTTTGGGGGCGAGGCTGACGTGCGCTGTGTCTAGACTATCGATTTCATCATCGTCGGTGTTATGATGTTGATGACCGTCAATGCTCTGGGTGAGCTTGCTGTCATGTGAGTACTCTCCCATTCCTTCCCTTCCCTTCCCAGCTTGCGTCCTCGGCGACTCGATTTGTCAATGGGATCAGCCGCCAATCCTCTGGCTGCTTGGTCTCGTTGCACAATGAGCGCGACCTGGCGATAGCTCTAGCAGCGTAACCTAGCCCGAAAATGAAACCAGAGCTGACTCCTTCTAATAGGTACCCCGTCAACGGTGCTTTCTTCACGTACTCTGCTCGCTTCATCGACCCGTCTTGGGGTTTCGCCATGGGCTGGAACTACGCCATGTCGTGGCTTGTCGTCTTCCCCTTCGAATTGATCGCCGCCAGTATCACCATCCGCTTCTGGACCGGAAACGATAACGACGACAGCGCGACTGTCAGCGACGGCGTGTGGATCGCTGTCTTCCTCGTCATCATCATCTTCGTCAACGTCTTTGGTATCCGTGGCTACGGTGAAGTCGAGTTCGTCCTCGGCACGATCAAGGTCATTGCTGTCATCGGCTTCATCCTCGCAGGTATCATCATCAACTGCGGTGGTGTTCCCACTGACACCAGGTACGTCTCCCAAAAATCCGCCCACCCAGCTCGGTTCCCAGAGCCCAGAACTGACATATATAAAACAGAGGATACATTGGCGCGGCATACTGGCATGCACCCCAGCAAGCCTTCAAGAACGGCTTCAAGGGCTTCTGCTCCGTCTTCGTCACCGCCGCCTTCGCTTTCGCTGGAACTGAGCTTGTCGGTCTTGCTGCCGCCGAGGCCGACAACCCTCGCAAGACCCTCCCCAAGGCCACCAAGCAGGTCTTCTGGCGTGTCTCCCTCTTCTACGTCGTCTCGCTCTTCATCCTGGGCCTGATCATCAAGTCTGACGACCCACTTTTGTCCAAGGCATCCGGAGCTAACTCCAAGTACTCCCCCTTCGTCCGCGCCTTCCAGGAGGCCAATATCAAGGTCCTCCCCTCCATCATGAACGCCGTCATCACCCTCTCCGTCATCTCCGTCGCCAACTCGTGTACCTTCGGCTCCACCCGCACGCTCCAGGCCCTAGCCATGCACGGCATGGCCCCCAAGTGGTTCAGCAAGGTCGACAAGCACGGCCGCCCGTGGGTCGCCATGATCTTCGCGCTCGCCTTCGGCTTCATCGCCTTCATCCGCCTCTCCCCCAAGGGCGGTGAGGTCTTCGACTGGCTCCTCGCGCTTTCGGGTCTCTCGTCCTTCTTCACCTGGGGCTCCATCTGCCTCGCTCACATCTGCTACCGTCGCGCGTGGAAGCTGGCGGGTCGCGGGCTCGACGAGCTGCCTTTCGCTGCCATGTTCGGTGTTACTGGATCCTGGATCGGATTCCTCCTCAACGTCCTCTGCCTCATCGCTTCCTTCTACGTTGCCCTCTACGTAAGTTCCCCTTCTCCTGCCCCAACTCCCCCGCGTCAGGACTTCAAACTAACAAACCCCCCTAGCCCGTCGGAGGACCCAACCTCGACGCCGAGGGCTTCTTCAAGAGCTACCTCGCCGGCCCCATCGTCATCCTCTTCTTCGTCGGCCACAAGATCTACACCCGCACCTTCAAGTTCGGCGTCAACCTCTCCACCGTCGACGTCGACCACGGCCGCCGCGAGCTCAACCTCGGCGAGGAGATGGAGGCCGAGCGCGCTGCGTACAAGGCGATGCCCTTCTGGAAGAAGGTCTGGAACTTCTGGTTCTAGATGGCGCCGCTGCTGTGCTGTCTTTCGCCCGCGCGGTGTGTTGTTTAGTTTTTCGAACACATTCTGGATTTTTCGTTTGTTTGATGTAAGGAGGCGGTTGTTGTATAATTGTGCATGCACACTCACGGGCGCCCCTGTGCGTTTCGTAGTTGTCGTCGAGGAGCGTTGGAATGATAGAAAGCGGATATATATACCAATCAATCAACTCAACCCCCACCCCCCATTCTCACATCGATCGTAACAAAAAGTGAAGACCGTAACATTCCAGAAACTTGCGCGTAACACACAGCGTCAAAATAAACTTTCTCTTAATTGTGGGCAGCCGAACTCCCTTATACCTTACCTTACCTTACCTCCACCCCCCACCACCCACCAGATTTCGGCGTTCCGCGCGCGCCCTTAGCACTACAACCGACACCCACCCCCCACACGCACCGCTACCAGCCGCTGCTGCCCAGGCGCGACAGCGGGTGCCGGCACGGTGTGGAGCCCGCAGCCACCACAACGTGGTGAAAAATCGTGAACTGTGGGTGTAAGAGGGATGGAGAGGTGTGGAGTGGAGGTGGATATTTTTTATGTCATGGTGGTGGTGGTGGGTGGGTTGGGTTGGGTTGATTACGGTATAAATACTTTGTGCTTTGTGGTGATGTGATTACTATTCTAACGGCGGTGGGGAGTTATGGGGATTTTATAAGAGGTGGGTGGGTGTGTGTGTTGGATTTATATTCCTGCCTTGGGAGATGGGAGTGGGTATAGATGTGTGTTTGTAGGTTTGTAGGTATGTAAGTATGGCATATCGCATCTTCATCATATCCGTCGTGATTCCTGCCTCAGTAAGTGAGTGAGAGTGTGTCAGATTCCCTTGTTGCCTCCGCACTCGTCATCATCATCCTCGTATCGCACTCCACTTCCCTTACAAAGCCCCCCTCGTCTCCAGCGAACTGATCTCACCTAACTTCACCTTCCCATCACGTCCACCCACAACGTACAAAACCCCACCAGACGCGCTTGTCATTCCCCTCCCCCCTTTCCACCTTCAACGCCGAAATCCCATCCTACCCTTTCCACACCTCCCATCTCCAAAAAAATAAAATCACAAATCATAAATCCCACATCAACCCCCTCCCCTCCCCATTACACACTCTCCACCGCCAGCCCCCCCAAAATCCCCAACACCTCCTCCCTCCACCGTCCCTTCCCTTCACTAACCCTCTCCACCTCCGCCACCGCCTCCTTCCCCAACTCCTTCAGCACCTCGCGACAATACGCAAAGCTCCCTTTCCCCTCCATATACGCGACCGCATACCTCTTGACCTCCTCATCCGTGCTCTTCTGCCTCAGGATGTTGAGGAGCACGAGCGAGGGGTCCGCGCGGATGGCGTGGATGATGGGGAAGGAGAATTTGCCTTCGGTGAGGTCTTCGCACATGCCTTTGTTGGTGGAGTAGGTGGGGGAGAGGAGGTTGGCGTAGTCGTCGCGGATTTGGTAGAGGGTGCCTATTAGGGAGGCTAGGGGGGCAAAGTCGCTGCGGTGTGGTGTTAGTGGGGGGGTGTCTTGACGGTAAGAAGGAGGGGGGGAGATGGGTTGATGGGAGGACTCACGTAGTTGATGCGCTCTCGGCTTGCATCAAGCGCACGGCGAGCCGGAATAGCCCGCCTGTCTTGTTGCGCACCATCTCAAGGTAATCAGCCTCAGTAGGCACGGTGAGGGTGTCACGCCAGTATAGATCCATGCCCTGCCCACGGTGCAGATTAATCAACTCCTCGCTATATATGCGCACCGCCTCGCCCCTGGGCTTGGTATTTCCCCCCTCTTTATCCCTCAGCTCGTCCAGTTTGAACAGCTCCTGTAGTGCGAGGAAGTATACGTAGTTCGCTGAGTTGATCGTCTGCGCTGTGCCGAAGATGGAGTGTGCGACTGGTAGGCCGCGGCGTAGGAGCGAGCTGTCTTCGACGTCGTCGACGAGGAGGGAGGCTGTGTGGAGCATGCCGACTACTTTTGTAATGATTGCGAGGGCGGGTGCGGGGACGTGAAGCCATGCGTCAAAAGCACCGATCAGGCGCGAGCGGATATCTTTCCCGGGGTGGGAGTCGAGGTAGTCGTATGGGCCTGTGAGGATTGTTTCTTTCGCCTCAGACCACGGCGTCGGCCCAGTGGAGGGGTGGGTTGTTGTGGTTGTGGGGGGTGAGTTCGACGCCACCTGGTCGATGACGGCGGGAGATACGGAGGCAGCGAGGCTAGAGTGTCGAGAAGAGAGCCATGATGATTCGGGGAGCGGTGGGACGACGGGCTTTTGTGTCTGGGAAGGCCCGTTTGTTGAGGAGGTGCGGGGTGGTATGGCGCCTGGAGAGGCGAGGTGCGCGGGGCGCGTCGGAGGGGATGGGGTCTTGTGCGCCATCTTTGGCGGGTATGGAGTTCGTGGAGAGGTTATTGGAGAGGTTATGGGTGAGAAGAGGCCGAAGGTGCGGCGGTTTGGTCGGCGTATAGGGGAGGAGAGGAAGGCGGGGGATGTTGGTGAGCTGGGCATTCGTTGTCAGTCCTGCTGAGGCAGATGCGCGAGTTGAGGAGTAGTAAGTTAATAGGATTAAAAAATGGAACAGTACATATTATTGTCGATGTGTATATTTGAAAGTAGATGTTGGTTGACGAAGATGTCATGCGTCGGGGTATATTAAAGAGGTTGCCTGGATGAGGCTGTCGGCCTCAGTCGCACATGCGTTTGAGCCCGCGCACAGAGTCGTGAATCCTGCGTCATGAATATTATAAGCTTCATCTCCAGAAAAATGCGCCAACTGTCGTGTCAGAATTACGTACCGTATATGCGCTGGTCTGCGTAAATGTTCGTAAATGTCGAAGAAATCCTATAGCGGGGAATGTTCTGGAGCCGTGTTTAGCTGTGATAGCTTCGTATGTGGCATCTCAGCGAGGCACCAGGCTGAAGCTACCAGCTGCAACACACCGACGCTAAGCCCTCCGCAATAATTCTGCCAATTCACTCCGCCCTGCTGCCCTGCCAACCGCCGAAATTGTCTCCGAGATGTCTCGCTCATGCGACAAGGCAGCTTCAGATACAGATTCTCACTCATTCTCATCAACCCAATCTATCTCCATCACACAACTCAGAGTTTTTACTCTCTTCAATTCATTATTCTGTATTATCATTTGCGGATGCCCTTATTATTCTGATTGGATCACTGGGGAGACCACTGCGTAGCCGTTATCAACCAAACACACAGGACTCTCAGAACCACCCATCACACCCTCAGTAGCACAACACAACTTTGCAACACCTCCCACCCAGGACGGGAAATCCACCCTCCCCTTCCTCAAAATGGAAGCCCTACTCTCCCTCTCCTTCGACAACCTCTCCTCCTACGACGCCTCCAAGATCCGCAAAGGCATGCGCCAAGTCGAAGGTCTACTCGCCCAGATCTGCCTCTCAAAACACAAGCCGAACAAACGGCACTCACTCCTCGTACCAGCCGACAACCCTCCTCCATCACCGCGTAAAGAACTCGCCGATCTGCCTGATGATCCTGCTTTCCGCGAATTCTTCAAGCTGCAAGATGGCTTCGAATGGAACGTCGCTCTGCGCCTTGTTAACTGCCTCGATCGCCTGCTAGGGAAGAGCAACGATGGCCAGAACGATCTGCTTATTCTCGCCTGTCTCGACTTGATACAAGGGATATTATTACTTCATCCTTCGTCGAGGTCGCTGTTCTCAAGAGAGCTATATATGAACGTTCGTCTCTCTAACCAACCACTCTTATTTACGGGCCTTACTAACAGTCCTCTTACAGCACCTTCTCGACCTCCTCGAACCCATAAACTGCCCGGCTATCCAATCCGCAACACTCCTCACCCTCGTCGTGGTCCTCCTCGATACCCCAGCCAACACACGCACCTTCGAAGCGCTCGACGGCCTCCTCACTGTCACTTCGCTCTTCAAGTCCCGCTCCACCCCGCGCGACGTCAAGGCCAAGCTCGTCGAGTTCCTATACTTCTACCTCCTCCCCGAGTCACCCAGCATTCCCTCCGCCGGTGCCCGCGACTCCGTACCAGCCATGCTCCAGCGCAGCCCGAGTAAACTCGCCGGCGCTTTCGGGCGCGAGATGAAAGGAAGGGGCGAGCCAGCGGCAGAAGTTACAAGGAGTCCGATTGAGAAGCAGGCACTTGTGAGCCGGCACCTAAGCAGTGTGGAGGATCTGGTCGAGGATCTGCGTGATAGCGCGCCATTTGGGGGGATCTTTTCTTGAGCTCCATGCTCCACCTTTTGTGTTTTGGATACTTTGTAAGCGATAGCTGGGCTTCGTTGGTGCTGGCGTTTTGTCTTTGTCTTGTTTTTAATCTGGTTGCGGATCTTCGGAGTTTTAGTAGAGGCACGGCGTTGCATAGCGGGTTGGGCACAGGTGCGCATTAGGTTTTTTGTGCTCGCTTTCGTTTCGAGGGGAAAGCGCGCATACCCCATGGTCAGAGTCAGGGACTCGTTGTAATATATTATCTCATCCGTAGCAAAATACCGATTCCGTGATATCTTATACCAAAACTCCAAAATATGCACTTTAATATCACCCACCCTCACTCCAACTCAACATGCTCATTTACCGTCTTCGCCCCATGCTTCCAGTACTCGTGCTGCGTACTAGGTCCCGGGCTCACAGGCGTCCGTCGTCCCAACGCCTCTCCAATCTCAACCGCAGGCTGGATATCCCCCGGCTGATTCGGACTCACCGGCACCGCACCACTTCTCGCCGCCCCTGCCCCCTCCGCTCCCGTAAACGGCCCAATCCCCGCCGTTGGCCCAAAGTAATCCTCCGTCCCTCTCCCCGCCATGTCCGGCGCCCCAGGCGTACTCCCTTGCTGCATCGAGACCACCGTTTCCGTCCCTCCATGCGCACTCCCCCATGGCCCGCTCCCGCGCCCACTTCCCCGCGGTGCACTCCCACCTGCCTGTCGGCGCCTTGAGATCCACCACCACACCGCCGCCCCGATCACCAGTAACGCCCCAATCGCTACACCCGCGCCTATTCCCGCTTTCGCGCCGCTACTCAGGCCGCCCCCGCCGCGAGGTTTCTCGATTACGTTGTTCCCTGAAGTACCTCCTATGCGCCGCTCGGTAGGGGCCGCGGAGCCGGTGGCGCAGTAGCCTGTGGACTCCAGCATGGTGCAGTGGGCTGCGGAGTTGCAGCAGCCGCCGACGTCGTCGGTGCAGGGGATATCGGAGGTGGGGCAGGAGGGGACGGAGCTGCTGGTTGTGCTAGAGGTGGTGGGAATGCTTTTATAGCAGGCGTTGGAGAGGCAGCTATAGCCTAGGGAGCAGCATCCGCCGCCGAGGGACTCGGGACATTGGTATGCGGAAGCGGCGGAGCAAGGGCGCGGACAGCAGGCTGGGAAGACAGTAATGTTGGGGTTCGGGGGGGAGGTTATGGAGGAGCCAGATGAGACGCTGCGAGTGGGAGAGGTGGTGGCAGCGGTGATGGTGGAGGTGGTGTGGCAGTAGAAAAATGCGGTATCTGTGCATATATTCACCGACGCGCAGTTATTCCCGATAGCGCAGCAACTAGAATTGAAGTTGTTATCGACGAAGCAGAACTCGGTGTCGAGGCAGCAGTCATTTGGGAAGCCCGTATCATCGCCTGTGATCGTCAGTTCTCGCCCTATGTAGCTAGAGGACTCGGCGACTCGGCTCACATCGGTGGGAATTTGGCTTCGGGCATACGACGATGTCCTGCCGCTCTCTGAGCTGCTGTGGCGGGGAGCCAAGGAAATGTCGCGGACTGAGGCCAATGTCGATGTTGGGGATTGCGACAAAACGTCGCCCCATGGCGGCAGCTTCCGGCATTGTGTATAATCTTAGAGACACGCCAACAGAGTATGTATAGGTAGCAGATTTTAGATATCCAGGGACGAGCAGCCTCAGCCTTGTCGCGGTGGATAAATTCAAAGGACAGCGAAAGCGACTGGCTCGACAGATGTCTTTGTCGTTTCTTTGATGCAAGGAGGATGCGCGCTCAATGCGTCATAAACTTGTATGCATTCCAACCACATACATGTACGATGGTTGGAAATGAGGATGAAGAAATGCCCACAAAGGAAAGAGAAACACTTAGCCGGCGACTTACTAGATACATAGCTGGGCGATGCGGCTGTCAGCTACGATTTCTGTGTATGCGGTGTAAAGTAGAATAAAATGAACATGGTGGGGGAGATACACATACAACACTCCACGTATACGTATCCGTACAAGTACAGATTGATATGCAGGTTGGTGCGCATAATACAAGGATAACCACAAAACCACCAATAACAGACAACATAAACTGCGCCATGTCGGCCGAACTTCCTCTTGGAATAAAACGCGTTGCAGCCACAATCCATCGGCAAGTCAGCCACGGCTAGAAGTTCGCGAGCATGCTGACAACGGCGACGCCGATTAAAAAATCGTCTGACTATTGATAGAAAAGTGTTATCTGCTGTATATAGTGTTCCTTCGGGCATCCTTCCGCCCTTGCTTATAAGCCCATAAGCCAATGCGTGCTGGGTATCCCAACCACCTGTACGCCGCCCCCAAACGAAATGTGCCTAACTGTATAGGAGAATAATAGTATGTAATAATGCCGTGGCACCCCCCTGGCCCTGTACCACCATCTTCGTTCCCCCGTCCATTACTCTCCAAGTACCTCTAGAAGCGATTCCCAATCCACGCGGTCTGGAATAACTCTACTAGGCGCCTTCTCAGTCTTCCGAAATCCCGGAATAGGACCAACCTGGTTGATCCCCGGTGACCTCCCCATAAATATTCGTAGCGGGTCTCTGTTTGGGTCAGCAGCTGGTGTGCTCGGCGTCCGGTCTGTTCCTATCCTCAAAGAGGGCGGCGGGACATCGACTACGGATGCGGCAGGGCTGGATGCATTGGATGAAGGCGACATACCCCAACGGCCGAATATCCAGCCTCCGAGTTTCTGAACGCTTGTGACGGCCTCGTCTGCAGAAACTGTAGATTTAATAGACAATGGACGCTCAGCAATGCCGATTGAAGATCGTAGAAGAGAACTGCTGCTGTAATTCTGCTTCGATATCGTCGGCCTAGGTGTATCGGCAGGAGTAAAGATGGGTTCCGTGGAGACAAACGAAGTGCTCACGCTGCTAGTATCCTGCCGCGAGGGTGTCCGGAGTAAGGCGCGTGAGTTGCTGATTGTTAACTGTGAAGGACGGGACTTGAGAGTGTGTATGTCGATCCCAGAAACAGAAATTATCGATTCATGGGACGTAGACCGACGGAGTTTATGTGTTGAGTGGTGGGAGGCATAGGGGTCAAACCCGTTGGAGGCTTGTCCAGAGTTTAGATCAAAGTTGGAGTCATCCTGTGAGATGCGACGGGTCTTTGGCCGTTCCACTAGTCCAGAGATATGCGAGATATCATTATCTTCTTCCTCGTGAATAGTACCTGTCTCAAACATTTGTGCTTTAAAGCTATGCATGGAGAAATCCGAGGGACGTCTTCGGTGCATTGGCTTAATGCAAGGCGAGAGCGGATCATTACTTGACCCCGGAGATGTAGGCCGTGAGTAATCCGTATTCTGGTCGACAGACATTCGATCGAAAAGAAACGAGTTCCGGTAATTCGACGTTGGAGAGCTGGGTTCCGTAGATGCGAATTCAGATTGGGTGGACCATCGATTAGCAGTCCTCGGACTGGGAACTGTGCTTGAGGTTTGAGACAAGATCGTTGCGGCGATTGACGACTGGCTCTGACGTGTGTTATGGCCCCTTGAGTTGAGTCTTGTAGGCGTGGTGATGGAGACATTACGTTTCCTTTTCGGAACGGCACGCCGACTATCTTCCTTCTTTGCCGGAGCGTGATAGTGATGATGGACGTGGAGTTCTTGCGAGAGTGATAGCGGTTCTCTGACGGAGAGTTCTGAAGCCAGTGTCACTGGGACAGTGTTTTCACCAGTAGCGCCATCTCGAACAGGTTGGTGAGCCATGAGCTGATCTCGCAGCTTCTGGACTTCGTCATTAGAGCTCGTCAACATGTCGCGCAGCTCTACAATGCCCATTTGCAAGTTGACATTGTCTTGCAAGATGTCCTTTACGAAATGCGATACTACATTAGTACCCTCTTTTCCCTGCCCAGCGTTTGACACCGCCACTTTTCCGTTGCTCGCATCTTGGATTGCTTTGTCGACCAGCTTCTGCCTCTCCATCCGACGGAATACTTCCTCATGGCGCGCTTTCTCCTCAGTTGACTCCCTCTCGATCCTCTCCAACTGATCCTGCACTTCTCCCAATCTCCTTTCTGCCTCTCTCCACCTCCTTACCGCAGTCCTCGATTCCGCCTCCGTCAGCACAACTGTCCCTCTCAAATCATCCTGCTCCTTCTCTAACTCCGCAAGCTGTGCTTCAAGATCATGGGTTCTACTTGCCAAAGAATCTAACCTCTTCATCTCCAGGAGTGTCCCTTGTAGCGTCGCCTCGAGGTTCCCAGCACGACTTTCCGATTCGGCGATCGCACCGTTCAATTGCTCCAAGTGGTTCAGTAAATCGCGATTCTCCTGCACCGTTCGCGCATTCTCAGCTTCGAGGTTTCGCTTATCGGTTTCGAGGGATTCGATGCGCAAGCTCATCTGGCGACGCGACTCTTCCGCCTCGACGATATAGGCTTCATGGCGCACGAGAAGGGCCTGTAGAGAGAAAAGAAGCGAGTTAGTTATTTCTCCTTTCCGAAAACTGATGTCTCCCATCATGATATCTAGTATGCAGGCTGGTATGCAGGTTACCCGTCGTCTGCATAGAAGCTCGACTAGTGGGTTTAGGACTCGCTTTATAGACTCGAACACAGGGGACCCGACAGAATAAAGGACTCTACATACCTGACCCAGCTGTGCTGCTGTCCTCACATCCTTCTCCAGTCCGTCCAAAGCCTCGTTGTTATGTCTCAGGTATGCGCAGCTGTCTCTTCCACAACAGCACTCTGTTTCGCGCTCCACAGGCGTCGTTGGTGTGACTGGAATGCTCAACGGGAGGTCGCAAAACTGGCCATCCGCATCCGGCGGGTCACCAAGCTGTGGATCCGCGGCAACGGACATGATTTCGAGGGCTCAAGGTGGTGGATGGACGGTCGGAATCCTCATTCTCGCGATAGTCATGAAGGAAGGTTGGTGTTGATGGGGAGACGATGGAGCTCGCTCTCCTGAAGGCAGCCCCACGCGATGGTTAAGGTTGAAAGTGGGCTGTTTGTCATTAACGCGGTCCCGCAGATCTTAGTTACCAGCCACCTCGGACAAACAATGACGCATGTACTCCGTCGGGAAGCCACACCCAATCATTTGCGCTCGACTAAGTGATTATTGAAACTGCGAAACGATAGAAGATACAGTAAACAAGCCGGAAGATAGTCGTGAGGCGAGGTATATGATGTTGTTGTAATTTAAATATTTTACTACTCCAGCTGAACATAAAATAGACCTGTAATGACTTTGACATTGGAGGATTCAAGACAAGCTCATCGTCCAGTATAACTTATCATAATGCAGTGCTTTGAAGCCATGAACGGCCTCATATCCGTGCAGAAGCTCTGGCCACATTTATTTCAGTTGAAACTCGCAGTTAAGGCCAAAATTAATGGGCCCTGTCTATGAAATTATGTACCTGCCAAAACAATGAATTGTTTGTCTAGCAACCCACGTTGCTGCTGCATGACTCTGCGGAAACCCATGTCTGAGAAGCAAACTACTGGATTATCTTGTGGAAGTTGCTGTGAAACATACTGTATGAACCACCACCGTTCCCGTCGAAGACCCCGTTGCCAGGAAGAAACCACGTTGTCACCATGAATATTAAGGGTCGAAAGTATCACAGACAACAAATACATTTCTCCAATGCATCCCGATATTTGTAAACAAAAAAAAAATCACGGTGATAACTACAAACGGCCAGCTTCCATGTAGTCTGATATATAGAACAATTTTAAAAGACCCTAAGTATATTAGCACTCGCACACGGTAAAGAATTATAATACTATTATGGAGATTTCTGTATTATTTTATTAGTCTGCGAGAGCCTTTTGCCCTATCCTAACGAGATCCTCATAAAGCAGCGTGTCACTATCAAACCCTTCCACTACTTGCTGTAGCAACGCCGCCGCTAGGTCACTAACTTCCACTCTCGGCATATTAATCATATAGCAACCAACCGTTTGCAAGCCCCTTACTATCCTCCCCGTCTCTCCATCAACCAGCCCGGGTTTAACCACACATGCCTCCACATCGCTCCCAGAGTCCTTGGCATAATTGAGGACACGAGTTTCAACCTCACCCTATAGACTCTTAGTACAGAACAGCAGCTGAGCTGTGAAGCTCAGGAGAAAAGAGGATAGAGGCCTTACGCGAAGTAAGAGGTAGTCTCTCATCAGCCAAGGAGCCCTGGTAGGGTCTCGCTCGGATTTGGCGCCACTGGTATAGATAAAGCGGAATTGCTTGCTCGTAGAGAGCTCAGATATGGTATCCAGTCCTGTCATGGTATATTCGAGGCAGATCTCACGCGCCTTCTCTTGAGTCACCGATCTAGCACGGGTAATCGTGACGGAAACAAGCCTATTATAGGTTAGTTAGTAAGGAAATAATAGCAGGAGTTGGCCGACTCGTCCAAAAATACTCTAATATTCAAAAAAACACTATTTGTTTGAGAAATATAGTGAACATAGTCTGGAAAAAGGTACCTGTAGATGTGTAGGGAGGGAGGGCAATCTACACATACCAAATGCAAGCATCGGCTCCAGCTAGCTCTTGTTTGACGTCGTCGGTATAGTTCATGAAATCTTCGCAGACAACGGACTTGAGCTTCGTTGTATCCATTCCGGGATCGGCATTATGCGGCGTGGGAGTAGGGCGACGAGCGAGGCCGACGACCGATGTGATAGCAGGATGAGAAAGGGCTTGGCGGACGATCTCAGTGCCGACAAAGCCAGTCGAGCCGGCGACGATGAGCTTCATGATTTATATCAACAAGATTGCACAGTCGGCAATAATAGTCACAGAGACAAGAAAAATTAAATCTATAGAAAGAGCCCAATGAACACTTATAATAAAAATGATGATAACTATTCTTGTAACAAGCCAGATATTGTACGGGGCCTCGGGGAAAGAATCGCTCCGACTTATAAGCACGGCACCACCGCCCACACCGCATTGTCTCCTATGAGGCAGAAGGTCGATGACGAAGTTGTTTAGTCGTCAACACTTGGCTACCTACTGCCTTCACACGATTTAATAATGTGGTGCTTCTTGACGAGTTCAACGCGGCTAAACCAATGAGCATACGCTGCCGGAGGAGTTGTTTGCCTTGTACATTTTCGTTTGAGTCTTGTTAGTGTCCACAACTGTTCGGGGTTGGCAAGGTATCCGCTCATTTGTTCAGCCCCAGGCAAGATGGACGAGGCACTGTGGAATATTCTCTCATTTCTGTCCGCAAGAGCTAGAGATCAACTCAACTCGCAAAAGTCATTGCCATATTACTTCCCATAAACCCCAATCCTAACACACCACTTACAAAGCAGGAACCTCAATCGTCAAGATATCCAGCCCCCCCTCCAACTCCTTCTTCCCCGGCAACATCCCCCTCCTCATCAACTCACTCGCATGCGACACCACCGGATCCTTCCCCATAGTAACCACCGCCACCACCTCCTCCCCCTTCGTATAAAACACCGCAAACTTATACTCCTCCAGCGACCCCTGCACCACGCTCCCATCATACCCAGTCACCGTGTTCCCGCAGTACCGCAACTGCGCCCCGAGCGCTGACCAGAAAATGGGGATGAATGGCTTGCGCGCCACTGTTGGGGAGACGATGTGTGCGGCGGCTGCGCGGCCGGAGTTCTGCGCTACGTTCCAGTGCTCGATGCGGACCGGGGCGCCGTTGCCGCCGGGGCCGTGGTAAGGGTACGTCGCGATGTCGCCGACGGCGTAGACACCATCGACGCCCTGGACGAGGAAGTCCCCGTCGACAGTTAGGGAGCCATCTTTGGCGAGTTGCACGGACTTGTTGCCCCTAAGATATTCGGTTGCAGGCGCGACTCCGACGCCGAGGATGACGAGGTCGGCGTCGAGTTTGGTGCCGTCTTTGAGTTGGATGGCGCCGACCTTGGAGGGGTCAGAGGCGGAGGGCAGGGCTTTGTCGACGCCGGCGTTCATGTGGAACTTAACGCCGATTGCCTCGAGTTGTTTCTGTAGGTAGGAGCCGACTTGCTCGCCCATGACGCGCTCGAGGGGAACCTTCTCCATACCCACCACCGAGACGGTGTTGTCCTTAGATGTGGCTTTGGCAACTTCCATGCCGATGAAAGAGCTGCCGATGACAACAATCTTCTTGTTCTTCTCGCCAATAGCGGCCAGGATGTCTTTGACATTATGGATGTTTCGTAGCACGAAGATGTTTCCGAGCTCCTTGAAGCCTGGTAGTGGGAGCTGGCGAGGGGTTCCACCAGTTGCGAGCACCAGCTTGGTGTAGGGATACACGCTCGAAGATCTCGTGTGCACTTTCTTAGTGAGGAAATCAACCTCGGTCACCTCATCAGTGACAGTGGTGATCCCCGCCTCGTCAAACCATGGCTGGTCTCTCAGTCCAATCTTGACCGGGTCGGCAATCAGAGCCTTAGACAGCTTCGTCCTGTCTATTGGCAGGTATCCCTCATTGCTGATCAAAGTGATGGAGCCCTTATAACCCTGTTCGCGAAGCGCCTCAACAGTACCAATGGCCCCCGACCCGCCTCCCACAACAACGATGTTCTCAGGCTTCACAGCAGAGCATTTGATATTTGGCTTTCTCCTGCTTCCCTTGATCTTGTCCTGCGCACCTGTGACATAGACACCGCCATCCTTCTCGACGAGCCCGAAGACGGGGAGGTTATCAAGGGCTGGGGCGTTCTCAATATCACCCGTCGTTGCGTTGAAGCAAGCTACAATATCATTAGTGAGCTGTCCCCGTCGCAGTTACAGTATTGAAATGTCGGTATAACTCACCTCCATGCCATGGGCAGGTAATTCTGCCATCTCCAGTCAAAACTCCCTTGACAAGCGGGGCACCTGGTTCATGTGTGAGCAACAGAAGCAACTCGTAAACACAGCACCAAACTCACCATAATGAGTGCATCTAGCACCGACAGCAGTAGTCTTCCCCCCAACATTCAGCAACAAGACCTTCCCATCCTCAACCCCATCCACCTCAACCTGCCTCTTCTCCCCCGGCTTCAAATCAAGCGCCGCAAGGTTCTTAATCTTGAATTCCGTCGCCATAGCTCTCGTCTGCGCTGTAACTGCGAAAATCGGATTTTTAAATGCTCTCGGAGCCTGTCGAACAATCTGTCGCAGACTACTGTTATATAGAAGCTTTGAGGAGATCATCTACTCATGGGATTTGTAATTATGTTTCGTCTGGCGCAGGGAGGGCTATGTTGATTGGGAGGGTGGAGAGGTCGTGGTCATTAACTATTGGGCCCTGTTTATTGGCTGCGGGGTAGCTGTGCGGCAGCTAGCACATGTCGTCATACTCTAATTGAGGGACGGCTTACTGAAGCGCCGACTATCCGTGGTCTTGGCACCGGCAGTCGACAGGAGTTTATCATCAACATCAAACACATCGAGGTCGGAGCGACTTTCGTACTGCTGAAACTGGATGTGATAAGTAAGCAATTATAGCTTTTTTAGCGACTTTAATTCTAGGCCCGTGATGGGTCTACAACTCGGGTAACTGTCTTCCGGCCAATACCCAAACACACATCCCCCTCATTAGTGGAAAGCTCGGTCATCGTCGGACTGGTTATAAACGTCAAATCACATAGCCCAGCAGCTCAGCCTCTTCACAACGTCACCCAAGCAATTCATCAACAGAACAAATGGCCATAAGCCTAGACCACAGTGAAGCAAAATCATAGTAAGAAGCGGGTGTCTTAGTCCCGTGTCGTATGTTCATTTGACTCGTACAAAGACTTTAAAGTGTGTATCCTCATCTACACCATACATCAACCCCCACCCACCCAGTTCCAGAAGAACGCACTCAAACACCCACTTTCCAGCGCTCCTCCATGAAATGCCCAAGTCCCAGTTCCGGCCCTAATACCCACCCAACCACCCACCCATTATTAACAAAAATCGCACAAGAGCCCGATATGCAAAGCCCCGATAAGTAGAGCCCCCTGGGTCGAGCTCCCATCCCCGCCCACACTCCATCCTTCTATTCCATGTCCGCCACATCCCGTGGCGCTTCCATCTCGCGAACAAAAAGAGAAAAGCATCAGGGTATGTCAAAACACAAAAACACTGTCCCGCCCGAGGCAAGCAGAAGCCCGCAAAATGCGTAGGGGCCAATTCGCAAAGCTATGCACGCCACACAATGCTGAACACACACGCGCAAGAAGTAGAACCGACTACCCTATCGTTAAACCCCATCCGGTCCCCGTCATCCCCCTCGTCATATGTATATATCTGCCGCCGATAATATTGTTCGTAAACGTCGTCAATCACTTTTCATCCTCTCCTGTTCATCGCTGCTCCGGCTCCTGAGATGGCCAGGTCTTGCCTCCCGCTCGTGCTCCGTGTTGCGACTCTCGGTAGCCCACTTGTGGTCTGGGCTGCAGGGCCAATACTGGCGCGCTTGCTCGCGGTCGAGATTGTTGGGTTGCTTAGGTTATGTACATTGGACAATCTCCTTGGGGCCGGAGGTTTATTCGGACTAGGATCACGAGTCCTCGTGCCACCGTTGCGAAGTGCAGTCACCGGAGGCTCTGGGAGAGGTCGCTGGCTACTCTGGGAGGTAGCCGTAGTATTATATCGCTTGACTGGCGATTCATTTCTGCTGGTGCCTCCAAGGGGTCGTGGTGCTGATAGCGATGTCTTTGGTCCCAAGATATATTCGTGTTGAACAGCTTGGTCTGGCGTCATTCGTCTGGCTGGATCCCATCTCAAGCACTTCGAAAGGAAATCCAGGAACACCTCGTCGTCACACTTCAGGACTTGTTGCAAGGTCTTCGACGAAGGCTTCCGGCGACGGCCCTTCGATGACACAATGAGTCGTGGCTTGCCCATAGAATCGAAGAAGAGCTTCTTTCTTGTGCTCTTCTCAATAAGATGCTTCTCTGGTGGTCCAAACACTTCCATGATACAGGCCAACTGCTCCTGCTCATTCTCGCCAGGGAAAATCGGATAGCCGGTATAAAGCTCAGCCAAGATACAGCCAACACTCCACATGTCAATTGCAATTCCGTAACTCATACCGAGGATAACCTCTGGCGATCGGTAGAATCGAGATTGAATGTAGGTATATACCTTTTCGTTTTCAAAGCAACTGGAACCGAAATCGATAACCTTGATCTCCGAGTGCATTGGGTGAGCAAGTAGAATATTTTCTGGCTTGAGATCACAGTGGATGACCTTGTGAACCTTAAGAAGAAGCAGACTGCCCAGAAGCTGTTTGGTGAAGCGCCTAATGAGCTTCAACGAGAACCCCTTGAAGCCATTATACTTAATGAACTCGTAGAGGTTCATATCAAGAAGTTCAGTAGAGAGGCAAAGATGGCCACGGAAGTAGAAACTTTGCGTGAAGTTGACCATGCTATGTTTGTTTGTTGGATCCTATCGGCGCTGTTAGTAACAGTATTTGGCAAATGTGAAATCATTCTTACCCATTCGCGCAGCTTCTGCAAGATGTTGACTTCCACAAGTGCCTGCTGATGAAACCTCTTCTTATTCCGAATAATCTTGATAGCAACCAAGCCGCCAGTTTTGTGGTCGATACATCGAACAACTTGACCGAAACTACCCTTTCCGAGGATGTCGATGATCTCGTACCTAAATGCGAGATGGTCGCCCTTTACAATGCTGTAGTCTCCTCGTTCATCGTCGTAGCCAAAGTTGGCATTATCAGATTGAACTTTCCCAACATGTTTGGCTGCGCTTTGCGTGCCGCAGAAGTAAACATCCTTGAAGTCAACAATCTCACCGCGCTCATAAATGTTCAGATGTGCCATTTGCACTGCTTGTTGCGGAGATACCCTCTCCTTGGGCGTGGCACGTTTTCGGAGGGCATCGAGTACTTTCGCAGCTTGCTCGGTCTCTTTCCGCCTTGACGCCATTTTCCTCATCTCCTCTTCTGCCACTAAGTCATCCTTGTCGAGCTTGGAAGCGTAAGGATTCACCGGCCTCAAGGCACTCGAGGACGCCTTGGGTCCGATTATTCTCTGGCCATGGGCAATCATTGAAGCCGAGGATCGCTGCGGGTTGAGCTTGGGTTGTAGAGGCTTCATATCTGTAGTATCCTCTTTCTTCGGACCACGGGGGGTAATACCCCAGTTATTGCCTTGTGTGCGTTCTTGAGCAACGGGTAGCGTGAGACTCGAAATGGAGCTTTTCCGTCTTTTCGATTCCAGATACATCGGCTTCACAGTCGGGCTTGGGCTTGACGTTGCCGCCTGGCTGTTAACGTTCTGCATACTCATCGACGCAGGAAGTCTTGGAGGTGGCATGTCATTATGCTTTGGATCGTGCTTTGGAGGTTGAGGTGCATATTCCGAGCTCTTGTCGTTAGCCGCCCTCTCGTTCGCTGCATGAGACAAGCTAATGCTGCTTTTAGAACCAGTACGTCTCCAGCCAAGGCTGAGCTTTCTCCGAAGCGATGACGCCGACGACGGTGTCTGGGCCTCGTCTTGGCTTGACTGATCGTAAGTTGGGGGATCATCAGCCTTGGGTGGCAGGGCAGTATTCAGAGCCCGAGGGCCATTTAATTTACTCAGCCTCTGTTCGCCAGAAAAGTCGGTTGGGAAGTCACCACTTGTTTGTGGTCTTGGCAAAAAGTTGAACTCTCCACTGTTCTTTGGTAAGGACGATGAAATGAATGGTGACACAGCGTTCTGTCGTGCCGGGTTTGGTGGCGCGGGTAGCGGCTTTGTGGGACTTGTAGATCCATTGTCTTGCCTTGAATGCTGGATCGATGTGCTGCTTCGCAACTGGTCGGTGATATGGCCCGACATATCATCACGATTGTGTGAAAAGAATGTAGATTTCGATGCTGTCATAGGTGTTGTAGGGGTCTTCGCACTCGCTCGTTTTGGTGGTGGCGTTACTGTCCCGTTGGAATTTGAAGCTGCATCATTGCGGAAAGCAGCAATCTTTGCTGCAGTTGGAGTGCTCAGGGGAAGTAGGTTAAGTGGAGGGAGTCGCAATGGCTGCAGGTGTTTTTTCTTAGGGGGCCCACGCTTTCCATGTTGTTCAGCATCTGACCCAGCACCCATGCCGTGCTGTATTCTAGAGTGAGAGCTTGAGTCCACATTTCTGGGATCTCTTCCGGATGATGTTCCAGATAGCTCATTGGTAGAGCTGCTGTTCCGGCTGTTTATACTGCTCGAATCAAATGGGAGGCTTGATTTTCGAGCGGCATAGAGTGGGGGTTCGGCAGGTGACTCTTTTGGAGATTCATATGCCTTTGGAATTGCTGGGACAGGTGGCACTTCCTCCTCTTCATTCCCGGCAGAGCTATGAACATTTCTTGACTTTGGAGTAGGTAGTCTAGAAGTCGATGGCACAGGAAGCAAGCGAGGCTGGGGCTGGAGCGATCCAGTTGACGATCTCGGCGTAAACCCACCATTGGATCCAGTAGAGACTCCATACGTTTTGCGGCTAAAGTCCGGGGTGTTGCGCAAAGACGAAGGCGTAGTGCTCATGCGTGGAAGAAGTGATGGCGAACGTGACGATCCTCTTAGATGGGAAGGATCCTGCTGGTTCACAGGCGGAGTATTTGGCAAAGGTGGAGCACCATGCATGGTAGACATCCGCTTCATTCGTCTCGTATCCGTAGGACTGATTGTCCTTGCGCCTAATCCAGATGCATGTGAATTGGATGAAGGCATTTGCGACATACGCCTTGCTGCTGATGATGGAGTCGACGTGTTGCGCCCGTTGTGTCGGCCGGGTGACTTCCCAGCATATGATAATGATCTAGAATGATCAGGGGTGCCTCTTGGGGTCGACGATGATTCTTGGTTGTGACGAGATGGAGGTTGGAGAGACTTTGTTTTCGATGCGCGTGGTGTTGTTAGACGTGAAGTGTCGCCTTGAAAGTTTCCAGACGAATCCGACATCCGACTGCCGTTTGTGGCATCTGACAAGCTTTGATTTGATGCAGACGCCGTAATACTGGACGCTAAACTTGGTCTGCGTCTGTGAGATGTTCTGAAAGACGTGTCGGATTCAGTGCCGCCAAAACCGATGGATTTACGTTGTCCTTTGCCTCCGTTATTTGCTGATATTGGGGGGTACTGGTTCTGTCTGCGTGTGCGCATAGCAAGCGGGGCTGTGGGCGGGTCCATGCTCCCAGGTATAGCAGACGATGTAGAGGAAACACTGCTCTGTCGATTTGAGGTACTCTGCCTCCTTAAAAGAGAGCCACTCCGAACTGGCCTTGTAATAGGCGCCCCGCGGCCGGCTAAACCTTTCGCCTCAACCGCTTCTCGGGTCATTACACCACCGGTAGGTCTGTCGGACATCATGCTGCTGGACAGGCTAGGTTCTCTTTTTGTGTCCGGGAAAGGCTCGAGTCTCTGGTCGTCAGATGCCGATGATATGCTCATGTGCAGATCGTCGAAACTTGGGGAGGGCAGAAAGTCCAGAGGTTCGCCCGAGGCTTGTTCTGAGGGCAAGGGTATCTTATTCAAAACAGGCGGTGGTTCTCGGCCAATAGGTAGGCGTGGTCGAGGAGCAGAAACAACGGGGTCGTGGTTCTCCTTTGAGCTGTAGATTGTAAGCAATTGATGGGGTGTTTAAGGGATGCGGCACCACTTACGACTTTTGAGAGGGCAGACCCGCTGGTCTAGGGCCAGACGGTGCGATCTGGTCTCTGATCATAGGAACAATGCAGGCCGCTCAGGACCTCAAAGGAGTGACGAGTTGGGCTGAAGAGCGAGAGCGGAGCACGAGTGCAGGCGCTCGATCTCAGTCCGTTGGAGGAGCTGAGCAGAGAGAATGGCTATCGCATTTCCGACGGGTCTGTGAAGGTCGACGAGGTCCGAATAAGTCGCCAGATCGATCTGGCTTAACGCAAGCTGCGACGAAGCGAACCAAGTATGAATGGAGGTGGGCGCTGAAGTTGAAGTTGAAGGATGACCGAGCAACGCGCTGAGAAGGTGCTGCTGCTCCTGGTGTTCGAACGGCGATGGTTCCGGCAGGAGGGGGCTATGGGCCGGGTGCGGAAGGGCAAAGTAGCTTTTGTTGCTTCTCTCCTTCTATCTATCTCTCCCTCTCCCTTCGAGTACGAGGATGGCGATATGAGTGAGTTGAAGCTGAGTTCACGAATTTGGTTTCAAAACAAAAGTTACAGGGGAACCAAAGGGTCGGGCAACGGTCAACCGTAGCGAGAATCTCTAATGGCTATAGCGTCCGTGCTGCATCATTTATACGTACCGTAATTAATGTACCGACGTACCGATTCGGAGTATCGTTAAGCCTATAGCAAGAGTCAAATTGGGAATTTCCTGTGGTGCGCAGATCAACAGCAGGAGATGTACAAGGAGGAGGAGTAAAAGGCCAGGAAAGCGTACAAAACAATAATATAATCGCGTTTTAGCAGTAGGGTTTTGCTCTATTATCACAGCTAGACATGGTGTGGAGGAGAGTGATATATGGCCACAACCGGGAGGTTATAGAAAACGCCAGATTAGGAAAGGCAGCCGAGTTTTGACATCCCCTAAGCATTACTTACAGGCTAGCGCTGTTGATATTACTCGTCGAGAGGCTTCCGGGTATATTAACACATATGAACACAGGGCTATATAGAGCAAGGCGCACATGCACCACAAGGCGTGAATTGTTACATGTCCTTTGTTTACGGGGTAACCAGTGCTGTGTTATGCTGAGAGTAATTCAGGGGATAATGGCATGAGAAGCTTCAGATATGGGAACGCATTTAATAGCTGACGCGGTGGATATATAGCTGACCGGTGAGGATATTGCTGCTCATGCTTCGGTCTCCCCGTACTGTACACACCATTGACACACGCTCAACGCCCAGCCGCTTTGGAGTGGTAAAATAGGGGCAGATCAAAGCACTCTCATCAGCTTTGCTCATTGATTTCCAAGATATTACTCTATAAAAAGAAGACATGACTCGCCTCATCTAAAGAAAAGATGATGGATTTTTGACGCAATAATAAGGGGTTCCGCTGTATGTAGGGCCTTGTCTCCCGAGGAGTCCCCAGACATCGAATATGTGACCGCGCCCTTACCGGATTCAGCCTAGCGTTAATCGGTGTTCAATCTGTCTTACACCCGTCAGCCACGCCGCCATAGGCCACCAGCCACAGGCCGACCACTGGCACATGCCGAGGACCATCGTCATACGCAACCCTCCACGGCGGGATTCCACGAAAAAGGCCGTGACAATCGCGACAGGTTCATCGGAACGCCGTGGGATTTATCGAATAGTTGAAGCAATCAAAGGGTTTACGATAATTCTCGGTTTGAGTGTGTGCACAGCTTGTAGCACGGTCTGAATTGCACATGTACACCCCACAATACACGATACAACATTCAATACCTGCGATACGTTAGACGTCATCACTGCCTTCCATCTCAGGACAGAGCGACCCCGCGCGCCAGAACGAACGGGCTCAGCCTAACGAGGAAGCCGCGGACGCCTCTGCTAGCCCTCTTCGTTTCGCGCCTGACTAACGTCGACCACGCTTGTAGCCATGGACGAGTATACCAACGGCGCATTCGCGAACAGAGACGGACGCGTTCCGGTTATACGACTCGACAGCCCGAGCTCCCAGTCCGAGCCTAATAACAACTCGCCAGGGAAAGAGAATAAGGGAAAGAACAACTCGATTCGATCAAAGCTCGGAAACAAAGCTCGCAAGATGGTTGGGCGATCACCGGATAACAAAGGCGACAATGGAGAGAAGGCAGATAAGGGCCCAAGTATGCAAGACCGCCTATTAGAGAAGTACGACAGTGTCTCGCCCTGCTTTGTTTGTACGACACGTATGCTAATACTATGAAGGCTGCTGCAGCAGGTCATACCGGTGGAGGACCAACCCAGAAACCAGGAAGGGTCTCCATATTCAAATCGCATTGAACGACCTGCCTTCAGCCTCCCAACCATGTCCGCAAACTTCCGCCGCTTCAACTCCCGCATCGGCGTTGTCTTTGTCTTTCAAGCACGTATGACCCGCCTTCTCAGTTGGCGGAAATATTCACACACCATCTCCCTCCTCGCAGTCTACACCTTCGTCTGTCTAGACCCGCATCTCCTCACCGTGCTCCCACTCGCCGGCCTACTCCTCGGTGTTTTCATCCCCTCCTTTATCGCACGACACCCCGCCCCCCCAGTAACCCTCTCCACATCCTTCGAATACTCCCCCCGCGGCCCTGCCCTCGCACCAGCACCAACCGTCAAGCCGGTCAAAGAGCTCTCCAAAGATTTCTTCCGCAACATGGGGGACCTACAAAACTGCATGGAAGACTTCAGCCAGGTCCACGACCAGATCCTCACCAAGCTCGCTCCACCCATGAACTTCAGCAACGAGCCCCTCTCCTCCGCCCTCTTCCTCTTCCTCTTCATGTCCACAGCCGCCATGTTCATCGCCTCCCACCTCGTCCCCTGGCGCTTCTGTTTCCTCATCGGCGGCTGGTTCGTCATCTTCTCCGGCCATCCCGCCGTCGCCAAAATGCTCGCAAGCACCCACGACCAGCACGTCGCGCCGCGGGAGTCGGAGGCAAAATCCTGGCTCGACACCTGGGTCGCTAAGGACATCATGCTAGACATGGAGCCCGAGACGCGAGAAGTCGAAGTCTTCGAACTGCAGAAGCTCGACAGCAGGGGCGAATGGGAGCCCTGGCTCTACTCAGCGAGTCCGTATGACCCTCTAGCAGCGCCGCGGATCGCGAACGAAAGGCCGCGGGGGACGCAGTTCTTCGAGGACGTCGCGCCGCCGCGGGACTGGGAGTGGAGCGAGAAGAAGTGGAATTTGGACCTGTGGAGCAGGGAGTGGGTGGAGGAGCGGATCATTACGGGCGTGGAGGTCGAGACGGAGGGTGAGAGATGGGTGTATGATATTCTCTATGAGGGTTCGAATCCGGAGCCGGGGCTGCGCGAGCCGGCGGGGAAGGTGAGCCAGAAGCCGAAGCCGACGTGGGAGGAGGGGGTGGAGGGGGAGGGGAAGAAGGGGCAGTGGAGGAGGAGGAGGTGGGTGAGGTTGGTGAAGAGGGTTGTGGTGACGAATTCTCCCGGGGACGGCTGAGGTGTTGGCGTGATGTGGGATATGTTTGTTACGGTCCCAGGCGCGCGCTGGTCTTACTCAGAAGGCACTCTGGTTTCTATGACCAAGGGATAGTGCGTGGGATTTTGAGTCATTCCCCTTTCCGCCGGGCTCAACCTAAGGCAGGTGTGCCAAAACGTTTCGCGCTCTCGAATTAAGAGATCGAGTCATGACTCTATGCCGTATCTCTTGGGTGATGCAAATTGGGGCCGGTATTAATGCGGAGATCTTCGAATACCGGGGCGCATTACATGCATTACGGATTTGTAAAATGAAGAGGAAAGTGTATGCTTCCGATAATGATATGGCAGGGCGGAATACTCTGTAGAGAGCTACAAGCCTGAATAATACCTTCCTATTCATATGGCCCCTGAAATGGGATTATAACAGAGTTATAACAGAGAAATACAACATAAATACTATCACCAACATATATAAGACAATGTATTATTCACAAATGGTATCAATTTTTCATGTCGGCGTGACTTTTTAATTTATAGTCAACTTTCGCTTCCAGCCCGCTTGACAGCGAATATCAGTTCAACCAGTTCCCCGTTTCTGATGTCGCTCTCAGCTCTTTGATCAACGATCATGAGATGATTTTCACTCACTCTGATTTCGCGCCGCGCCGTCGGCATCCTGAGCTGGTATCCTGGACACTGAGAGTTGTCAAGTCGTTCTTGGGGGACCACCACGTCACCTAGTATAACTGCGTAGAGGTCATCTTCCAAAGTGCCACGAGACTGAGCATATCAAAGACTGCCCCATCGGCTTTGTTTCTCCGCCGCCAGTAGATACCACCGTTTAACCCACCCCCATAAGCCTCCCGTAGCAAGACTTCATTCCTCATCTGGAGCCTCCAGCAACACATCAACCATCTGGTCCGCAGCATTAATGGTATTCGCCTCTTGCAGCAACTTCGCATCCTGCAACCTCTTCAGCCCATCGCCTATCCAAGTCTGACAATTCCACGAGCGCTCCTTATTATTGACCGGAGTCTGGCGCAGCGTATTCCGGATCGTCATATCATCCACCGTAGTGCGCATCGTCATGACAAAAATAATGCGCTCAAAATTCTTCCCCTCCTGCGGATGCGCCTCATTCCAGCGCTCCTCGAACTCAAAGAAGCTGGCCGCGCCGCACACATGGCTCAGCAGGTTGCGCCCGTCGGAAAACTTGACCCAGAAAGACGTGTGCCGCATCGAGTACGAGTCGATCGGGTCGCCGCGGTTCACGACGATATACAGCGTCTGGCTGATCGAGTCGAGGGTGGTGTGGCTGGCGGAGGGCGCGACGGTGCTGGGATGGTCCGCGCCATCTTGCTGGGGGGTGCTGCTCATGCCGTCGTGCTCATGGTTTCGGGTCTGGGACTGGGCGACTGTGCTAGCTTGCAGTATCAGTTTTGGGATCGCGCCAGAAATGATGAAATTCTGTACATGGAGTAGTAGTAGCCTGTCGTTTCAAGTGTGGGTGTCCGCAGGGAGAGCTGGATCTCTGGGGAAGAATATCCGCGTCTCCCTCCTCGGTCCCCGATCACCTTCAGCCCGCGACATTATTCACTCGTTAAATGCTGACCGACCTTTGTTTTGAAGCCACTTCCACTGTGGCTATATGCGCGGAGGCTATACTTGAAGCGTCTCTTCTTGAGCGGTTGCGTGCAGGCACAAGTGCTGTCAATGCACTGCTCTGCTCGAGGTTGATAACCCCCGTCTGGAAGTTATAGTACACGTTGGCTAGCTCCCTTTAGCTGTAGACATCCCATCCCCTCAATACCACGTGACATACATCCAACAAAAAAAGAACGAACCCCGCTATGCACACGTGACATGCTAAGAAAAAGGGCTGGGCTGGAAAAGCCGCCTCGCTAAGGGCGCGCTAGCAAAGCCAGCCGCGCCTGCTATAAAAGTTCTCGCGACTCTGCAACTTCCTCTTTTCTCTCTTCATCAAAAAGTAACAGAGCCAGCCACGACCCCCACCTTGATGTCACCACAGTGGACGGTTGCCAGCACCTTTCACGAGGTGTGAGGCTCTGGAGAGGAACGCGCCAGATGGTGCCTTGATAGGAAGTTTGCTCCCGTGGGTCGGCTTCACTGCCGGCGAGGGGACGCGAATGTCGATGATGGGATACACACAGCTTTGTTGTGATTGCTATTTGCTTTTCGGAGCTGCCGATTGAGATTGGAGAGGGAGTTGGATTTACGAGTGTAAATCAAGGGGAGCTGTAGCTTTGGTGTGAATGAAGACTACGTTATTTTTCTGCACGTCGAGACTTATGTGACTGATATGCTATGGTGTACTCCAACTGCCAAGTGAAGATGAAGGCCTCTAATTACTCGGCGCTAAATTTGTTATTATAGCCTCTCAACAAGCTTGTTACTCATCCTGAGTAAACTATAAAGCTAACTCACATTTCTTTACTGTAGTTCCAACAACTCTCCGCCAGTCGCATGATTTATACGTACCCTGTCAAAGGGGCTGTGGGCGCTGATTGGATTTCGACGTCGCTTCCCCAAAATGGCATAAATCGAGGCTGAGCAATGGAATACAACAAAGAGTCATATTTCAGGTAAAGAGATGGGATCATGGCACTTATACTGGCCGTTTTCAGAGGCAGGTGGCTTTGTCCCAATACTTCTTTTGTTATTTCGATATTTTATATTCGAGGCAAAGCTGGCAAAGAAAGTGATTCTTCAAGCATACATTGCTGCATTTTAATATAGTTTGGAGCACAGATACTGAAAATCGAATGCCTATCTTTAGCGACGAGGACCTCGTGGAGCTCAGTCTCCTCCGCGCTAACGAGATTGATGAGCTTGTTGAACACGGCCTGATCGATGCCTCCCACCGATTCGACGAAGACCTCCTCGATATCCTCGTTTTATCATACCCAGAACTAACGATCTCGCTGCACACCGGGCCAACATACCCCGCCGAGCAGCTCCAAGTCGAGATTGAGAATATCTCGCTGCCTCGTCTTGCCGTGGACGAGCTGCGCAATGCAGTACGGGAGATAGTGGCACGGGATGCAGATACGAACAACTATGATGGATGGCGCAGGAGAGCTCATAGTGATGATTTTGGGATTTTTGAATTTGAAATGTCTGCATTTCATGTGGCTCGGAGGGCCTTTGGGCACCTCGAGAGTTATCGAGACTCGATTATGGGACCCCGAGAAGAAAGCGTGGAAGATCGAGCAGGTGCTAAGTATGCTGTATCTAACATTGTTAAGACAGCTATGAACTAATCTAGAAACAGGTTCAAAAATGATCTAGTCTCTGGCGAAGGTATAGACTTATCATCTATCACCATAGACAGGAAGGCTTCCGATGTCCTGGGTAAATTGCCAGATGAGATCTGCGCTCTCGTCCCCCCTTTCTTCCGAATACTTCACGTGGAGAGCGTCCTCCGTGATAATCTCTACTCCAAGTTTATCGCATGCCAAAACGAGATCCGCGACCAACTCACAGCACTGCCACGGCATGAGCTCATGGCCTGCATCACTAAGGATCAAAGCAGTAGGCGCGACACGGTCGAGGAGCTGGTCGAGCATATCGCCGCTCCCAAACTTACCTTCCACGGCACCAGTAACCGTTTCGTCCCCTCCATCGTACAGAACGGCTTTCTCGCGCCGGGGGCCATAAACCCCACGACCGGCGAAGCTCTTCCCGTCCGCTGTGGAAGTACTTACGGCCGGGGGATCTACTCCTCCCCTTCAGCCGAGTTCTCTCTCTCCTACTCTGGCTCCGAGGCGCAACCCACTGCACCCGACGGCTTCTGGGGCTTGAAGCTACTCGTCTGCGCGACGCTCATGGGCCGCTCCGCACAGATGTTCCGTGATGACTACTGGTGGACGCGTAGTGGGCCATATCCAGGCGCTCATAGCCACGTCGGCAACTATGAGTATGAATATGTCGTATTCAATAGCGCCCAAATACTGCCGTGCTACGTGATTCACCTTGACTGGGGAGCAGATAACAGGTATTTCTTTGCAGACATACCCGAGGACAAGGCAAGCTTTGTAGCGCAGGCCAAAAAGCATCCGAAGCTCTTGGCCGAGCCGATGGCGCCTGGGGATAAGCAGCGAGCGAAGGAGGCGCTGGTAGCCAAGGCGTCGAAGTACTTTCCGTACGGGTACGGACCGGCGACAGGGACGTCATTTGTGGTTGAGGAGGTAGGTGAGGTGGACGAGGACGAGGAGGATTACGGGGAGTACCAGCGTGACAGGATCGATGAGACACATGAAGAGAGCAACTTTTGGAAGTGGAATGATGAGCCCGCGGGGTTGGAAATGGACGAGTACAGCCGCGCGCGGCGTGGAAAGAGAAAGGGGGGGGATAAAGACTAGACGGTCCGTATAAAGTCTGGGTAAGGGCCTGTATAACAGTTACATGGGTGAAAGGACAGACTTCAATATATCACCCTCAAATTAGGTATTTATAGCAAATATGAATAAATTTGTGTATTGTCAATATATACTACTTGCTCAACCACGTCCATCATCCCGCCTCCTCGCAGGCCTCTCTTTCGCATCTTTTAAAATCTCATCATAAAAGCTATAGAAGGACGTATCCCTCCTCACTATCCCTTGATCGTGTTTGGCTTCCTCTCCACGCGAATTCGGCCGCCTTCTGTTATGGGATCCCCTAATCAATGACCCCCGTCTTTCTCTCCCCGCTAAGTGCTCGCCACCCTCGATCGTCGGTACGGTTTCCTTTGGCTTCTCTTCCCGTGCAACCTTGTCAGAAAGCGCGGTTTCCGCCGTGTTATTGTATGCCACGCGCAGACAGGGGGGGTTCCACTCGTCATCCTGTTCCCTCGACATCGATTCTAGATTTTTTCTCCTCAAGAGGCGGTTTTTGGTGCGGAGAGACATCGCGGTTTGTAACACGCTCTGCACCTCGGCCTCCTGACTCGCATATCCTGGCGACTCGACTACTTTCGCACGGTGCTCCACGGATGGAAGTCGTAGCCCAGTGGCACTGTCACCAGTATGCGCCTTCGCGTCCGTGGTTGGTATTTTCGGCAGCGGAATCGTCGGTGCCAGGCCGGGATCTTGACCAAATATACTCCCTAGCTTCCTGGATTTTGTTGCACTGTTGGATGGAGGCAGTTGGTTAGTGTTGTTTTCAAACCCACGGTTTTTAGCAGCTACCTTCACAATCCTCAGCGGTAGTACCGGCTCGATCTCCTCATCGAAGGGGAAGGCTACGTACCTCGTGATAGGCCTCTTGAATTCTTCTTCGCAACTTGAACATAGCCCTCTCGGCCCTGCTGGGAACTTCCTCTTGCATAACCTGCACTCGGTCTCTGCATCCATCCATACACCCCTATTCTCCGGGTATAGCCGTCTTCCTCTCGTAACCCCGGAGGAATCGAGGCTGAGGTCGGAACTGTGTATCGAGGACGTGAAACTAGAAACTGGACTTGGAATTGTTTCTGTGAGATGGAAGGCTGGTAGAAGAGGCTCTCCGATGCAGTAGAAGCTTTCCTCATCATCGTCGGGGTAATTGGCATCATTGCTGCGATGGGAAAAGCTATGGACTGTCTTCTCAGCGCTGCGGCGGATGGCGGAGGTAATGGTTCTCCTTGTCGAATCTAGGAGATCGGCGGAGAAGGCTAGGCTTGAGAGGGCGGAACGGCGGTGCCCACTCTGGGAGACGTCGGCCGAATTTGGAAGGTTTGAGAGCGCAGGGGCATGGGGTACTGCAAGGCGGTTTGCGCTGCTGTAAGAAGAGGGTGGTGTGGATGTGTATTTGTGTTGTGGGGATACAGAAGAGGAGGAATTCGGAGGAGAGATCTCGGGGGGGTTGGGGAAGGAGGTGTCGACGGGCCCAGAAAGGGTGGCCCAAGTGAGGGCATGCGGTCTTGCTGCTGCCCTGAGGTCTCTCAACGCAAACTTAGATGGGGGTATGACGCGTTCCAACTCGCCCAATACGATTGCCGCGCGCTTTTCGCGCACGTCTGCGACAGAAGGCTCATCCCCATTTCGATATAATGAATATCTTCTGGAGGAGTCGTGCTCTGCTCCTAGGTGGTTCTCGTAGCCGAAACTACCATCGCAACGCAACCTCGAGGCCGAGGACTCTTGTGGGCCGCCTGGGACTTTGCCTGACGGGCTTTGAAATATGGTATTGCTGGGTGGCAGAGTCAAGTCAGATGGCCTTCGTTTTCGCTTATGCCGTCTTCTACCTCGTTCCTTCTCAGCCTGCTTCTCTGCTTCGATGACTCCTGGCCACAGGTCATTCCGCAGGGGATTTTTATGAGTCCTGAACCTTCGTTTTGACCCTACCTGTACGATTTGTGAGGGATATGGCTTCATATCGATGAATCCTTGTTTGGAATTTCCATACAATCTTTCTCGAAGATAGTCTCTGGCCAACTGTGTAGCCGAGCCAGGACCAGGTTCGGTCCTACCACTCCCATATGAGGCACTATGATTTGTTAATTTTGATGACATTTTTTCCATGTTTTCTCAATTGAGATATGTGGGGTTTGGTATGGAAAGTGACGTTTGTGATTCTTGTTTTCTTTCGCAAGGAATTTTGTGGAGGCGCAGAACAGGAAACGGCCATTATATAAGGAAATGGGAGATGGGAAAAGGACAAAAGGAAAACTTGGTGGCTATAAAAGAAATGAATCGAACTTGAAGGCAGCTGCGACTCTTTGTGATTTTTCTGCAAAGAATCAAAGGGCCATTGTCCGACGTTCGTCTCAACCATTAAACACATTGTTTAGAAGACAACGGGTGATTGTGGTTGTGACTGGAAGTGTTTGTTCTGAAAATAGACGTCTTTGACTCGAATATCTGCATGAATCGAATGTCTCTCATGGGAATTTCAACAAAAAAATTGGGGCTAATAAATAATATTGACCCCTCGTCCTTACCACATAGTGGTTTGGTGCATGCTCAGGAACAAGCTGATGCACCCATAAAAATTGTATACACTCAGACACATATATATAGTATGTGTCATTGGCGTAGGTATTGGTAGCGGCGATTATTCCATTGTCTATAAATGTTGACTATGTAAAGCCTCTTCTTTCATGAGTCGTGGAGTATCGTGTATACATATATGGAACCTCTGCGCCCCGTTCTTTGAAGTCTAGAATCTGTCTCGTCTCGCTTCTATGTCGTTAATGTATCAAGCAATCTTCTCAACTTTTAATGATCCCTTATCTTGCCCTTCCAAGCCGACAAACCCATCGTTTTCTATCCTTTTCTTCCATTTCGTACTCTCATATCGCGCTAAAATAATGGTCATCCGAAGTATAACGCCGTCACTAGATTCGTGTTCATCGACCCCTTCTGGTACTGGTGTGCATGTCCACCTCCCAAATGCCCAGTTGAGAATATATCTTGATGGCCCACTCGGTGCGTCGGTGATAGCAATATCCGCATCAGATCCGGAAATTGGCTTGGAAGCAGTAAAAAGCGCCTTTATGCGGTATACTTCATCCTTTGGCGCCCTTTGCAGTAATTTTGTGAGATGAACGGTGTCCACAGTGTTATCACTCTCTCCAGATGTCAGCGTCACTGACAAAACTTCAACTTCACTTTGGTGATGTTCTTCGTTCGTATGCTTGTGCCCATCTGTGCCTTCATGGCTATGTGCATGCTCTGAAGTCTCCTCACCGAGCTCCTTTGCGAGGCCGCCATCAATGCCAAATATAACGCCTTGCGGCACGCTTCCTTTGTCACTCTTGACCCAAGCAACGTCTACACCCTCCATATCCCCCAGCCTATCAAGGCACTCGTCGAATCTCCTCTCCCCAGCCGCTTCCCATTTATTAAACACAATCAGATCCGTGAATTTCGCCTGCAGCTTCGCGGTATAACTCGTATCCTCGTAGCCCTTCCAGTTCTCGACATCAATGACCGTCACCACGCCATCGAGCGCATATTGACCTTTCGTTTCCCGCGCCAGCCTGTTCACCTCCATGGCCAGTGTCGCAGGAAATGCAGAACCAGAAGTCTCAATGACAACACGGTCGAGGCCGGGAACGGATTCGCGCAGCTCCTCTAGTGCTGGGCCGAGCTGTCCGACAAGGTTGCAGCATATGCAACCATTCAGCATTTCCCGGACGCCAGAGATTGCATTGGAAGAGGCGAGCTGCGAGTCGATTGCTAGATCGCCGAATTCGTTCTTGAGCAGCGCGAGCTTGTAGTCGGGGTTGAGAGCTTTGAGCTGGGGGATCAGGGACAGAAGGAGCGTGGTTTTCCCACTTCCTAGGAACCCCGTCACGAGAGTTATGGGGATGGGTGCCATTGTAAGTTGCTGAGGACAAGGACTTGATGTAGGAATATCTTCAGCCGTGAACTTGGTGGGGGGGACTTGGCGGGGGAAGTTGATGTCGATAAAATCTTATCTAATCTATTGAAATCGCCAGGCACCAACGTCATTGGTTGCATCGCAGCTACACAAAACCACAAAGGGTCCATCCCACCAAACATTAGATGGCACACCCTCTTTGTTATTGTACCTTGAGCTCGGCGTGGTATACCCTTCTATATAGAAACTTCATTTCAGGTAAATATGCGTTCTTGCAAAAGCCAGGTGGATTTGGTTCTTTACAATCATGACCAGTCTCAATCCTACAAGTGACGTCACCGCCTGGGGAGCTTCAGGTAGTACCTTCCATGAAGTGAAGGACGGTTGATACCTCATACTTAATTATATAGTGCATTGAAACGTGTAAAATGTGAGTGGCCATAACTCCCATCAAGACCGGTGGCTAACCTGCTTACTCTACAGCGTCAAAAAATGTCCCGCCAGCCATCCACGGCCGAGAGCCTTAGGTCCGCAGCATCGGAAGCCACCCATACTGTTGCTGAAACACTTGACCCTTCAGAGGACAAGAACCCCTCGAAATGGCGACAAGAGGAATCCCTAGACGGTTCCCGAAGACTTCCCTCGCAAGGCGTGAGCTATAAAGAGCAGTTGGACGAGGCTGCAACAAGTGAGCAGAAGGGGTCGGAAGAGGAAGAAAGCATTGTAGAAAGGGGTAACTAAATCCGCAGGAGAAATAATACCTGTATATGTATAAGTGCTGACCACCAATGCAGCGGCGTCTTGCATTCTCGGAGCTTCAACAGTCCAATCTGTAATCCAAGGCAAGCAGGAAGCCTCAACTAGTGAGGCGAAGGTTGAAGATGTTGGGAAGCCTCCAACCAGGCCTGAGAATGATGTCCAAGTTGAAGAGTTCTTGAAAGAACAATATAGAAGCAGGAGTAAAGATGAAGATACATCGAAACCTGGCAAATATAAAGCTTAGATATAAATTCTACCAACGAATACGGCCATCGAAGTTCATGTATGGGCCTGAAGCATTATGAGGCGTTATGAGACAGCCTGTAGGAGCATTTATCTTCTTCAATATTACTGCTCATGCCGCCCAAAAGTTTAAATGCAGACTATGGATAATAGCAGTGTTCATAACAACTGTAATTGCGACAGAGGCTCTCGACCACTCGTACCAGCCAAGTCTGAACAGCAACAAGGGCCATGCATTAGAACAGTGTTCACAGCAACGGCAGTCGAAACTACTGCTATCAGTCACTCAAGTCGCATTGGTTATGACGAGATAGAGCTAATATGAGAGTGCCTGCCAGATTAACTTGATGAGACGAACACTCAGCTAACGTGATACTCTTTATTGTTTATTAGGAGGCAGTTGCGACCTTGCTATATTTCAGTCAGCGTTTCTATTTTATTTATTTATTATTTTTATGATTCTCACAAGGAAGGAGCGATTTGGCCAACGACGAATAACCTTGATCCCTTTCTCCTCTTTCTCCCTCTCCCACGAACTTCAGCCAAGCAAGTAAATACTTTGTCACTCAACAGTTTCTTACCAACAGTTTGTTACTAATAGAACTTATTCCTTCATAATTAACTGCACAGGCACTGTGACAGAAGAGTAGAGATAGACTCTCTGTCGCAACCACAACAAAGAAACGTACACAAGCAAACAGAGTCACGCTCGAAGATGCCTTCCAAGCAGCACACCCGTTTAACTTTCAGCCGCACATGCTCTCATGAAGGGCATCATGGCGGACCCATCTCGGACGAGCAACCAAGCAGCACAAACACATCTTCGGGCTCATGCTTACCCCCGCCACCATGTGATGCTATTCATCCTTCATCTAACTGCCCGACGCGATTATCACCCACTGTTCCAGTCTTTCCGATCATTGTCCCAGAATTGGTTTATCGCTCCCCATTCCGCGACCGCATAACACCAGCATGTCCACGCTCACGCTCACGGTGTTCCAAGCGACAAAAACTGTTATCGATACATGCGGCAGAGAAATCCCTCCTCGTGTTGGAGCTATTCGGGTTTCTGACAGCATACACCGCATTGAGTGAGGATCAGAGGATATGGGTTGTGGAGACGGTGTTTGGAGATGTGGACTGGAAATGTTGTGCAGATATTGATGAAGGGAAGGGAGATGGATTGGGATATCCGTACAACCTTTATGACCAGAACGACGGTGGGCCTGGGGGTGTGTGTAGATGGATCCTGGAGCTATCCGAGGCGCGTATTACAACCGCCTTTGGAGAGCTGGCGAGCAGGATAGTTGAGGCTGGATGGGATGTTGAAGGTATCCTTCTCCCTCCGGGTGCAGAAACTTCAGTCGAAGCTCAGGAGAGCCCGGATATTAACCCCACTTGGTTTAACTGGACTGTTGCATCTGGTCGCGCTGGTCCCACGGAACCGATCACCTACCAAGCTGTGCCAGAACCGAGTAAGTTACCAGCTTCCTTCGCATATCATCTTTGTTACCATACTTCAAGCTGTCAATCTCTGACACTGCCAGAACTCTCGCAAGTACCTCTATATGGCCGCGATCCCATGAATCCCCAAATAGTAGCTGAGCGAGCCAAGTATCTCCGATACAACCTCGAGCAATATTCAGCCGAAGGTCTCGAGCAAGCCTGCCTCGATCAGAAGAAGAAGATTAGAGCCTATGTTTCCGCTTGCGAGGAAAGAGGAAAGGAAGCACGGGAGCGTTGCTGGCGACTCGTTGGGGGGCGCGGCTCAGCTCTTTCAGCTGGTACACGCGTTAATAATAGCTCTTTGTTCAACGAGATGGCCTCCGGTGTCTCGACGGCGGACCTGAGCAGCATTAGGTCGTCGGGGTCTGCAATAACACCGAACAGGACTCAAATAGATGACTGGGCGTTTCATTGCACATCGGGTGGCGCAAACTCAAAAGCACGCCTCCTGGAACCATCAGCCCCTTTTAGGGTATCAGAGAGCCCAAAGCAGAAAACAGCCGATGCCGGGTTTGAGGACCAGTGGGAATTTGGTGATGTCCCGACGAGTGCTGAGGAGGAGGAGCGGATGATGGAGCATGCACTGCGGGCTAGTATTCGCGTGTCAGCCGAAAAGTTACCACCTCCCTCCATTGATAATGCTGTCGACTGGGAAGATTCAAATCAGGTCCCTTGGCTCAATAGCAGATATCAAGGCAATATTGTTTACAACAATATGCCAATAGCGCAAAGTGAGCCACTGATAGTGATGCAGGCAAAGTTGGATCTAGGTTCAGGCTCGGAGCCACCTCCACCTCCCAAGAATACTAAGCTGCCAGAAGCAAATCCCATCGAGGATGTGGAAATGACGACTGAGGAACTCAATCAGGAAAGTGCGAAGTTAGAATCTACGATGGGTGAGGCAGCGGACAAGGGTAAAGATATGGAAATAATGGAAGAGTCAGATGCCGTTGCTAACTCGCTGATAGACCAGATGCAGCCTGGAAGGAAACCGGACCGTAGGAGACGAAACATGAGAGGCGTGTTTAGTGATTTGAGGGCAATGTCCAATGAGCTGAACCGTACATTTACACCCAAGAGCCAAAAAGAGGGTGAAGTAGTAAAGGACACCGTTGAAGAAATAAAACGTCCCAAGACCAGCAGCGGTAAGCCAGCAGAGCCAGTTACCGAAAACGTGAGCGAACTACTTAACAGCGCTACGGAAGAAGCGCGGGAAATCGCATCCTGGTACCCCCCCCACTCTGACTATCGCGGCTCCGACGATGAGAGCATTGAAGACAAGCCCCCACCTGAGCGTCTGGCGGAGGCGTTTAGGCAAGCGGAGCTCGAGGCTGAGGATCCCTTTCGACCACCACCACTTAAAAAGAAATCTGAGGTGCCTGCTGTAGTGCTACCGGAAAAACCGAGAGATATAGCATTAGAAATACGTTCAAAAGAGGGATCACTGACACGCAGGTCAGACAAGGTGAAGGTTGTAGATTTTGCACAACGCGCAGAGAATAATGCAGCCTACCACAAGGCCAAGGCTGCTGAGGAAGCTGGACCGGAGACCCAGCGGCCGAACGCGGAACCTGATTTGAGATACTTCGACCTCAGTCACGGAGCACAAGAGTCGCTGCGGAAGTCGTTAGAAAAGAGAGATCGAGAGTATAACGAAAGAAAGTCGAAAGAACAATCCGGCGAGGGAGGCTCGAAACAGCCGCCTGTCAAATCTCTGATCCCTCCTGACTCTCCGGGTCTTCCTGGGCCTGTGGTTCCTCCTGAGCCTGACATTTCTTCTGCGCCTGGAGGCTCTTCTAATCCTTCGGCCCCTGCTGGGCCTGGAACCCGTCCCAAGTCTCCGGATCCCGTTGTGTGTGGAGGCCCTACTGCAGCTGGAAATCCTGCTAATCCTGAAACCCCTGCTGCAGCTGGAAATCCTGCTGATCCTATAACCCCTACTAAGTCTCCAGCGCCGGTTGATCCTAGCACCTCTGGTGAACCTGGAAAGCTTACTGAGGCTCCTGAGACTGGGGAAGGACAAAACCAACCAAACAGACCAAGAAGAAAAAGGAAGTGGCTGTGTTGTTGAGAAAGAAGAAGGAAGATGGTGTTTCGCAAGTCGGATGGGGTGGCACATATAGAGTTATGAGCAGCATGGAGTTGGATTATTATCTTTTGGGGCGCACTGATGCATGGGCCTGTTTAAATCGGCCTCGATAGCGACGAGTATGGGATAGGATACGGTGTAGTTCCAACAGCATTAAAGTATTCTCAGCGGGTTTAAATAAAATACCCTTTTACCAGCGAATTTCACATTTTTACAGTGGACGCCTAGTGATATACACTGACTTGCCCATAAATAACCACTTCACAGCACCCGCATCATTCCGATAGGAGCATAATCATATTATTTATATCCTATATAAGACCATTCCCTTAAATTAGGTCCTCTAAAAAATAGTCCTCAGCCCAACAAAAAAACAAATAAACAAACAAGTAACATCTACGCCAGTCCAACATCCCCCTTTAATTCCCCTTCCACTTCCCAAACCGGACCCACTCCCCAACCAACCCCCTCAGCACATCCCTCCCACTCCTATCCATCTCCTCTCCCAACACCTTCCGTCCCTCCGCCCCCATAGCCGAAAACACCGTCCAAAGACCCCTCTTCAGCTCCTCCCTCACCGCAAGCTGCATCCGCGAACTCGGATCAAGACTCAGCTTCACATACGCCCCCACGATAACAGGCAAATGCGCACCAGCCTGGCGCTTCGCCTTCGCCGTCGCCGAAACGAGCGGCGTGGCAGTCGATGCGCGCACTGCTGTCGCGGCGGGGTCGGCGAGCGTGGTCAGCAGGCGCGAGTAGGCTTCTGCGTGCTTGATGCCGAGATCAGCTGTGAAGAGAGGGGCGAGCAGAGCGAGTAGCGCGAGGTTGAGGAGAGGTGCGCGCGAGGTCACAGATAGGCGGTGTGTGGTGAGGAGGGTGCTTAGGAGGGAGGTTAAGTGCGTGTGTGTTCTTGCTGGGGAGAAGCGGGGGCGAGACAGGTGCGCGGGGATGGCGGCGAGGGTGCTTTCGATGGCGTGCTGGGTTATGCAGCGTGGTTTTGTGCGAAGGGTGTGGGAGAGGATGGAGGTGAGGAGGGAGAGGTGGGGGAGGGAGGGGGGGGAGATGAGGGTTTTGGTTAGGGTGGTGTAGATTGTTGAGAGGGAGGTTTTGGCTTCTTCGGCGGTGGAAGGGGGGGATTGGTCTGGAATAGTGTTAGGGAGGGTGGAGGGTGGGGGAGTGGGGGTGGACTTACCTTCACACGACTCGAGGACGTAGTGTATGGCTAGAAGCTTGTCGAGGTTCTCGGCGCTGCCGGGAAGTAGGCCGCGGAGTAGTAGATCGCGCTTCTCGCTCTCATCCATCGTTGCGGTCTTCGCTTGCATTGCTCTCATGATAGCGACCCTACCGGCAGAGGTTGTGACATCCTCGTCGAAAAGTTCAGACTCCTCGACCTTTGAGGGCTCGGCAATGTGCGAGATGAAAAATGTCTTGATCTGGGATGCAAGAGCCGGGTTCCTCTCTTCCACGTCCTTTGCGCACGTGGTTGCGTCATCGTAGAGATGGGATAGCGAGCGCGGATTTACTCCTAATACTGGGTTCTCTAGAGCGCGGATGGTGCTGTACAGTGACATGGAGCGCTCATCGGTCTCTTTCTTCAGCTTGGAAGGCTTCTGCACCAAGCGCCTCAGGTTGGATACGAATTCGTCTCTGAACGTGGTCTTGAGTTCCGAAATCTTCTCGGCGGTCACCCCCTCAACTTTCAGCACCCTCGACTCGCTCGTCGCGAGGAAAGATAGGAAGGCCACAGCCAGTTGGATTCGTCCACAGCCAATTGTGGACTTGCTGCTATCATCAGGGCCACGGAGACGTAGGTCAGTCATCATATCCATGACAAAAGTGTCACTTTTGGCCTGGCCAATAGTGTCCCCAATATGCCCAAGCGTTCGTCGAGCGTATTCGGCAAAAGTATCAAGAGGCGCTCTGGGATCCGGGCTCAGTTCCGAAATAGCTTGCGAAAGCGAATCGAGATCTTTATAAGTGAACCCCTCGTAAATGGAGGGCCTCTCCATCATCTTCATCTTCAGACTAATGACGGCGGCGTCAATGTTGCTCATTCGATAAGCTAATGTCTTGGTATCATTAAGGGATGGTTCAGGCGCCGCTGGTGGCCAGGCCCTAAGCACACGCTCTCTGATGCTCCTCTTGAATACTTCAATGGGAAGGCTGTTTAGGCATTCGATAGCGAAGCCGTTGCAGGACATCCGGCTTTCGATCGGGTTGTCTTCATGGGTCCCACTATTCAATATGATATCAATGATGATTTCTGTAAATAAACGATTAGTTTCGTGTTCCTTGTAATAGATTTCCCTAGTGCATACCAATTAACTCCTGATCATTCAGTATGTCATCATTCTTGAGCATCGTCCGCCAGAGCCCAGGGAAGGCATCGTTGTTGCGTCGGACCCAACCATTGGGGCTGTTCTCTGCGCTGAAAGGGGTAGTCATCGATGCGAGCCAGAACAAAGTCTGGAGGACTGGTTTCCCTTTTTTAACCGGAGCCGCGACAACCCTATTAAATGTTAGCAAGAGAGAGATACACTGGGGCTTTAGCACAGAACATACTTGATGAGCTTCGGATAATCGACGAGGATTATCTTGGCAAGGGCAAATGTAGTGTCGGGGGTTTGAAGCTTGATAGCAATAGAACGCCTCGCTGCGTCCTTCTTCTTCGACCCCTTCCCGCTAGACGCAAACCACGGAATCGCATCCTCCTTGAAAAACTCCTCCGTTACTTCTTTCATAGCTAGAACAAGTTTTTCATTGGCCAATTCCTTGTTCACCAAAGACAGCAACGTATGCTGCGAGGCTGCACTCCTGAATAGCTCAACGAGTGAGTTGGAGCTTGTTACCATGACGCGTGCATTAGACACATGTTTAGCCATGTCTGCTTCGCTGCCCCACTGCTCTTGGAAGGCCGTCAGAGAGGTTGCGTCCATAACGTGTGTCAGGATTTGCGGTTGTCGGAGCTTATAGCGCTCTGGAACATCCTTATGTGCCATGACCCAGGAAAACGCCCACAATGGGAGCTCCGCGGTGCCGACGGTTTCCTCGCGGGTAAGTGCGCCGGCAACAGCATCCATCATCACCAGAGCTGGTCCTGGGCTGCCTGTCTTCTCCCGGATCCCATCTAGAATAGACTTGATCTGCTCCGAAGTCAAAGAAGCCTCCATGATTTCTTTCAACTTTGCGAATAGTGCATCATCCTCCCAGGCTCCGAAATGACCCAGGTCTTTTTTTGATGGGCGCTCTGAGATGATGGAATCAAATGCAACAAGCTGTTCGTACCAATGATTGATGAAGCCCGTCAGATCGCGAGCCTTGGCAAAATCGCCCATCAGCGGTACGAGGATCTTGTCGACATATGTGTCTGCCATATCAGGCCACTCGGGTTTTGTTGACAGGAGGGTGATACGCGAGAAAAGCTCTTTTAGGATATCCTTCTCGTCGGCATTCGGGATGGTGAAGACAAGGCCATCCAAAGCGATCACTGTAGCGATGATCTCCTCATCCGTTCCTTCACTATGAAGTCCACACTCCCAAGTAATAGACCGCAAGAGGTCAACATCTAATGGAATCTTGTGCTCTAAGCACATCTTCATCATCTTGTTAATAGCCCCATTCTTGACCTCCCTTTGTTCAGCTGGGCACGCATCAGAGAGGACCCTGAAGAGAGCCTGTAGCCACGCGGCATCCTGCGTGCGGCTGCGGTGCGTACTATTTGGCTGCAAGCTGTGAATCGCGTTTTCGAAAAGGATAGGCGCGAAATCGGGTCTCGCCGCCACAGAATTGGTGACGAACGAGGCGAGGACATCCGTTGTCTTGGAGGCCGTATAGGCGTTTCTTGCCGGCAGGATGATGTTGCGGCTCAGAAGCTGCTCAAGCTGTGTTTGCCAGTGTGGGAGAAGGTCCGAAGACGAGGATAAGTTTAGCAACGGCTCCAGACAATGCGTCGAGAACACGAGGCTATCATCACCGCCATCCATGCGCGCCTTCCATGTCTCAATGAATGGAGTGAGCCATCCAGAAAGTTGCGCCTCATCACCCTTATCCCGAGTAAGTCGGCACAACTCGAGCCACGACCCAAGCAGCTTCGCCGATTCCTCAAGAGCAAGCCTAGTCACAGACTTCATGTACTCCGCCGCGAAAGCATCGCCCTCCAGCTGTTCCTCCGGCGTCGCAAGTCCCACAATCTGTTCCAGGACCTCATACATAGCCTCCGCAACATCATAAGTCTCCTCCTCAACATTCCCATTCGTCACAGCCTCCTCCCCCCTCTTCCTCTTCCTCGACCCCGATTTATCAGGCTTCACCACCTCCACCTCCTTCCCCTTCCTCCTCCCCACCGCCTCCTCAGCACCCAACCTCAACATCCCCACGCCCTTCCTCTCATTCAAACACCTCGCCGCCATCGGCACCGGCACCCTCTGCACGAGACACCTCAGCAGTCTCCAAGCTTGCGGACAGCGTCTCGCCTCTTCACCCCCCAACTTCTTCAGCAGCCATCTCAGCACCCACTCCTCTCTGCCGTGAAAGTTGCCCGTCCTCGCCTCCCCGGGAGTCGTTATAGCCGTCTGCAGGAAATCAAGCCATTCGATGCCGGCGAATGCGCCCGCCTGCTCGAGTTGCTCCGCGATAGGGGCGTCTTCCTTCTCGAGCTCTGCGAGCTTGGTCTGCGCCTCTTTCGCCTTCATTTTTCATATATCAGCAGTGTCCCCCGCAAGCCCGGTATATTGGGGTAGTACGTACCATTGACATTATCAAAAGTCCACCCCGTTGGAAATGGGAAAGCTGGACGGTTGCAAAGCTTCTAGAATCGTACCACCGTTTGCTATTGCAGGAATAATTTGGGCTGAATGGGCAGAATCCCAGATTGCGCCACCGCCTTCCTTACTTCCTCTAGCGCCAACAATCCGCCGAGCTATCACATTTCGATATCACGTGACCATGAGAACGATTTACCGCTATTTATTATAACATTTCTTTACGGCGGCAATGCAAGGCTACGACCAACAGGCCTGGATGAATAGAACACCTACGGCATACAAGGGCATCGGATGAACGGGTAAGGCGACACACACCATCTC